ATTTTTTCCAATTTATTAGTTTTTAAATAATTAAAAATCGTATTTTTGCATAACACTTTATGTACTCCTCGTCAATGTTGTAAAAAAACATACTACTTATCGATAATAATAATTTATGTCAAACATCAATGTGAACAAAATACATATCACTGATATCATTAGGTTTTATAGAGGCCCTGATGACATTTGATTGCATACAGACGGAGTCAAACACTGAAACTAATAACTCAGTCTCACGCGTCTTGATAATACTGTTACGTATCAGCAGTTTATATAAATATATATATGGTGGGGATTGTCCACCATACGCAAGTGCTACACCGGCATAACTTGTCATTCGTGTAAATTGGGTTTCATAATAAACATCAGCGAATATTATTATTTACATAATAATCAAATTGTGTTTTTCTTTCATATTACGGTATAACAAATACAAAAACATTTGATTATAAAAGAAAATTTCAATTTTTGAGAGTGGCCATGATGGTCTTAGGCGTATAGATTGTACTAAACTATTATTATGTATCGTACCCGGAAAGTCGTTAAATATCAATTTGATATTTATGTGATTCGATTCTTCGCGTTTTTCAATTAAGCAAAATCTTGCTTTAACTGGGGCTGTGGCTTGAGTATATTCTAGTACCGCATCATAAATGTCTTCCAATTGCTAAAATCATTACATTTTTTTTGTAATACACAATGTAAATACTATTATTAGAGAAATAACGTGTCTTAAATGAATATCACCAGTGTATGTTATTATTCACTAGGTTTATAGCGTATTTAGATACTATAATTTTTTTTTAATGTTTTATGTATTCAGACAACATTTTTTAAAAAATATTTTTTTAAGTTGCTAATAAAATTAATTCAGATTTATATTTTTTTTAATACACAATTTGAATACAACTGTTATTGAAATAAAAATTTACCATGAAGTGGGTTAATAAAAAAACTTTTATGAGATATATTTAGAAAGAAACAAAATTCTTATTTACCAGATCAGTAAATTTTGGCTTTTTTTATTAATTCTTTAAATTTGTTTTTTAATATAGGAATATCTAGAAATCATTGCAATGGAACATACGTAGCCTTAGCTTCCCACTTTGAAAACGACACAAAGTAGCTCTACGAAAGTAACGCGAAAGTGGCGCTATCTAACGGTTGCTTTTTTTATATAATATGTAGACATATTTATATGTGTATCAAATTTCTTGAGGCAATTCTTTTAAGTTTTTAGATATGGATAATTATTATAATATTCAGTGCATCAAAAACCTCAATTATTTGATTGTTGTATAAAAACGTATTGCTTACTTATTCACTGACATATTTTATATAATAGACTAATTGATATACATTGAAAGGTACAAATCTATATAATTTTTTACCATTTTTCAAAATGGGTAACTAAATATTTATTCAAAATAAAATTACCTCATCAGTAAAACTTGCCACACAAAAATAAAGGCACATGGATGAAAAAATAATAAAAAATGTAGTATTCATTATGATATTTTTTTAATGCAAAAGTCAATTGAACAGTAGCATACAGGAATTTTAAATGATTCTTATTCGTTTTAATGTCTGCTGTTGTAGCGATTTCAGTGTAAAACTTAACAAACGCATATGTATTTTGTTTGTTCAATATAGGTTGAAAATTCCTATTGACTTTTAAAATAAATAATCGTAGCTATGGTATGGCCTACAGATCAAAAAACAAAGCAGTAGTGGTTTTGCCGTTTGGTAAGCCTAAAAAATGTAACAATTATTTATTTACACAACCGACTTATAGCAACATGTTATTTTCAGCCTTTTTGTAAACTTAACGTTTTATAGAATTTTATTTTTTTTCAAATCACTTCTATAATAACAATATTATTTTGGACGTTTTAGTATTCGTATTAGGTATTATCCATATGGTTACATCGGGATTATTACCAAAGTTAGGAATGTTGGATTTTCATTCTTCTCAAAGAATAATTTATTAAAAAATATGTTTCTAAAATATATTTCAAAATGAACGAAGCAATATTTAAACATAATATTATTGAACAGTAGCTTGGTATTTTACAGGTGTTCTGGTGTTTACTCGACCTACGAATCTTAAAAACAGTAGTGGTTTTGCCGTTTGCCCCAAAAAATGTACTACTTGTTTACTCAACCGCTAATAAAATAGTTCAAACATATAAATACGAAAACAACTGCAAAACAAAATATATCAAGAAAAACAACTAGTTTTTGGTAAAAAAAATGTGTTATAAAACCAAAACAATGGTTTTTGTAAAATACGAAGATTCATATAATATTCCAAATTTGTAATACCTATAAAATTTTACCATTTGCTTACATTACAATAGTCGTTGTGAAAAACAGCTTGCTTTTGATAAAAAAAAAAACAATATGCAATATTGGTTTTAATAAAAAAACACGATCAATGATTTTACAAAGAGTCCTTGTAATAAGCTATAATTATGAAAAAAATTTTGATTTATAAAATCACAGTACATTTACTGTATGTCTCTCTCTTACGTTTGTAACGTCCGTTATTTCTACCGATCGGGGCTTTGACGTTTTAGTTTGGCATTTTTGGGCTTATAGCTGGCAAGAACAAACGATACCAAACAAGTTGGCCACAGAAAGAGGTGCAGGGGGCAATTTTTCCCCTAGACAATTGGCCGCCTAAGAACATACCACCAGTGCCCAAAATTCGAACCGGTGACCGTGTGTTGACACACTGCCGCCTTCTCTCACTTTACCACGCGCCTGCACACAATACATTCACAGTTAATATAACAATAACGTTCTACAATGCATTCAAATACAGCTTAAAAACAAAATTTGTTACAAAAAATAGCTCTTATTTTCATTTGTTTACACTGCCTCATTCGATGCAGATAAAAGTTTACCTTCAAAATTCGTTAAAAATATAAAAGTAATTTATTGCAACTTGTAATATATGTTTAATTATTATTATTATTAGTGCCTTTATATGTGTAATCGTCAATAATTGATTAATTAAACTGCCGTTATAAATTTTGTTTAAATCTTATGTTTACACAATAGTCAACAATATATTTGCTTACATCATTGAATACCGTATTTTTCAACAAATAGTACAGTTTTATTTTTTTCTAACGACATCAAGTTAGAGCTCTTATTGCTTTTTTCGAAAACAAGTTGATTTTAAGATATTGTGGTTTATTTACATCGCCACAATAGGGTTACACAGTGCATTCTATTTAATGCAATAAAATTTGTTTTTGATTTTGTAGTATAAATGTAAAAGGTGATTTAACATACAATACAAATAAACTGGAATACATAATATTAAACGTATTTTGTATTGTCATTTGTGTATTTATATGTTTGAACTATTTATGATCTCGTATTGTAAAGCCCTGATGTTAGAATAATTATTATAGATGCATTTTAAAATTTATAATTAATATATATTATAAATTACAAACCGAACTAATACATTTTTTTTTAGAAATATTGAAATAATAAAAATTAATTAAGGGCATTATGTGGCGTAGAGAACACTTCAGCTGTTAGGCGGCACAGGAGGATTAGCTGTGTCCGTTAGACAAGCGCTATTTTGAAATTGATATCGCTTGAAATGTGTAACCACCCGGCACCCCTAACCCTATATGCCCCTACCCTAATGCGCTGCATTAGATAAATTAATAAATTTTATGTTTTATGTTGTAATTACATGTACAAAACAACAAAGCTAAAATATCACAGTTTAAATGATATTCCATGTGACTGTTCATATCAAGTATTTGACGATCAAGAAGACAGTTAATGAAGTTTCGCATAAATATTCACAAATTTAGGAGCGAAACAACATTTTTATGTTTCATAATAACAGCTGTAATATAAATTTAAATACTTAAACTCAATTTGAGTTTAATAGATTTTAGTAGATATAGGTTTTTGTCCTTATGTGTTATAATGTGTTTAATAGGAATTGTAGAGTTATAAGTTGTTCCTTTTTTTTACTTTTTTAGAGTGAGTTATGTAAATTATGTTCTCCGGTTTAGTCATTTCAAATTATAAGTATACGGTTATTACAGGTGTTGCGATTTATTTACTTAGCAACGACACGCTAACTTTGCTAACAATATATTTTTATGTTGAAAAATAACCGTACAATTTTAAATCATACAAATTTTGGGAAAATATTGTAAAATTTTTTAAAGGAAATAATATAGGTCAAACATTTAAATACAAAAGCAACTGCAAATAAAAATATGTTAAGAAAAACAACTTGTTTTCGATAAAAAATTAAGTTAAAAAACTATACAAATTGTTGTTGTAAAATTTAAATACGCATGAAATATTATTCTTTGTTCATGAGACCTATAGAACCTACCATTTGTTTACATTACAACAGTTGCTGTGAAAAACAGTTTTGATAAAAAAAACTATTGTACTATACTGGAGTATAATTTACACGATAAATAATTTTACAAAAACTCCTTGTAATAAGGTATAATTATAAAACATTTTTGGTTTAGGAAGTCGCAATACATTCACTGTATGTCTCTCTCTTACGTTTGACTTCCGTTATTTCCACCGATCAGAGTTTTGATGGTTTAGTTTGGCATTTCTGAGCTTATAGCGGGTAAGAACAAACCGCCAGTGGCCGAGATTCGAACCAGCGACTATGTGTTGATACATACAACGCCTTATCTCACTCCACCACACGCCTACACACAATACATTTACAGTTATTATAAAATAACGTTATACAATACATTCAAACACAAACATCAAAACAAAAATTGTCACAAAAAAATAGCTCGTATTCTTAAAATGTTCAAAGTTTATGATACCTATAATAACATTGTTTACATTACAACAGTCACTTTAAAAAAAAAAAAAATAATACAATATTGGATTACAACTTTAATAAATATTAATGTTTAAATATAACATTTACAAATAACACAAATAGTACAGTAATCTAATAAAACAAAAATAACCCTCACACCCATTAGAATTTTAAAAATAAACACACACAAATTAAAAAACAAGCTAACAGTATACTGCTTCGATTTTTTTTTTAAAAAGTCTTAAATTAAATACATGAAATAGCTGGACGTTTTGAAAATAGTGAATGAAGAAATAAAGTTGAAGTAATTTTATAGCCCTAAAATATAAAAAAAAAAAAGTTTAATGTAAGACAATATTATAAAATATATAAAATGTAGTATCCTTCGGTCGAGGAAGTCACTGTTTTTCATAAATAATTATTTTTATAACTTAAAGTAACAAAAACGTATAGGTTTGATTAGGTAGAAAATGGAAATAAAAAAGTCATGTTTGATTCAAAACGTTTAGAAAAGTTAAATTAAACAAGAACTTGTTTACTGTTTCTGAGCTGATTGGTTTTCGATACTCGTTTGATTCGTCAATATATACCTTTTGATATAGTAACATTATAGAGTTCAGCTATGGATCTTAAAAAATATTCCATACAATTTTTGCTGTATCTTTACAATTTTAGACCCGAAAATTCGTATAGTGATTCAAATCATTTATTGGGGATCGCTTTTTTAAAATATGTACTACTAACATAATATCTAATGCTTTTTGTTTTTTTTTCAAACCGATAAATTCGTATTCGTATTTAGGTTACCTAAATATTTTTTAGTTTTATGCGAAAACATCTAATTATTTAAACAATATACGTGTTAAATATTTCTCTGCTTATGTACTACAACTTTAAACCTATGACAGGTCTTTGTCTCTCAGAATTTCAAAACTCAATTCAGCCCAAAACTAGTTTTTGCGATACACCGAATTTGAATTGTTTTAATAAATCTAAAACAATAGATAAACAGTAAAAGTTTCATAACGCCCTTTGAAATTTTATTTGTTTATTTAATGCGTCTAATATAGTTTCATTTCAATATACACCAGGTGTACCACAAAATGTTTTAGGCGAGAAGGTACAACATTTTTACAATAATTTTTTTTTTTATGCTCCGCACGCATTGATTTTTTTTTAACGTTGGCTCTAAATGTTTTTGGCTTATTCTTTCGATAATGACGTAGCTACTATCGATAAACATTGACAAACCAAAAAAATATCAATAGCTCTTTCCCCATAAAGGCTGAAACCAAACTTTTATTTTGAAGTTAGAAATAGAGTGGTTTTATCATTTTCGCTTAAAACAATTACCTAACCTAAAGACCTGTGGTTATGTCATCATTATGCCCAATCCCACTGTACTTGCATTTTATTTTTGTACTTACTATATTTTGGAAAACTAATAATATTAACTTTCACAAGTCTAAAATATTTGACAATTTTTATTTTTATTTATCACATACAAAAAAAAAAAAACTATTAACTAAAACAATAAGTTATAAAGAAACAAAAAAATACTTGCCTAGAAACGGGACCTTTTTGAAAACGGCCACCAGCTCAATAAATCTTTCAAATCGTTTTTCGAAACAGCTAGAAATCATTATAAAAGTATTTACATAAAAATTAACTAAACTATAATATACTGCAACCAGTTGATTGGTTGCAATTATTATTATCACACTATTAAGTACAATATTTGCCAATAACGGGTATTATCAAAAGCCATCTAAGTACTTCTCAAAAATATTGTAAAAAAAAAACACCTACCGAAAATAATTTACGCAAAACGTCAAAGTGATTATTAGCTATTCACATTTTACATATATACTATTTTACAATATTTTTTACTAAATTATTATGTGTCGTACTTGACGGTATTTGTTGTAATATATAGGTCATGTCTTCAAAGGTTAGTACATATTTGGATAAGTTGTCTCTTAAGTAACGATCTATGAATATTCCGTCCACTTTTTCACCACCAAAACTACTGTAAGTTGTATATAGTCGGTTAACATAACTTATGGTACCATCAAAAATGTAGTCCAATTGCTAAAATCATTACATTTTTCTTTTAATACACAATGTGGTAACTATTATAACATAAATAAAAGTGTCTCAAAATAATACCAGTAATTATTCACTAGATTTATAGAGTATTTAATAGTTATATACATATTTTTTTAATGAATAATATATTCAGATAAAAAAAAAAATCATTTTTACCTCATCAGTTAATTTGAATAACTGTATTTTCATTGATTCTTTAAATTCCTCTTTTGATATACGAATATCTATTAAACGTTGTAAAAATATCCATGTTAAAATTTAACAAACTATATTATTATTATGTAACAAATTAACAGGTTGTATGTAATCATTATTATTGTGTTTTTATGTACAATAATTGGTCAAAACTGATATTATTAGAAGCCATCTACTAACAATTATTTTGATTGTCCACTTGTTTAATATCTAGATAATCTACAATCGTGTTTGAAAAAAATGTATGAAAATGTCGTAAGAGGAATCTTTCAATATTAACTACATCTCGTCTAAATAAAAAAGACAAAATCGGCTTATATATGTAAAACTTGTTATTCCTAAAAATCTTATTCACATATATATTTTACAATATATTTTACTAAATTATCATTATTATTCAACGTACCCGACGGCAATCTATTAATTACATATTTGATTTCCTGTTCATATAGTACATGTTTCGATCCAATGGTTTTCTTACATAAGTAGTGTTCTACTGAACGCTTGGTAACACATCCTTTATCGTCGTTTTGTACTGCTTCATAAAGTTTTTCTAGTTGCTAAAATAATTATATTTTTATTTTTATTTTTAATACACATTACAAATACTACTATTTTAGAAATAATGTGTCTCAAATTATCTCTAGTATATTATTTACTAGGTTTATAGATTATTTAATAATTATAATTTTTTTTAATGTATTATAATATATTTAAAAAATACAAAATTCAATACATAAGTCAAACTCTCCACCACAAGATATTAACTTATAGGTGGGTTGCCCATATTACAAAGTTTATATTATACTGTAAGTTATGTTATATACGTACACCATGTAACTAATTGCAAATAAATTAGATTAAAAAAAATGTAAAATTACCTCATCAGTTAAATAATTTATTTTTGCTTGCATTAATTCTTTCAATTCCTCTTTTGACATACGAATTTCTAGAAATTATTATTAAGTGTTGATATTAAAAGTTACCAAACTAAATAATGCAGTAACGAATAAACAGTTTGCATTTACTATTGATGCGTTTTTGTGTACAATAATTTGTGTATAATTTGGCCATAACAGGTATTATTAAATACCATTAATAAACAATAATTTTGTAGTTCCGCTTGTTAAATTTCGAAATAGTTAAAATTCATGTTCAAAAAAAAAATGTAATGGTGAATGTCATAAAATGAATATTTCAATGATAATAGAAAACTAAGACGACGCAACACCACCCATTTTTTAGGATACTTTGTTGTTTGCCACTTTTTTGTCAGACTATCACAGTAATTTCTTTAGAATAATAAATTACAATTTTTTCCCCACCAAAACAGTTTTACGCGGATTAATTTTTCTCAGGCTTCAAAATATATAGTTAAGGAAAGAAATTCATACATGTGAATTACATTCATATGACAAAATTATCTGTGTTCCAGCATCCTTATTTTTTCGATATACCTAATGCAACCAACGCTATATCATTTTTATAAAAGAAAAAAAATTCCTTTCTTAATTAATTAATTGTTCATTAACTGGTGAAATATTTAAAAAAAGGGCCTAGTAGAGCACAGACAATGTAGTTGTCAATATTATGTGTAAATTTAGTTTCTTAGTTTTGATAATAGCCTTTGTAAAATTAATCTGCACAAGGCGAGTTTTATGAAGGAAATAACGGGTGTGAGACGTTTTCTCACGACAAAAGCGTTACACGTATGTGTGTAACTTTTCTTCCTAACTATCAATACAGGCGACTTCTGCAAAATATTACAAGCATTATTCAGAAGTATTGAAAAAAAGCGCTTTGTTGTAAAAAGATAAAGTGATTACTAGTCACATTTCACATGTACATCGTACAATATCTAATGATTATTATTATTTAAGGTACTTGGAATATTTTCAATTTTAAGCCCGATATCCACTTCAATTTCCATTTTATTCATTCCAATGATTCTTTCAATTATGTAAAATTTAACTGAATTCTTTCCAGCATCTTCTCGTAACGTAGAATAAATCTCGTCCAATATCTAAAATCATTTTTTTTTTTTTTATCATTAAAAGTATATTTACAATCTGTTATATTAGTTACAATAAGTAAATTTGAAAAAAATATAATACAATGACAGGACAACGTGTTAGAAGGGGGTGTCCAGTAACACTACTTCAACTAGATTTAATTACATAATTATAATTGTTTTGAATTTCTTAATTTTTTTTTCTTTTGTAGTTATTGAGAAGGTCGCGTGGCCAATTTCGTTTTAAGCGACGAGGAGGATTGTTTGGAAGAGTAAGAGAAGAAATATTGGATATTAGTGGATTCGAGTGATATATAGTGGTAGAGTGGAATTTTTTATAATGAGTGGATGCAAGAACAGGAATAGTAGGAATACTGAGGTCATGATGTGTACGATTGCTTACATACCACGGCGAGTTAGTTAGGAGACGGACGTTAATTGATTGAAAGGATTGAAATAAATTTGGATTTAAGATTTTTGTCGATCCCCAAATTTTGATGCCGTAGGTCATTGCAGGACGAATAAGTTGTTTGTATAGGAGGATTTTATTGTTAAGAGAATTTTTTGAACGGAGAAGATGTGTTAAGCTATGGAGTTTTAATTTAAGAGATAGTGTTTTAGTTTTAGTGTGAGTAGCCCAGGTTAGTCGCTTGTCAAGATGCATGCCTAAGTATTTAACAGGGTTTTCTATTGGGATTATATCTAAAGTCATTACATGTTTATTTTTTTAATAGACAATGTGAATACTATTTTAACAGATATAGTGTGTCAGATTATTGTTGATTCTCAGTGTAAAACAGTATATATCTTAGTATTCACTAGGTTTATACAGTATTTGATTATTATAATTTGTTTTAATGTATCATGTATTTATATAACATTTTTTAACAGGTATGTTCAAGTTATAATTAATAAGGTAAATTCAGATATTATTATTATATTTATATATTCCGCCTATAGAATAAATACCCCGGGAGATAATTCCAGAATATTAATTGTTGAATTAAAATCACTTTGTAATTAAACATTTGTAATTTAAAATTACCTTATCAATCAATATAATTTTTTTTTAGATTGTAATTGTATATTTTTTTTATATGTATTATAATTTGAAAATTTTTATATTTTGTGTTGTTGTGCATTCACTGTCAAACTCTCAACCACAAGGTATTAGCTTATAGGAGGGTTGCAAATATTAAAAATTCCTACATTTAGTATTCATTTTTTTTTTCAATTTTATTTTGTGTATCTTATAATGTAAGTTATGTTATCTACGTACAACACGGAATTAATAATAAATAAATATATTTTTAGAAACAACAAAAATGCAAAATTACCTTAACAGGTAATTTAATTTCTTTTATTTTCATTGATATTGCGAATTCCTCTTTTGACAAACGAATATCTAGAAATCATTATAAAAATATTCATGTTAAAATTTAACAAACTATATTGTTATGTCAGAAATTAACCGGTTGCATTTATTATTATTGCGTTTCATAACGGGTAATATTAAAAAACATCTAAAAAAAAAAAATTTTGTTGGTCCGCTTTTTAATTTTTGTAATAGTGTAAAATCGTGTTTCAAAAAATTCATAGGAATGTCGAAATTTAACATTTTGATATTATATACAATTAGTCTAAAGAAAACAAGATAAATTCATTTTATATTTTTATAACTTGTTCTTCCTAAATATCTTTACAGACAATTTCTGCAAAACACTATAAGTACTCCTTAGTAATGTTATAAAAAACACACTACATATCGATTAAAATAATTTATATTGAACACCAATGTGATTACTAGTTATTTATATATCGGTGCCTAATAACTATCATAGCCAATCTTAGATTTTCCAAATTTTCAGGAGGAACAAAAAACATATCACAGATAACTTACAATTTTATACAGGCCCTGATGACTTTTGATTGTATCACAGCGACCTCTTGGTGTCAAATATTGAAATTAATAACACGGTCTCAAAACCATTGGTTTATAAGAAAAAATTTCTTTGAGATAGGTATGTTTGTATATGTATATTTTACTAAACTACTATTATTCATTGTACCTGGAAATTGGTTAAATATCAATTTATATCCAAGTAGTTGATGATTCATTCCCACGCGTTTTTCGATTAAGCAAAATTTTACTGGATCTGAGGATTCAGCATCTTTTAGTACCGCATCATAAATTTCGTCCAATTGCTAAAATCGTTACATTTTTTTTTTTTTGATTACACAATGTGATTACTATTAATAGAGAAATAACGTGTCTTAAAAAAATATCACTATTCTGTATATGGATCATTAGGTTTATAGAGTTTTTAATTATTATAATCTTTTTTAAATGTATTATATATTTAGCCAAAAGTTATATTCAGATATTTTTTCTTTTATGACACATTGTTAATACTACTCTTATAGAAATAATTTTGTGTCGATTAGGTTAATAAAATATTTTTTTTTTTAATTAGATGCATTTAGATTGAAAAAAAATAATATGTACCTCATCAGTAAATTTTGGTTTTCTTATTAATTCTTTAAATTCATCTTTTGACATACGAGTAACTAGAAATCATTATAATGTGTTGATATTAAAATTTAGCAAACTATATTATTACGTAACGAATTTACAGGTTGTATTTGTTATTATTGCATTTTTATTTAAAATTTTTGGTCATAACGGGTATTATTAAAAGCCATCTATTAACAAATAATTTGGTTTGTCCACGTGTTTAAATTTTAAATAATCTAAAACCGCATCTAAAAAAAAAAGTATGGGAATGTCGTAAAATGAATATTTAAATACTAATTACAATTAGTATAAAAAAAATAATATAAAAGCGGTTTATATTTGTATAACTAGTTTTTCCTAGCTATCTTTACAGACGATTTCTGCATAGTATTATAAGTACTTCTCAAAAATGTTATTGAAAAAGCACACTACCTACCGAAAGTAATTTATGTAAAACATCAAAGTGATTATTAGTTATTCACATTTCACATATTATATATTTTACATTATCTTTTAACAAAATATTATTATTCATCGTACCCGTCGGTAATGGTTCTGTTACATCTAGCATTTGATCAACGTCCATGTCATCTAGTTCTTCGCTAGATGATCTGTTCCAAAACGAGCTTCTTATGGTATTCCTGTCAAACGTTCCACTTTCACGACATTCAGAAATGCGTTCCAATTCATTAGCCATATATCTTTGGGCACCAGCATAAATTTCCTCCAAAACCTAAAATCATTATTTTTGGCTTTAGAATGAAACATGCTTAACCCTGGCCTCTCAGCTCGAAACCGACACAAAATAGCGCCTCGAAAGTAACGCGATCTAGCGGTTGCTTTTTTATTTAATTTGTATATACATTTATATGTGTATAAAATATCTTGAGGCAAATATTTTAAGTTTTTAGAGCTGGACAATTATTATGTAATAATAATAATTATATTCAGTGCATCAAAAACCTTAATTATTTGATTGTTGTATAAATTTATTACTTACTTACTCACACACATATTTTAAATAATAGATAAATTGATATACATTGAAAGGTACAAATCTATATAATTTTTTACCATTTTTTAAAATGGGTAACTAAATATTTATCCAAAATAAAATTATCTCATCAGTAAAACTTGCTACACAAAAATATAGACACATAGATGAAAAAATAATAAAAAATTTAATATTCATTATGGTAAGGTACAAATCCATATAGCAATATTTTTTTTTTAAATGGGTAACCAAATATTCATCCAAATAAATGAAAATAATTTCACAATGAGCACAGTTAAACAAATGGTTCAATTTATCCAAAATAAATGATCTGGTGAATGTTGCCAATAAACCGTTTAGTGCCCATTATTAATAATCTTTAAGTAGACTGTAACTTTTTTGAATATACAAAGTGAATACTATTTTCACAGAAATTATGTGTCTCAAATTATTACTACTATCCTAAATATTAAGCAATAGAGTATTTAATTATTATAATTTGACAATGTGTTAGGTATTTAGATAACATTTTTTAATAAATATTTTTTTCAAGTTATTGGTAATAAGATATCATTTTTTTTTTGTTTAATACACAATATGAATACTTATATTATATAGAAATCATTTTGTCTCCAATTAGGTTTATTAAATAAATAGTACACATTTTTTTTTTGAGTTATATAGCTGGATAGAATAAATTCATATTTACCTCATCAGTACATCTTGCAATACAAAAATATAGACAAAAGTATGAAGAAATAATAAAAAATTTAATATTCATTATGATTTTTTTTTAAAGCATAAGTCAATTGAATAGTGGCATACAGGAATTTTAAACTTTAATGATTCTTATTCGTTTTAATGGCTGCTATTTTAGCGATTTCAGTGTAAAACTTAATAAACGCATATGTATTTTGTTTGTTCAATATAGGTTGAAAATTCATATTGAATTTTAAAATAAATGAAACGTAGCTATGATATAGCCTACAGAATAAAAAACAAAGCATTAGTGGTTTTGCCGTTTGGTAAGCCTAAAAAATGTAACAATTATCTATTTACACAACCGACTTATAGCAACATGTTATTTTCAGCCTTTTTGTAAACTTAACGTTTTATAGAATTTTTTTTTTTTTTCAAATCACTTCTATAATAACAATATTATTTTGGACGTTTTAGTATTCGTATTAGGTATTATCCATATGGTTACATCGGCATTATTACCAAAGTTAGGAATGTTGGATTTTCATTCTTCTCAAAGAATAATTTATTAAAAAATATGTTTCTAAAATATATTTCAAAATGAACGAAGCAATATTTAAACATAATATTATTGAACAGTAGCTTGGTATTTTACAGGTGTTCTGGTGTTTACTCGACCTACGAATCTTAAAAACAGTAGTGGTGTTGCCGTTTGACCCAAAAAATGTACTACTTGCTTACACAACCGCCTTATAAGATAATTTTAATGTACAGTGCCGCAACTACCATTTTGGAGGCCCGAATTGGGTTTAATTTTTAGAATCATCTTTTAACATAATGTATTATAAATAACGTTCGATCAAGTTAATTCGTTTGATTAAGTCATTATTTAAAAAGTTATTTACAGAACATACATATTTCTTATAAAAATACATGGCAAGCCACTACCACATCTAATTAGTTCTAAACGGCATTTTCTATATAAGAGTATTTGAAGGAGAAAAAAAACTAACCGAAGATAATTATCTATTATGAAGTTTTTTCTTGACTGGAATAGAGCCAGCTTCCTGAGGTGTAGCCTAAAAAAGCCGAGACATTAAAAATATATTTAAAATTCATTCTAAGTGTATCGGCTAGTAACAGAAAAAAATGGTTTTACTAGAAATACCATTATAAAAATTAAAGAGCTAAGTTATACAGGATGATTCTTTTATTACGAGCAACTTATTATCGCACTGAGTTTAATTAATAATTACATTTTTTTTTTATAGTGTTATTGTATAATATGATCTAACTTTTTCACGACATTTTTTCGTTTTTCCCCCCTTTCAACTTAGTTTTTTTGATAGCAACTTTTTAAAACTTAAATAGTAACCCATATATTATTTCATTAACTTTTTAAATTGAAAATAATGTACCAAAAGTTTTGACTGGTTGATAAACAGTTTTAACAACTATTTTCAAAGTTATAGAGGTCGCTGTGATGCAATCAAATGTCATCAGGGCCTCTATAAAACCTAATGATATCAGTGATATGTATTTTGTTCCTCCTGAGTAGTTAAAAAAAATTGAGATAGGCCTAAATGGTTCTTAGGCGACGATATATAAGTTACTAATTATAACATGGGTGACCAATATAAAGCATTACTATCGATAAGTAGCGTGTTTTTTTACAACATTACTGAGGAGTACTTATAGTGTTTTGCAGAAATTGTCTGTAAAGATATTTAGTAAGAACAAGTTATAAAAATATAAAACGCTTTTATATTGTTTTCTTTAGACTAATTGTAAATAATATTAAAATGTTAATTTTCAAAGTTCCCATGAATTCTTTTGAATTATTTAAAAACTAAACAAGCGGAAAAACATTATTTTAAATGGTTTTTAATAATACCCGTTATGACTAAATAATGAAAGTTTCAACGCATTCATATTTTGATTATGGTTAGAAGAATTGTGATAAACATTCATATATTAATTTTATGACATTCTTCATGAAATTTATTTTGAACACGGTTTTAGTCTGTTACAAAATTGAACAAGCGCAACAACAACATTTTTTTGATGGCATTTTGTTACTTAATGGTAACCCATATTTTTTATTACATTTTTAAATTGAGAATAATTTACCAAAAGATTTGTCTGGTTGATAACCAGTTTTTAACAACTATTTTTTAAGTTATGAGTGTTTAAAAGTTAGGATGGAAGGGGTAGTGTGATTGTGAAGTGCGCGCACATAAAAACAATGCTACACTGCACCTTTCCTCCTGCCCAAACTTGAAACTTCAGTAACTTTAAAAGTAATTATCTAAAACTAGTTATCGACCACTCAAAATTTTAAGTAGAACATTCTTAAATTAAAACATATTAATAATATATACGTTACCATTTAAGTTTAAAATATTGCTATCAAAAAAACAAGTTTGGGAAGGGGAAAAACAAAAAAAAGTTGTGAAAAATTTAGATCACATTGTTTGAAAAAAATATGATAAAAAAAAAATAAATATTCTTATTAAATCCTAAGAGATATTGAGTGGCCCATGATGAAAAAATTACTTTGTATACTGTAAAAGAGGTGATTCATTAAGGATATTGGATAACACACACGTTTTCTTAACAAATATGAAAACTTTTAAAATAATTTTTGTTTTATACTTTTAGATATTGTTTGTTATTCGATCTTTATGATAAATTTCATTAGTAAACTTACAACATTCATACATCATTGAATTATTATCTCTAGTCTTTACTGAACTTTGGTCTGGCCAGCATAAGATTCATTTAAACTAAATATTAAATTGGAATTTCTTCACTCATTTATAATTCACTGTGTAATAACCGGTTGATGTACAAATCAATTTTAAAAATTATATATTAGTGTTTTTTGACCAAGAAATTATTTAGTACATTTTTTTTGGGGGAGGGGGGTTTCGATTACCTAGTCGTATGATATAAAACGAAAAAGACGTAAATATGAATTGTTACGTTTGGATTTTAAATATATATTTATATCTCGTGGTTATGTTGTTAAGAACTCCAAAGGTCTAGCGCGGTGTGTTTTGGCAAGTTTGGCTTTGTTATATATGTAATAAAACGAAATTAGGTTTTTAAAAGTTTAAACATTTTTAACGCTATGCGCTTCATATGATTATCTTCCGCACCAAGCACTGAGCAATATTTAGCAAACTTTACATATGAATGATAGACCCTTCCCAAAAACATAGTCATGTTATAATGTATAATATAATTTGAAATCAACTCATTATACGTTTATTGAATTGAATACCATGGGACATTTTATCTGACAATGTAATATCCTTCTTTCCACCATCGTCTGTCGTGAGCGCTGAAGATGACAGCTCCTTAATGGTAGATGTACTCAGATTTTTCTTACTATTAAATTCGTTAGTATATTATAAAAAAAATTGTAGTTTTATTATGTTAAACATACTCGATATAAACACAAATGTGTTGTATACCTTCAGCTAGAATTTACAGAAATGAGAAAATTGTAAGTACATTTATAATATACTATTATTTATATAATAATAAAAAAACTATAAATTATTATGCATACATATATTTTTTTTTGTATTGTATTGTATTTTATTATTATCCATATTCCTACAATTGGTCTTAGAACACCTAAAAATGTCTACATACGGTCATGAATAATGTTGCTATATTATTTTTATATTTGAAATTTAAAACGTTTATCATTACTTTTCTAAATAATTTTATATTCACTTTCTTAAACGGGAAAACGTATTGAAAACACGTTTTAAGTTGTATTATTTATTTAAAATAAGAAGACTACTTGTTTCGATTTTTTGTTTTGTATGCTTGTTCAAACAGTTACAGTCATACATCTATGTCCTAAATAAGAAAATATTCGAAAACAAAAACAACATGTTTTATCATCGACCTAGTCATATTATTTGAAGTCTCCAACGTTAAAACGGTTTTGATTATTATTATATTTTGGGTCCATGCATGTTTTACTTGAGTAGTTAAAAATTTAGGGCAATTGTCAGTATTCCGAATTTAGTTTTATAAACGTATAGAAAAAAAGTATATTTCAATACATTCCATCTCTTATGGAATATTTATAAATGAATATAAATGTTTGGATAATTATGTGGATCTTACAAAAATTGTGATATAACATACATGCTAAATTAGGCATTTTATACAAATTAAGAAATATCAATTGCTCAACGACTGCCTTTAAGGTAATTAATGCATGTTATATTATGGAAGTCGATTGTTGAATAACTGTTTCATTTACATCACAAAGACAAATTTGAGCAAATAAAAAAGGATTTAAACACAATATTAAATGAAATATCATTAGTCGATTTCAACATTAACCTAGAAAAGTTATTTTAATTAATTCAAATTTTTTTTCAGAATTTAAATCTAACCACCCTGAGTTGGTGTAATTATGTCAGGCTTTCAGGCCTAAAATATCCAACCAATAGGTCACTTAACCCCTATTAGATGGGTCAAAACCTATTCACTGGAATCAAACTTATAATTTTTACAACAGTTTTTGACTATAAATTCTGACTTGAGAGCATTTTCTTTAATTTGTAAGCATGCTGTTCCCAATACACGTTCAATCAAGATTGTCAATATATTATTTTCACTTCAAATTATCTGTTTGTATCATAACCCTTTTTTGTGAAATGCGAAAACCACTAAAAGTAAAACATTTTAGCTTAGATGCAGAGCGGCGAAGGTATTTTTTTAATTTTAAAGTTAGAACTTTTACTGGCTATAATTTCGAGAAAAAGAGTCGGATCGAGTTTAAATTTATTAGGAATATTTATTTAGTATGCCCGCATACGTCAGTTGTATCAAATTTAAATTTTACCCATTTCCCACCCCCCTAGGGAGTATAATTTTTTTTTGTTTTTTGGGGTTTTCAGCCGTAATTTTAAGACCTTTGGGTTGAACATTTGCCAGTAGTTAGAACTCATATGTGTTCAAAACATATTAAACGAAAAACAAATTCGGCAAAACAGCTTTCCTTTAATTTCCGAAAAACTGTGTTTTTCGCAGATTACGTACATTTTAACAAAAAAAACCTAAAATGTTTAAAAAAATGTATCAATTTTTTTTTTTTTATACTACAAACATGGTGTACCAGATGTGAGAAACAAACAGACGCTAATAACTGTCGGTTGGTAACATCGACCCGTGTTAGGTTAGGTTATGACCCAACGGTCGGTATCATAATATTGTGTTCATTACATGATAGTACAGACGACTAAATCGTGTATTTCATCACAGTAGATATACGATTTATTGGGTATATGAACGTTAGTAATATTTAACTAATAAGTAATATATGTAAGTAAAATTATTGTTTTCTCCATCAAAGTCCCAGTATAAGATTTCATTTTAGTTTAAATGTTAGAAACTCAATTTTTCTTTAGAAAACAACAAGAAATCAATATACAGGTGGTGCAATAAAACCAGTATGCAAAAAATCGAAACAAGTAGTCTTCTTATTTTAAATAAATAATACAACTTAAAACGTGTTTTCAATACGTTTTCCCGTTTAAGAAAGTGAATATAAAATTATTTAGAAAAGTAATGATAAACGTTTTAAATTTCAAATATAAAAATAATATAGCAACATTATTCATGACCGTATGTAGACATTTTTAGGTGTTCTAAGACCAATTGTAGGAATATGGATAATAATAAAATACAATACAATACAAAAAAAAATATATGTATGCATAATAATTTATAGTTTTTTTATTATTATATAAATAATAGTATATTATAAATGTACTTACAATTTTCTCATTTCTGTAAATTCTAGCTGAAGGTATACAACACATTTGTGTTTATATCGGGTATGTTTAACATAATAAAACTACAATTTCTTTTATAATATACTAACGAATTTAATAGTAAGAAAAATCTGAGTACATCTACCATTAAGGAGCTGTCATCTTCAGCGCTCACGACAGACGATGGAGTTTCTATTGAGAAAGTATGTGAAACAGTTTTGGGTATCTAAAGTTACGTGGTTGGCATTACATTAGAACATGGTGACCCTACGTCAACCGTCTGTCAAGTAGTTCACAGTGTTATGAGCTAGAAAGAGTAGATCCGACTTTGACTGAAAAGTGGCGTTCAGATAAAAAATACTTAAATAACAAGAGTAACGGTGTAAAGTTGTTTTTTGTTTTGGATAGTAGGCAAATATGAATTATGCTGATCCTGTTTTGTAGATTATACGCCAATTCAATTTGTTATGTTGGGGAGGCATGGAACGAGAACCTCAATAAAAAGTTTTTCTGAAGAATCGATAAAGAAACTAATAGAATATCAAACCAAAATTACCACAAGTGCTACATTGTGTGAAACAGATATCCAAGCAATAAAAAATTGGGTAACAACCATTGACACTACCAACTACAGACGTTTAACACCAAATGGCCGCGATGAAATAAAAGGATTGGCAATACGAATTCGTGAAGCTTTTTCAAATCTATTCCAACGGAAATACTACCCCAATATTTATGAAGTATATCACCTCGTTCCCTGATTAATATAGACTTATAATATAAAGAGTTGTCTGAAATTTGTGTTACAGTAATATAGTTCTAATGCGAGTAAAAAAGTCATTTTTATAAATTGAAAGGTAATTTTCAATCATTAAATAAAATAATGATTTTATTTGAAACTTTATTTAGCTAAAACTATTCATTTTATACAGACAATTACTGTAACGTGAAGTTGGAATAACCCTGTAAAATTATATACATTTTTAAAAATTGTTTTGATTATCTTAGGTTTTGACCATGTCGTCTTTACGTTTTGTAATTTCCGCTCAAACATTTATGCAAAACGTTTTGAACGATGACAATTTTGAAATTGTCACCGAATCACATGTATGTGACCGTAGTGATATCTTAATAGAGGTACGTCTAAAGTGTGCACGATTTTCTTCGTTAATATTTAGGTAAATCTCATGTAAATTGTATACAGATAGACAATATGATGAAAGCCGATAAGAATATCGCTGAGATACAACCATATTATAAGGATCAAGTAAAAGAATTCGAGGCGGGCCCTCACATGACTGGTGTCGTGCAAAGGGTTGCAGCCAAATTGGGCATAGAATCTAAAGAACTGAACCCTGGTAAGTTAACTAATAGCCAAAAGCAACATAATTTTAATGGTTTCATACTACTTTGTGTTTTCAGAGATAATAACAGCTATGTACGAAGTGAGTGCTTACGAATATTCTATTGACCAAAATAGGATACCGCCTTGGTACAAAGTATTCTGCCCAGATGACCTTGAAGTAAGCAAATACAGTAGACAAGTGATTTTCATGAACTGTTAGCATTTGATAGTTTTGAAATGGTTTTAGATTCTGGAGTATGCCTGGGACATTTCTTGGTATTATGTTATTGGTTATGGAAATCCTTATAACGCAAAACTCGCTTGTCCGACGGCCATACGTCTCGAAGAAAGGTTCAGGTATTATGAACTTACAACACTATTTTTGTTACGGTGATGCTTATTTTTAATGTGTAAAATGTATGTACTGTAATTTTTGAAAGTCCCGAAGGGATTTATTATCAGTTGAACATATTGCCTTAAGCAATTATTGCCATTAATTTAATTTAAATATTCATTTTTTAATATGAAGAAGGATGGTGATATAAATTTACAGTCGATCAAATAGTGACAATAGTATGATTTCAGAAACAAAATCAGTGGAGAAGGACCGGATGGTGTATTCTACTTTGCAAGCGAGAAGAACGTATTGGTTATGCTCATCATGTTAGGCCTAGCTAACGGTGACGCTCCATTTACAGCATCCAACTACAAATGTATGAAGGATCTTGAATGGAGAACTTCGTTGTATGGTCCATTTGCTGCAAATTTTATAGCAGTGATTATAAAGTCGCATTTTATTTCAACGAAAAACTAACTTCTATAACTTTAAAAGATGGTTCGTTGTGTGCATACTGTTCGTGGCTGGATATTCAAGAAAACTTAACAACCTTCATAACCGACAATGACTGTGTTGAGTTTGTAGCTACTAAAATAAAAATAAAATAATAATAAATAGTGTTTGAAAGTTTCATGAAATATGGAATTTTGAAATATTTCAAATCCATAAGATTTTTCATCAATTTATCAAATTGTATTTTTTTCATTATTTTTTTTTTTTTTTTTTGTCTTTTACAATGTAAAACAATCTAACTGTTTCGCTTTGATCAGTTTCCATTCAATATTATTTTCAAATAGTTTTAAGTTATATTGTATTATAACCAATATTGTTTGATTTTAGTTATTCAGTAAAAGTTGTTATTTAATTTAAAAAAACTACGCGTGTTTTAATTCAATTTATTTTGAGTATCTTTTACAATATATTATCTTATTCTTAAAGACTTAGATTGACTTAGACTTCTCATTCTCGACGCAAAAACGTCTGCATTCCTTTAAAACTTAAACTTCGACGGCCTGAAATAAATTGTAATTTTCGATACATGCTTGTGTCCAGCGAGCTATTAGAAAGATAATAAAGACCAACACCATAAACAAGTCCATCGCTAACTGTTAAGCATAGTATACAAGAAGATAGAGATGAACAAGATGAATTTGTAAATAATACTTCTGAGCCTCTTGGAGACCAGATAAAAAAACCGGTTAAAAAACAATAAAGAGAAAAGGAACCAGAACTGATGTACTCGAAATGATTAGGAATGACAAACAAAAGTTGTATGAAAATTATATCGACATTCAAAACGCAAAACTTTCTGAGCGAAAAAGAAAAAATGATCTACAGAAAAAAAAAATAAACTGCTTAAGGAGTACTTAAGAAATACAAGCAAGTAAATCAAACAACTGTTTATATAATAGACAGATATATTGTTATTGTAGATTTAATGTTCAAATGATCATGTATAAATGTTTTGCATTTTTTCCTCGAAGTAGGTATTCTTTTATAGTTTTGTTTCACTTGATTTTCAGTTTTATATTTTAATAGTTACTTCTTATGACGAAATAAATGAATTATAGTAAATCACAAAATCTATAAGATCTTAAGCACAAATGTCGTTGATCGGAAATCCAAAACTGTACCGTTAGATGGTGCTGTTTTCACAAACAACAAATTCAATGATAATAATTGATATTATATCTATTCCATTATTATTATTCACTACTTTAAATTTTTTAGTTTTTTACTGTCGAGAATATAATATTATATAATTATATTTAATATAAATAAAATGCCAAGTTGTTGCTTTTGCGGGAGATGGCAAAGTAGCCAAAGTAAAAAACAAAGGCATAACTTTTCATAAGTAAGTTAACTACGTACATTAATCAATTGTTTGTTAATGTTTGAGAATGAATTGATATGACTGTAGATTACAATAAAATTTATAACAATATGTGTTGTAATTATTTTAATATATTTATTTATTATATTATACATCACATGCCTACATTGGCAGCTTGGATGGAATTTGCTATATAATGTTCATCAGAAGTGAAACCTAGGAGTGTAGTGTGATCTGCTCATTTTACAAAGGACTGTTTTGATAGTTTTTTTAAGGAGAAGTGTACGTAAAAACTACCAAGTTTAATTTTTTAGCTAAACAATACTATAATTCAGGCTAAGATATTGTATCCTAAAGTTTTGATACCATTAGATCAACCATTAGAATCCGATTATTGCAACCAATTTAGTGATTCTTCTACTGAAAGATATGTTAAGATATTTGACTTTCATTGAAAGTTGTAGGGGTACTTTTTATAACTTCAGTCTCAGTCAACAGAATATCAGGGTTTATTCGATTAGATTTCTGAAATATTTGTTCCATCTGCTTTTCAAATTCAAAATACTTTCTCTCTCTTCCAGTTTTCTTGCTGTTACCAACAAACAGCTTTATACGATCGTACTAATGTCTGAAATTTGTTGTTGACTTGCGACCCTGTTAAAACGTTAGTTCCTAACCCGATTCCAAAATAAAATTCATATTTAAAATCAACTATATTTTATTTAAACATTAATGTTACTAGATCGCTGACAATTGACACCGAGTGGAATACTTTTCTTTGGGCATTTAAATTTGCTTATAAATCGAGGCGTTGCGCGGTAAAGTCGGCCAACTCCACTTTTTATGCAAATTTAAGTAATAAATATTCTTATAGAATCGTTCACGCTGCATTCACTGGTTACAATGATTTTCATTTAAAATTATTTACCGCCAAGATAAAAAAAAATGTTGCCGTTCTGATAGTGTCAGTAACAAGTAGAGCAATCTACGATTTCAAAGTTAATATGTTTTTTGCAAATTACAAGAAACCACTGCGCTTGGAAGTTACAGACTTTGCCGGGCAACGCCTCAACTGTTTGCGTTGTGACATATATTCAAAAAGTATCGTTTCCAACGACTTGACAACATGTTGCAGCGCTGATGGAACAGAAAACATTAGGTTAGGTGTAATGGAAACATTTTTAATATTCATATTTTCCAGAGAAAATGAGTGTTTTACATCAGTTGGAACCACCCCGTATAGTACACAGTGTTGCATATAATGCGTCATAATGTTCAATATTTGTCGTTGTTCAGTAAAAGACGCACGTACATTGTAAAAACATATTTTCATAAGACAAACATTAACAATACAAATACGAAATCGATGATTCATTTTTACTTTGGACGATTAAGTTTCTATCTAAACCGAAAACACTATTTATTTTCACACAGCTTTTGAAGAAGTACACTCATACAATACATTATTGGGTAAGCATATTTTTTTCATTTCCATTACAAAATCGCCAGAGTTGAATTCTATTATATTTTAATGTCTTACGACAGTAGGGTAAACAATCCATTGGTACGTAATCGTTATAACTTATCCTATACACCACTTTCAGATTTTTCCCTGCCCAACTTAAGCTCATTTTATTAAACTTTAAATAAAATTAACAGATAACAATTACCAAAATCTTAATGTAATTTTCTCATTTTCAATTATCTTCAACTAAAAATAAAGAGCCATACATTAAAAAAAAAAAAAATAATAACAATAACAATTCTATTTAAATAATTAGAGATTAGAACAAGAAATGACTATAATTATAAAATATACATAGTAAGACATCCGACCACACATCTACTAATTTTGTCCATCACGCCTTAATCATTTTTAATACGGTCGTGGACGTGTTTAAAATAAATGTTTTTCTTAAAGATTAATTTATTTTTTACATTTATAGAAATTGTAAAGAATAGTATCCATTAAATTGTTTATACAGTCTTTGAATGTAAACATGTGATCCAACGTTATTACCGCCGATACTTCGGCGTGAAGTTATGATTAATTACACTCCTTCAAATATTACTTTAAACTCTTTCCTTTGATCATCAATTAACACTATAACACTATTACTTTTTTTTTTTAATTTTGCAATACGAATTCATCAAACTGAATGAGTCTGATCGTAACTGGAAAAATGTCGTTCTCCGAAATTACCCAAAAATGGTTATGATATAAATTTAAATATTTAATTCAATTAATGTAAGCGAAAAACAAAAAGGTTATATTATTATTCCGTTCATAATTATTTTTAGTGGTTTCATATTATTTCCAAATTCAGTATTTTATGCGTGTGTTCAAAAACACAAAAATATCGAACAACACTAAATACATAGTGTGCTATCCGGCTTGAAATTTGTTCTATTTTATATAAATTTCTATTTGAAAAGTATATAATTATTATAAATAAATTTAACAAATACAGAGTGATCTACCACTGGCGTAAAACTGCGTTTGATTAGTCAAATTTTACAATAAGTTAATAATTGTATGCGGTCTTATATTTTGACGTTTTAGACCAAAAAGCCAGAAAAAATGTTGGTCACTTAAAATAGTCTGATTTACTATGTAGGAAACAGATTTTTTATTTTTGTTTATTTTTATTGAAAAATATTTCTATTAATATTAATAAAACAAAAAAATGAATTATTTAATTACGAAAAACTGAAATTTTTAATTTAGTCACCTAAATAATTAGTTTAAGTAGCCGTAACTAAGAACTCGAATCTTTTTGCAGAATTAAAACGAGACCATCCTTTGTAGTCAATATTTTGTCCGGGTTTTTGATCTAAAATAAACTAAAATGTATTTTACTCATAAAAAAAAATTATTTAAATTAAAAATAATACCTCGAAGGGATATATATATATATTTCAGATAATATTTTAAACATAAAATATTTTACACAGAATATAGCAATCGATACAATGTTGAAGCTACTGTGTACAGTAGCTTTACTTCTAGTAACTGTTAAAGCCAACGATGAAAAGACTATTCCATATGCGTTTTTCGGGTCTAGGACTACATACAAAGCAGTTACAACAACGAAGATTGAAATACCGAATGGTAAGACGTATTTTTTGTATGTGCTTTTTTTGTGTCTGTTCCCAATTGACTTTGAATCATTCTAACCCATTTCTTAAAGTTCACACTATCTACCACAAAGTCACTATTGTAACAACACTGTGTCTCTATTGAAATACGTTTTAAAAAAAAATGTTTTTTATTATACAAGCTGTTGCTAAATGGTCAATGTTCGTATGTTCAAAATTTTGAAATGTAAAATTAATTTAAAAAAAAACAAAGTATCCACACTACAAGCGGATACATAGGCACATATATATGTCTAATGACCGAGTAAATGTCAATTTAAGTTTACTATAACAATTTTTAATCCAGTGGCACTAGGCTAGGTTATGAATTTAGGTAAGTAAATAAAGAGATCTATGCTTCAATTGTTTCTTAGGCGACGAGGAAGAATTCGGGAATATGTTTTATGTGAAAATTATAAAGTTTTTTTGCTTTAGAATTTTTTTGTTAGTATGTGATATTATTGCTACACCTCAAATTTGTGGTCTGCACCGTGCGAGCCGACTGAATTGAGTAAGGAGTTGTACAAGAAAATGTTGGTGTTGAAATTGAGTTTTTGTTAAAAATGGAGATGAAATAGTCGTGGGTATTTGATGTTAAGTGATTGGCATTATATTTTAACACATGATTCCAACGTTAAACGTCTGCCATTTGTTATGCCTGTTTGTCATAGTCTTGATGGTTAGTATAATGATTCCATTTAATGATAATGGAAGAAAGGTAATTGGACGAAGAGAAAATGTAGTTTGAGTGATTTCCATTAGGTAACTTTAATTTTCTAGGATTCTTCCCATTTATCTAGTAAGTTAACATATTGATGTAATTCGTTTGAGTTGTTTGAATGGTTTTCGTTAAATGTTATAAGAGCATTATCTTCAGCGAAATAAGCTTGTTTTTTCGCTTTATGGTTGATAAGCTGCATAAGGGTCAAGAAGCCAAATACGAACGAACGTTTGGAGCTTCCTCTGAGATTTTTTTGAAAATTAAACTAAATGTCTAGTTCGATGAAAAGAATGTTCTCAATTTTTTTGGGATTTTTTTTTCGATTATTTTGACCATGGTCATAAAGAGTATTTTTAGTATTTTTGTTGACACTTCTTTTTTATAGTATTTCGGACATCAATTTTTTTTATACAGTTCGTATGTTAAATTATCTCAGCGTTCTAAAAAAATATTGATTTGTTTGTTCTATTACCAGAAAGTCATTAAAATTGAGCTAATAATCTAAAAAGTTTGTTTTTTCGTGTTCGCCCAAATTTTTCAAATATTTTTTTCAGAAGGCTATGACCATTTTACAAAAATTGTATAAATTTCAAATTGTGTTTTCCGTAAAAACGAGCAGAAAAACAAAAAACGAGGTAAAATTTCATAGAAAAGTAGAAAAACGGAAAATTATCTTATGTTAACTATTCTGATTATTGTGGTCGTTTTCCATACAATTTCACCTTTTTTATTTTGGGTTCCTTGTGGGACTGCACTTATATATGACTGCATTTATACATTTTAGGCTATAAAGAGTTGTTGTTCAAATGTAAAATATTTAAATAATAATTATAATGATTTAGGGAGGGTTTTTTTAACTTTAGACGAAAGACAATAAAATTATGCCAATACTATTTTGTAGGTTTTACGCCACGTCAAATTATTATGATGGCGAGACATGGAACGAGAAACCCAAAGAGCGGCTTGTCTCAGGATTTGCTACCAAAACTGATAAAATATCAAACCGAAATTACAAAAAGTGCTACATTGTGTGAAAAAGATATCGAAGCCATAAAAAATTGGAAAACTAACCTTGACGGTACTCAAAACAGAACTATAACACAAAAAGGACTCGATGAAATGAAACAACTGGCAATAAGAGTCCGTGAAGCTTTTCCAAATCTATTAAAACGGCAGTACAACTCCAATATTTATGAAGTATACCACATAATTAACATAAAAATACAAAGAGTTGTCCGAATTTTAGGTTACAGTAAAATACAAATTATGTAAGCTAAAAAAAATAGTTTTAATAGACCCTAATCGAGTTAAATAACAAAACAGTACATTTAATATTTCTTAAAATATAATACTCTAATCATCAAGTTTTATCTAACACTTGTTGTCGACCAGTCATTAGTCATCAGGTATTATGATCTTTTACTTTCAAAAACTTACCTCTTAATATTACCTTTTAAAACAATGCATTTATTTGACTTGGTCAATAAATACAATTGTTAATCATTAAATAAAATTTGGATTTTATTTGAAACTTCATTAGGCTAAAACTTTTCATATCATAGAAAAAATTACTGTAACGTGAAATTGAAACAACCCCGTAAAATTTTACAAATATGTCAAATTTTTTTTTGATCATCTTAGATTTTGACCATGCCATATCCTCGGTGTAAACTTTCGGCTCAAACATTTATCCAAAACATTTTTAATGATGAAACTATCACCGAACTTCCTATATGTGACTATACAGATATCCTTTTAATGGTAAGTTTGAAAAGTATGTGAATTACTCTGATATAAGTGTAGGTATATCTTATGTTAATTTAATACAGATAGACGGTATGATGGAAGCCGATACGAAATTCAAAGAGTACCAAAAATATTTTCTGGAACAAGCAAAAAAATTCCAGGAGGGCCCTGACATGGCTGGTGTCGTGCAAAGGGTTGCGGCCAAATTGGGCATAGATTCTAAAGAACTTAACCCTGGTAAGATGAATATTATCCAAAAGCAACATCATCTTAATGGTTTTATACTATATTTTTTTTGTAGAGATCATAACCACCATGTACGAGGTGAGTGCCTACGAATATGCTATTGATGAAAATAGGATTCCGCCTTGGTACAGTGTATTCTCCCTAGAAGACCTCGAAGTAAGCGAATATAGCGGACAAGTGATTTTCATGAACTGTTAGCATTTGATTTGAAATGGTTTTAGATTCTGGAGTATGCCTGGGACATTTCTTGGTCCTATGTTATTGGTTATGGAAATCCTCATAACAAAAAACTAGCCTGTCCGATGGCCATACGTCTCGAAGAAAGGCTTAGGTATTATGAAATTTCAACACTATGTACGTTACGGCGGTGCTTATTTTTTTTTTTTGGCCAATAATTTTCGTCTTAAAGCCCTACATATATATTTATGTAGTATGAGTAAAATGTATGTACTGTAATCTTTGACAGTTCTGAAGAGCATTATTATCTTGTTGCAATTATGGCCTCAAGCGAATATTTGCATTAATTTCATCTGTACATTTATTTTTTTAATGTTGAGAATGCTTGTGATATTAGCTATTTATAGTCAAAATCTAGTTTGTAATATTTCAAAGTGTAAGAAAAAATAAAGACCACTCTAAAATAAAATAACGTAATTAGTCGATGACGTGGTGCATAGGTGTGATAATAGTATGGTTTCAGAAACAAAATTTATGGAGAAGGACCTGATGCTGTATTCTACTTTGCATGCGAGAAGAACATAATAACTCTGCTCTTCATTTTCGGCATAGGTAAAGGTGACGCTCCGTTTACGGCATCCAACTACAAAGGTATGAAGCACCTTAACTGGAGAACTTCGTTTTACGGTCCATGGGCTGCAAATTTTATGGCTGTGCTTTTCGAAAAAGCTAAGAATGACTATGTATCATTTTATTTCAACGAAAAACCAACTACTATAACTTTAAAAGACGGTTCGTCGTGTACAGTATGTCCGTGGCTGGATATTCAAGAAACGTTAATAGCCTTCATAACCGACAATGACTGTATCAATTTTGTAGCTACTAATACCGTGAGAAACTATAAAGATACAAATCTATATTGGTATTTTAGCACGAACACCACATACAAATTGGTTTCCGCCAAAAAAATCATTATACCGGGTAAGTACATGCTTTGAGGATACGATTTAAGTTAATAAAGCTATTTTAATTTAAAATTCCCAATCTATCATCTATATTAATTATAAATATATATTCTCACGCAAGATTTTTTTTTTATTTGTAACTGCCTGAAATTATACTTTACTAATAGCTTATTAAATCTATCTTTGTTAATATCTCAACGGGTCTCTCTTAATAGACGTTATTTTTGTTTTATAGATCTTAAACCAATTCAGATATTTACTGTAAACAGTCGTGGTACGGCATCTTTAACAAGTAATTTTGCTACTACAGTGTTACCTTTGCTTGAGAGTTTGAAAGAAAAAATCACCTTTAATGCGAAAATGACACAGTTGGATATTGAAGCTATTAAAAATTGGCCACAGAATATTGAAAACAAGCTTAAAAATACAAATTTCATCCAAAAAGGTCATGATGAAATAAAGAAATTGGCACTGAGAGTTAGAAAAGGATTCCCGGGTTTATTCGAACAATCAGACAACTATATGGTACATTGTATTCCACTAAAAAAATAATTTACAATATAACTGAACACCAATACATTATTTGGCGCTAAAATTTTAGGCATTGACAATTGGAGAAGAAAGTTGTAGGGAAACTGGAATAGTATTTCTACAAAATGTTTACGGTAATAATAATATTACCGACGTTCCCACATGTAATGATGATGACTTTTTTTTAATGGTAACTATATTAAAACCTAGATATTTACGTTTATTATTAACCTGATGATTAATGTTGATTTAGATTGAGAATATAAAAAAACGAAAACATGAGGAGGACATAGAGCTTGAAAGTGGAAAATTCAAAAAAAGCGATTTTATGAATAAAGTTGTTGAAAGAGTTAAGGTTAAAATGGGAGCTGACGATATAACTATAGGTAAGTAAAAACAAAAAATACATGTTAATAGAAAAATTTGGACCTGTAACTAACTTGTCTATTTATTAGATGATGTAAACATAATGTTTGGAGCATGCCGCGACGAAAGGTCATTGGATGACGAATCGATTCCCCCTTGGTGTAGTGTATTCCGTCAAGAAGACTTAGAAGTAAGCACTGCTGTTTGGGGTTTTATTTAAAAAAATATTAAATTTTTTTTTGATAATTTCGAAATGATCGCAGGTTTTGGAATATTTCGATGAATTGCATTTGTACTATGCTTATGGATACGGAAAGCCGTTCAACGTAAAACTCGCATGTCCAATGGCTATAAGACTTCTGCAGACTTTGGAGTATTATGAATTTATTAGCTTATTATTTTTTTCATACAACTTTCGTACATAGATTAGTTAATTATATGAAATATTGGTGATCCAACCAAAGTTCGGCAATATTTTTCCGAATAACGAATACAATTAATATAATAAATATACTCGAACAATTCTGCGGTTGAGAGCTGAAAGATATGTGTGTAAATGCAAATTAGAGGTTTTAGATATCACCCGTAGTCAGTTAAAGGTGTATATTTTCTTGCGTTAACAAATGGCAACTGTAGATGATTTTAATATCAGATGAGATATTCGGACATGTACCAATTGTGTCGAATGTTTCATAGCCGTTAAACCTTATCACGTATCTTTCATTCACTCTGTGTGATGGCAAAATACCGTTCGTGTAGACAATGACACTAACCGATAATTAGTAGCGTTTTAATTTCGCAAATTTGGTGACTTTCACCTCCGTTCCCCTCGTTACAGTACCGATTTGGTCGAGTTGGTGGTTTAGAGAGTTGGAACTTAGAGAAATTGGTCCATAGCGGTTGTGTTTATAAATAAATTGTATGATTTACGATTTCAGAGATAAAATAAATAAAAAAGAAGGACCCGATGGTGTATTTCACTTTGCAAAGAACACTAACATTTTGAGCTTACACGTCATGTTGGGTTTGGGCAAAGACGACTGTCCACTCACGTCGTCAAACTTTATAGAAATGAAAAATCGCAAATGGAGAAGTTCCATGTTCAGTCCGTGGGCTGCAAATTTTATGGCTGTGCTATTCGAAGGCGCTAATAATGAATATAAAGTAGCATTTTATTTCAACGAAAATATTACAAGCATAACTTTAAGAGACGGTTCGTCTTGTACGGAATGTCCGTGGTTAGATATTCAAAACAAGTTGCAAGCATACATAAGCGACAATGACTGCGTTCATTTTATAGCTGAAAATTAGCCCGCAGACAATAATAAAACAGCCCAGCCGTTTCGCTTTTATCAGTTTCCATTTAACATTAATTTCACATATTTATATATTTTTTTTTGAATTTCTTACTTGTTCACTGCATATCCTGTTTTTTTAGCATTAGGTTATATATTTATTTTTCATTGTTCATACTTCGTTAACTGTTATCAGTGTTATTCTGTATATTTTATCATAATCCGATTGGCGTTTATAATATTACATAAGTTATTGCAGCGGTGTATTATAAACAATATTGTTTGATTTCAGTTGTTCAGTAAAAGTTATTGTTTAATTTAAAAAAAAATACTATTGTGTTGATTCATTTTATTTTGAGTATCAGTTACATAATAATATCTATCTTATTCGCAAAGACTTAGATCGATTAAAATGTTGCGACATTTGTTATCCGATTAATGTTAAGTCATAACATTAGATTAATGCAATCGTTAACCAGCAAAACAATTATACGGTATGATTATAATAATAATAATAATTCATTTGTAGCTATGATTTATTCATCCACCAACGTTCGTTTATCGATCTCATTTCTCTGCGTGTACGTTATAACATACGTCTACATTGTATACAAACTACCTTGTCTTATAAATATTTCTTTACTGATCTTACCAACTCGGTTTACTCTATGGCTCTATGATTTAGCTTTAATTTGTTTCGCTAACATATATATATATTTTTTAAATTTTACATAGACACAAATGCTTCAATCATTTAAAAAAGTAAAAGATGTCTTCTCTTAGCATTTAACAAGGAGGCAATAATAATGTTTTTTTTGTTATTTATATACTTTTAAATATTTGTAGAGATTACAAAAATTGGTCTTATAATTTTATTTGTAAAAAATAAAAATAGAATATGTCTTTAAGCGTGATCCACGAACAAAAGAACGGGAAAAGGAAGTGTATAAATTGGTCAAGTTTCGATAAAAGAGGTCCAGGGATTTTTAGAATATGTGGTATATAAAAAGGGTAGATAAAGAAGTGCTGACGTGTCATGAGGATGTGAAAAAGAGATGGAAATAGTAGTTTGAAAGGCTAATGAATGAAGAATTTCCTAGGGTGAGGGAGGGGAGGGAAGAAAGAAAGCAGGTAGCGTTGAATTTAGTTATAGCGAACTTAATTAGGGAGGAGGACTTATGGAGGAAAGTATACTGGTGCCAATATTTAAGGGCAAGGGAGACGTGCAGGAGTGTGGAAATTATAGAGATATAAAACGGATGAAGGTTACAAAAAAGATAATACGAAATGAGACTACAGTATCCAAGAATCAATTTGGGTTTATCACAGGGATATCATTTATGGAACCAATATTTTGTATGAGGTAGATTGTGGAGAAATGCAAGAAACGCCCCATTATGCTTTGACCTCGTTATGACTCGACCCCACTGTACTGGTTTACATTTACGTTTTGGGGTTTTTCCTTAATAAAAAGAAGTTTGACTGCAGATTTTTGAGAAAATTGTATATGCTATAGCTCCATTTCAGATTTACATTGGGTCTAATTTTCAGACCTAGATTCCTAAAACTTTGCTTGAAAAAGTGAAATAAAAGACAAATGTCTATCCCTTGTAGGAGAAAGAGTTTATGGTATTTTTTTGGTATGTTTATGTTTATCCATAATACTATGCTTAGAGAATATTTTCTTTATACATTTGGATTAAATTCGATTATTTTAGAAAAAGTTACAGAGCACTATAATTTTAAGTTGAAAAATATGTACATTTTTTGAGTGATTTTTCTCGGTTTTGAATGGGAAGGGGTAATTTATTTAAATTTTTGGCAATTTAATTTAATAATTAAATAGTTTTGTGATCTATAAAGAAGCTACACGAAGAAATCGGAACAATAGCTTTCACTGTTACTTAGATAATATCAGGAAAAAAAATTGTAAAGAGTGTTATTTATTTCTGGTTATTGGTGACAGTATTATTGACGGGAGTCAATATTATTGTTTGATGGGAACTTGCTGAGCTACCGACTTTAAAAACCTAACAAACAATGATCTTAAATTTAACTCTTTATAAATTCATAAATGACAAATCGGTAATTGAAAATTTGAAATAAAAGTAACCGCAATAAAATAAATTATAGGACGTAGCCGATTTACAAAGTAGTCGACTAATTTTTACTAATTTTTAAATAATATTTTGTTATATTAGTCAACAAATTTGGTTATTGACTAAATTAACCAACCTAATATACGGTAAGTTATTTAATTTTATTTACCGATTGAAAAATGATCATTGTAATAATAATAGAAACTGTAATCTTAACGATTTGTTTTCTATTTTTTCGTTTAATCCTTAGGCCCTCCGGGTTTTTCTTCTTTACCTTATCCCATACAAGTACCCTAGATTTGCGTGCATTGTATAGTACACAATATTACAAATAAAACATGATGTTTAATATTTATTTGTTTGTTTAAATGGTACCACATAAATATTATACTGTAGTATAGTTTACGAGGAGCAAAATGTATATTAGAAAAATAAGCAATAAAAATGTAGGCCAAACAGCCAACAACAACAGAAGAAAACAAAATTGTCAACACAGCGAAAATTGTAATCGTGCCTATTGTATAAATCAGCCGAATATACTTTGTCAAGTACACTCTCCCGTAAACGACCGTCTGTTCGTGAGGAGTGTTTTATTTTTTTATTTATTTATTTATTATTTATTATATAATTTACGCCAAACAGAATTACAAATAGAACACAACAGCATAAACATTACAGTGCATAGTACAATCCGCTGTGTTAGTGACCATGAACTATGCCGAGCAAAAGTGGTGAACACTTTTGCTAGACATAGTTGGTCAATGGGGTGATTACAACCGTAGTTGGTGCTATGTCTAAAGACAACAAAGGTAGCGTGTGGTGCGTTGAATAACTCAGAAATTTAACAAAAGTAACTGTCTGGAGAAACGTCTTAAGGTTTCCGTCGACTGTTCTATCTGCCAAGGTAGTTAAGCCTAGTATATAGAGGACAAGCGAGTAGTCATGCAATGGGTGGGATTTATATTAGGAGCATGTCTAGAAAAAGCCAGGAAGCATCTATGGACTCACTCTAGAACGGAGCAGTCAGAAGTAGTTAAGGAATGCATAAGACGGAGCCATACTTTAACAAGGTTCACATTAGTGAGTAGTAAAAAGCCTTGAGGGATGTAGAGAGCTTGACATACGCTTTAAGAAACCTGACGTCTTATAAGCCTTACAAACTTATAGATAATATGTGAGAATCGAAATTAGCAGTTAGCAAAATCTATAAAGATAGCATCAACCTGGGAATTCCTTGCAAAAGCATCCATAGTAAAATTATTGAAGTAGTTGGGTTCATAATAGTAGAGCGACCCGGACTGAATCTATTTTGTGCATCAATTAAGACAGCGTTAAGTGAGGGCTGGATATTGAGTAGGATGAGTAATTCAAATAATTTTGCAATTTAACTTACAATTTAAATTGGTCTGTAGTTTTTAATGGTGGTTTTGTCACCACGTGACTTTTATATAGGAGTAACTAAGCTGAGTTTCCAAATTAATGGGAAAATGCCTTCATCCAAAAATCGTCTAAAAAGCGACCAAAGAGGAACACAAAAAACGGACTAAGTTGTACAGAAATGTACTGGGTAAGTCAATTGGCCCCGTTGATCATTTAGCTAAAATGTTTGAAGCTTTAACACAGTAAAGTGCACTATGGGCTATTTAATAACAAGTATGCGGTATCTTTTTAGCAAGGACAATATAATTTATATCTTTTGAGAACCAAGAAGAGAACTTGCTCTTCACAGATTTGAATTCAGGAACGAACTTGAAATGAATGTTTTATGAATATTATATCTTTTGTGTGCATATTTTTTTGAGTTTACTTTAAGAGTGTTACTTTTCTAGTATCTACATTGAGTTAATAATAAGCTAAGTATCATTAAATAATAAGTGTACTGTAGTAAAGGCACCATCTCTTAAGCTAAAATACGACTCTGGTCTCTTGCTAGTATTAGTAGTTGCGTACAAGGTAGTAACCCATTAATTTTAGTTCATTGCTCGGCAACATAATTGCCCTGAGGCATTGCCATCTATAATCGCAGGCCTGGCGTTGTTGGATGGAACACAACTTGTTGCAGAATCAACCCACAAGAAGCGGCTGGAGCTCTGTCCTTTTTCCACACTACTTATTTAGGGTGCCTTCGTTAACTAGGTTAAAGGTATTAGTGTGCGAATGTGGGTGTACGACAAAAACTGTTTTATTTTGTACGTCATTGCACAGTAAAGGCGCGCGTACATTTTAAAAATCATACACTCAAAAAACAAACACTGACAATACAAATACGAATTCGATGCTTCATTTTTACTTTCGACGATTAAGTTTCTATCTAAACCGAAAAAACAATGTAGTTCTACGCTAGGTACATTAGAAGAAGTACACTCTTACGGCATCTTACTAAGTAAGCATATTTTTACATTCTCATTACAATATCGTTAAAATTAAATTGTTTTATATTTTATTGTTTTACGAATGTAAAATTAAAGAATCCATTGGTAAGTTATCATTACAATTATTTATCCTAAACGTCACTTTTCACATTTTCCCTTGCACCCGTTCTCATATTTAGTTTTTACTTTCTGTTACAAACGATGCCCAACTCTTACCACTTAAAAAAATAACAAATAAAAATTACCAAAATCTTAATCTAATTTCGTCCTTTTTCACTTATCTTCAAAAAAAAAAAAGAGCCATATTCAAATAAATAAAAAATAACAACTCTTTTGAATAATTAGAAACGAGATAGAGAAATTACCATAATAGTTATGAAATATATATTGTATGACATTCGACCTCACATCTAGTAATTTTGTCCATCACACCCAAATCAATACTGTCGTGGTCTTCGAACAGCCACATTGCCGCAGTAGAAATTCTAAAACACTACAACCAGATGTAGTGTTAAAAAAAAATGTTTTTCTTAGAGCTATTGTTGTCATATGGTTTTCAGCCAGCCGAATCGCCGTAGCAAAATTCGTAACTCTGTCGTGACCTTTGAACAGTCACATCGCCGCAGAGATAAATCCAAAATTTATCAAAAAAGTGGTCAAACCAAACCACAACATTAAAAATGTCTAAATCCTATAATCGTCGGAGCCCTTGAAACAGCTGCATTGCCGCGATTTGTATGCCAAACAAGTACCCAAAAGTCATCAAAATCTATTTCTCAATGCAAAATCTCTCATTATATAGCCAGTATTTATAACTCATATCAAATAAAAACCCTTTCGGCTTTGCCATTGCGAAGCTCCACGAAGAATTTTTCAAAAAAAAATTAACACTGACAAAATGTTTAGGAAATATATTTCTTTCATCACGAATAAAAACACTTTTGGCTTGGCCATTGCGAAGCTCCACGAAGAATTTTTCAAAAAAATTTAACACTTATAATATTTTTAGGCAATACTTTTCTTTCGCCACAAATAAAAACACTTTTGGCTCTGCCATTGCGAAGCTCCACAAAAAAAATTTCGCTAAAATATAAAACTTATAAAAAAAATTATTATTTTAAGGGAATATTTGTGTCTTTTATGGATGTCCTCGGAAAAAACTCATAAAAATATATTTGGCTTTACTATTAAATTGCTTACTGTATTATCTATTTATAAAATATATTAGCTATGTCCAAACGTTTCAAAAATAAAAACTATTGATAACTATATTGATTTTAAAAATATATTTTTTTGCTTCAAATGAATTGGACCAATGTCCAAAATCTTTACAAAAATAACTACTAAAATATGATACAGTGTGATTATTTTATTGTAAACCACTCAATATCATCAATATGATCTCAATTTTTCAAAACAATTTTTAATTTTATCCCCCATTCTACTTGGTTTAGTTTTGGATAACTATTTTAAAAGTTATTGAAGTTTCAAGTTTAGGGCAGTATGAAAGGTGGAATGTAGAATATTTGTTATCCAACCGCACTATGAGATATTGAGTAGCCCATAATAAAATATTCACTCTGTATTTAAAGTTCAGTTAATATATTAAAAATAATATGTTTTACACAGAATATAGCAATAGATACAATGCTGAAGTTCCTGTGTACAGTAGTTTTTTTTATGGTAACGGTTAAAGCCAACGATGACAAGACTATTCCGTATGCGTTTTTCGGGTCGAGAACTTCATACAAGACAGTTTTACCACCGCCAAACATTGAAATACCAGAACGTAAGACGTATTTTATCATATCCACCATTTTCAATACTGAACCAATTTGTTTTTTGAGAAGCAACTCTAAAAATTACAAATTTATCTACTATGTACTGTGGGTAGAGGATGGGGCGAAATGGCACTGGTTCTGGGTTATGAATTTAGTTAAGTAACTTAAAGAAATCTCTACTCTAATTGTTTCTTAGGCGACGACGAGGGCTTCGGCAATGTGATTTTTGTGTGTATGGGAAATTAATGGATTGTTGTGGTTAGGGAGTTGGAAGTAGAATCGTAGGTAGGATAATTTTGCTCGGTCGGTTATTATAATGGTGTTTAGGTAAGAGTGGATAGTCTTGTTAGAGATATATAAAGAGTTTTCAGTGATTGTTTTTAGGAATTTGGACTGGAAAATTGATTTTTTAGTGTGTGATTTTTTTGCTGCACTTCGAACGTTTACAGAACGTATGACTACATTGAGATTTGAGTAATGAGTTGTATAGGTCATATTAAGGTGTTAAAGTTGAGTTTCTGTTAAGAAAGAGATGAACTAGTTGTTTTTATATAAAATTAAGTGGTTGACAATACATTTTATCACGGGGTCCCAACGATAAACGTCTGTCAAGTGTTATTTCTGAGCATTTCGCTGTTCGCGTTGCTGGTTGGTATATTGATTCCGTTAAATGATACTGGAAGGGAGGTAAGTGGTCGAAGAGAGAATGTAGTCTGAAATGATTTAGATTAGTTAACTTTAAATCTCCATCTGATACCATTTATCAAGTAAGCTAGCATGTTTCTGTAGTTCATATGGGTTGTTTAAATGATTTTCGTTAAATGCTATAAGAGAGCAATATCGTCAGTGAAACAAGCTTGTATAATTGTTTTTCTTTGTGGTTGATCAGCTGTATATTATATAAGTTGAATAAAATGTGTAAGGATATAGAGGATATAGCTCAATGTGGGACTCCTGCGTTTATATTTGTGAAACTGGAAAGAGTCGATGCGATTTTAACTGGGAAGTGGGAGTAAAATATTCAAATAATATTTATAATGATGTAGGGAGATTTTTATACATTTTAGATAAAAGGCAATGCAAATTATACTAATTTTATTTTGTAGATCATACGGCACGTCAAATCATTATGTTGGCGAGGCATGCAACGAGAACTCCAAGTAGGACATTTTCTACAAAAAAACTACCGAAACTGATAGAATTGAAAAGCAAAATTACCAAAAGTCCTACGTTAAGTGAAAGAGATTTCCAAGCCATAAAAAATTGGGCAACAACGATTGACATTACTGGCCACAGAAGCTTAACCCCAAAAGGCCGAGATGAAATGAAAGGACTGGCAATAAGAGTTCGTGAAGCTTTTCCAAATCTATTCGAACGGCAGTACGACCCCGACGTTTATAAAGTACCTATATCGCATCGTTTCCTGATTAACACACACGTATAATATAAAGAGTTTTCGAAATTCATGTAACGGTAAAATAAGCTAATAAAATTATTTTAATAAAACCCTAATTCATAAAGTCACCTCTTAAAAACAATTGGTTATTAAGTTATGAAATGTAATTTTCAATCGTCAAATAGGTATTTAATTTGAATCTTTTTTTTTTTATTAAGATTTTTATTTCATAGAAAGATTACTGTAAAGTGGGTTTGAAACAACCCTGTTAGATTTTACAAATATTTAAAAAAATTGTTCGAACATCTTAGGTGTTGTCTACAAAGAGTGAGCGGTGTGTAATTTCGGGCAAAGTATTTATGGAAAATGTTCTTAATGATGAAGCTATCCCCGAATTACCTATATGTGACAATACGGATATCCTTCTAACCGTACGTATGACGTGTGCGCGATTTTCTTGACTATAAATGTAGATAAATACTATGTAAATTGTATACAGTTGGAAGGTATGATGAAAGACGACGAGGAATACGATGATGTACAAGCATATATTAAAGATCAAGAGAAAGAATTCAAGGGAGGCCCTCACATGGCTGGTGTCGTGCAAAGGGTTGCGGCCAAATTGGGCATAGATTCTGAAGAACTTAACCCTGGTAAGTTGACCATTATCCAAAAGCAACGTCGTTTTAATGGTTTTTTAATGTACTGATTTTTTAGAGATCATAACCACCATGTACGAGGCGAGTGCCTACGAATATTCTAATGACGAAAGTGTGGTTCCAGCTTGGTACAATGTGTTCTGCCCAGATGACCTTGAAGTAAGCAAATATAGTAGACAAGTGATTGTCATGAACCGTAAGCATTTGTTGATTTTGATTCGGTTGTAGATTTTGGAGTACGGCTGGGACCTTACTTGGTACTATGTTGTTGGTTATGGAAATCCTTACAACAAAAAACTCGCCTGTCCCGTGGCCATACGTCTCGAAAAATACCTTAAGTATTATGCATTTTCAACAATATGTATGTTACGGTGGACCTTTTATTAATTTTTTTCTTGGTGAATAATTTTCCTGTTGGTGCATATTTTAAATGAGTAAAATAGATGTACTGTAAGTTCTAAAGAGCGTTATGGCCGTGTTGAAAGATATGAGTATGCGTTTTACTAATTTGGAACCTAAAGTATAATAATTCCAATTGAAACCAAAAATAAAGACCACCCTAATATATAATATTCAAACTTATCGATGGCGTGGTGCATAGACTTGACCCTAGTATGATTTCAGAAACAAAATCAACGGAGAAGGCCCGAATGGTGTATTCTACTTTGCGAGCGAGAAGAACATATTGATTTTGTTGTTCATACTAGGCCTGGGTGACGGTGACATTTCGTATACGGCATCCAGCTACAAAGGTACGCAGGACCTTAATTGGAGAACTTCGTTGTACTGTCCATGGACTGCAAATTTTATGGCTGTGCTTTACCAGGACGATCAGGAAGAGTACTATGTATCATTTTATTTCAACGAAAAACTAACTTCTATAACGTTAAGAAACGGTTCGCCATGTACAATATGTCCATGGTTGGGTATTCAAGACAAGTTAACAGCGTTTATAATCGAAAACGACTGCTTTGACTTTGTAGCTACTAAAATAAAAAAAAATAATGATAAACAGTGTGTGAAAATTTCATGAAATATTAAATATTGAAATATTTCAAATCCGTAAGATATTTCAATTTGAATTTTTTTCATTATTTTTGTTTTTTTTTTTTTGTATTTTAACGATAAAACAGTCTAACCGTTTCGCTTTGATCAGTTTCCATTTAATATGAATTTCACATAGTCTTAAGTTATTAAAATGGTGTATTATAACCAATACTGTTTTATTTCAGTTATTAAGTAAAAGTTATTATTTAATTTAAAAAAACTTCACGTAGTATAAAATTTTGAAATATTACAAACCCGTAAGATATTTCAGTTTGTATTATTATCATTATCATTATTTTTGTTTTTTGTCTTGTAAAATAATTTAAATAAACAAATATTTCAGTGACATACCGACATTTTTTTCTCATTTTCAATTTACAATACTTTGTACTATATACAATTTATATTTACAAAATATAAAATAAAAACAAATACGTATATGTTAATTTTCCGATCTAATGTATTTATCATAAGTATTTAAAAAAACTGCATTTACATATAGGTTATAATATCACAGTTATTTTAAATAAACCTGAGTCATGTACACTGGATAGGAATCCATAGGGAATACACCATTGAAAACATACCACATATTACCTTTACAATACTCTAGTAATATATCTCTACTGAGTGAATATTGTGTGCTGTTCCATCAGAGAGCTGGTTAACTAAGTATATTAAAGTGTCAAAGATCAACCGTCTATAGTGCACGATGTGGTTGAACGTGGTGATCATCGACCGAAGTCGTAGCTGTGCCAACCGATAAAGTACATTAGATAGGAAACTTAGACGAGCTGGTATAGTCTTGATCATCATAGACTCGGAGAGCCCTTAACTTCCTTAAAATACCAACTAAAAAAAAAATCATAAATCTAATAAACTGATCGACACAATCATAACAAAGTAAGGTCGATTTGCATAGTAAAAAAAAAAAAACATAAGATACATACATAACAAAATACATCGTTACACAAAAAGAAGGATACGTGTAGTTATACAGCAACATATTTTTTTCATTATAAAAGTCTTAAATCAGAGACAACTTCTACACTGTCGTTGGACCAGAATAAGGTACGTGGAAATATTATATCATAATAATATTAGAGTAATAATAGAGTTAGCATATTTTTAATAACATACTCAAACACATCTCTATCCATCCACCATCACCACCTGTATTTTCTTTTCTTTTATTACAAATAGCGGAAAAATATATATACTTTCTTAAGTTATATTACTTCTAAGTACTAAAGGTTAACACATTCAAAATATTTTATTATTCTATTAAAAAAAATGCATATACGCATACATTTAACTTTAGCGATTCGAATTCAATTGCAATTAGTACATAATTATGAAACAAGGAATAATAATATAATTAACAAAAAATAATTACTATTGAATAAAATACATTGTGTACCAAATATTAAAAAAAAAAAAAAAAATGGTGGCCAATTCTTATTTTTATGAAACAATATGCAAATTGAATAAATAGTAGTACAAAAATTATAATTTTCATTTCCATAAAAATATATTTTATTTTTTTTTTATCCAAAATGGTGCAATTGGTCAAATTTCTACATCCGGTCTAGACTAATTTTACTATTTTATTTTGAATTTTTCTTTAAAATCTATTGAAGATATTATAGTATGGTTTTATCGTTGTTATTGCATTTCTAAATAATTTTATACTATTTACTTTCTTGCGTGCTTTCGATTCCGTAATCGAAAGCACGTTTTAAGTTTTGTTATTTATTGAAATAAGAAGAAAACATAATATACTGTGATGTGTCATATGCTTTTTCAAACAATTACCTGTTCGTCATATACCAATGCACTAAATAAAAAATATAACCAAAACGAAAACAATATCTTTTACGTTTAAAACTATAGTAAGTATACGTGTTAGATTTGATTTTATACTTTCAATTTTCGTTGAACCAAATGCGTTAGTATTGTCTAGTGAACGATAAATTGTGCGAACAACACACAGTTAGTAATATTTTTTGTGCCTGTTGTTTACCTTAAATTCTTATCGATATGAAATAACATATGAGTAACAATAATACACATAGAAATACATAATAATGGTCTATGTATCCAGGTCTTTTTGTACCATTAAATTTATATATGAAAGACCATGAAGTATTGTGTGAAAAAAATTCAAAATTGTTTTTGCTGTATTATTTTTTTTAGGTTTCGTATCAATGTGAATAACACACGTGAAATAGCCCACATAAAATACTTCTCTAAGTAAAATATACAAAACCACATAAGCAATTTTACAAATTTGGAACTTAACCCTCAGTAATGTGTTGAAAAATAATCAGAAATCAACATGCTTTTCAATTAAAAATAATATGTAGGATTCATTTTTGTTAATACCTTCTGAAATCCCCGTTTAAGCTCAAAAAATTTATAAAACGATTCAAATAGGTCAGATTTCAAATTAGGTAAATGTGTCATATGTCATTTTTATAAACAATAGCCAACAACAACATTAATAACTAAATTATTATAAGTGCTATAATAATAAACGTTTTATTTTTAATTGCCTAAAAAAAATTTAGGGTAGTTTATTCATTGTGTTATACAAAAGATTAACTTTGACCTCACCCGACCAAAGCATAATATTAGAATTACAGTACAAAAATTGAAAATTGATCTTAAAAATTGGTTATTTTACCAGTAAAAAAAAAAAATACTTGCTGCTAAAGCTGGGAAAACTAAAATAATACATTTTTGTCATTATTATTTCAAACTATAACTTTAAAGAATATTCCATACAAATTTAGAACTAATTCGACTATTTTGAAAAAAGCTATAGAGCATACTTAATAAAAGTGGTTTGGTAATACAAGCTCCATTCGGTAGTAGATAACAATATAGACTCTGAGAAGGCTGTATTGTATTTTTTGTTTTAATATAGTGAACGCATTTCGCCTTGCGTCGTTATAATACAAATTATATTATAAAATATAGCGTGGGCTGTTATTAGAGAATGAATTATTAAATGATGTATACTTAGAATGAACGTTAATAGAGTTGTTGGTGTTGCATCGTTTCAACTTTTAGATTAAAACTCATTCACAATATATATATATATATATATATATATATTTGTTTATTTATTTCAGCATATAATTTCAATGACGTTAAATATTTAATATAATAAAAAAATTATACAATTGAGCTGATATAAATACCTACTGATCAGTACTCGCAGGCGGTATTCGGAGCTCAATTATAATAAAGTAGCTTATATAATATTGTCAATAGGAAATGGAGTCACTTGTGGTATTAGTAATATTAGTGTTAGTAGTAGTAACAGGAATAGTTGAACGCAAAAAAACAATACTTTTGTTTCAATATTATTGTTATAGTAATAGGAGTAGTAAAAGGAAAAAACAATTACTTATATTTCAAAGTTTAGGAAATAAATGTAAGTAACCTACGAAAAATCATTAGCAGTGGTATGAAAATAAATATAATAAAATATTATATCGCGTAGAATTAGTAGTAGGTACCTACTTGTAATAGATCTAGAAGTTAAAAAACACTACTCATATTTCATTTTAAATACCACGAAATGGGGCATACATATAAATTTTAAACATTTTCTTACACACAACAGTAACGAGTAAAATAAACCACTTTCCTAAAATAATGTTTAATTACAGAACACTAAAGATTACTAAAATATGATTTGGAAAATATCATATTGATATAGTAAAAGTAGAGGTAGTAGAAAGTGAAAAACAATAATTATATTTAAAAATTAAATACCGTATTTTAGGTGTGTTCGCAGCAGTATTAGTAGTAGAAGGTTTTCACATTCTACACAATACTTTTATTTCAATATTAAATATCATATTGCTAACCGTAGTAAAAGTAGTAGAAATTGTACAAGTAACAGATGAAAAAGTATTAAATGTAGTAGTAATGGTGGAAATAGAATTCAAAAACAGTACTCATATTTCAAAATTAAATAACATACCGAATTAGTAGTAGTAGTAGTATAAGAATATTTTTATTATTGAAAACCGCTACTTAGACATGGGACGGCAATGGGGCGTAGGTATAATAAAAATCTTAAATATTTTCTTACACACAACACAAACGAGCGATTGCGTGGCCAGCCCAGATGGCTATTTTTGCGCCATCGGTCATTACACTGTTACGGTCGACTCCGGCGCGGCGTTGCGCATACGCAGGGACGTCGGGCGACGGCCGTCGGAGAGGGCGCAACGCAACCGGTTCGGCTAGTGGGGGACGTTTGGCGGCCCGGCCCAGACGGCGGCGGCGGCGGCGGTGCAGTGACGGCGCGCGTGACACTCGACGACGTCCGATTATTATACAGCTGTTATTATAGCAGTGCGCTGACGCGTTGCCGCCGTTTCGCTCGTCCCGCGTCCAAGCCGTTTGTATTGTATAATAACCGATATATATATAATAATAATATTGCATATTGTCTTTCCGCGGCCAACCCGACCGTCCCGTCCCGCACACGCACGCTGGTTGCCGGATGGCCGCGGCGGCCATGACGACGTGCCCCGGCTTTGCCGAGTACGCCGGGTACTCCGGCAGCCGGTCCGACTCGTACGCCGCCGTGGACGGCATGGCGGCCGCCGACAAGAGACGCCGGCCGACCGTCCGCGGCCGCCTGTCCGCCGTGTTCGAACCGTCGTGCAACAGGCTGTCCATGAAGATCTTCGGCAGCAAGAAGGCCGTGCTCAAGGAACGGTACAGACAACGGTCGCTGGGCGTTTGGGTCATACACCCTTGCTCGAAGTTCAGGTACCTGTGGCTTTTTCTAGGAAACGGCCGGGGAAACTAAAAATCTTAAAACTTAAAATTAGCGCAACACTTGTTTTTATTCCAACAAAACTCTCACTAAAAATATTAATCGTAGGTAATTTGAAAAGCACTAATTATAAGGTATTATAAAGGTAGTCATAATATTTTTAGTGTCTCGAGCCCCCCCCCCCTGATCTTCGCCAATGGGAAAGACACGCTGCCCCCCCCCTAAAAAATAAAAATTTTTTTTTACTGTTGTCCGATGAAAATGCTAAAAAAGCGTTTACTGCCCTAAAGACGGTCCACCTGCAATATTCTAAATGACAAAACCATCCCCAAGGACGACGCCAGTCGAATATCAGTGTTCCGAAAATTTCCGTCAACTCTTAAAGGGGCAAGAAAAGCCACTAAAACAAAACAAAAAACACTTAAGGGGCAAGCCAAAAATAATAAAATCAGCAAAACGAATGGATAAAAACAAAAACTATACTGTTAGCAAACGCAATGCTGTACTGGTGTGTTTAGTTGACTATTATATATTTAAATGTGATCATGGCTTTTAACCAATGTCAAAAAAAAACACCGCCCCCTAAAGAGTTTAAAAGCATCGGATCGTCACTCATCATTCCTTATTTATATAATGGATGTATTGGCATTCATAAAAAATGGATATATTCATGGGTGGAAAACATAATTTAGGGATTATAATTCATGCCAAATTGTTCGTTAAGTGAATATTATACTATTAAATTGTGTAACTAAAAGACACCTGATTACTATCGTTGGAGTTTGCTGCAAAACGAGTTATTTGGAATGTAATTACCATTATTATTATTATTGAATACAGTCTTCGGTGCTAATTTCCATTTGGCTTTTGCTATGTAAATGTGTAGGTAATATACATATTTGTTTTACCACTACATTCATATTATACGGTTTATTATTATAGCTGTCGTTGACGTGTATGCTCATTACAATATATTCAACATCTGAGTTTTGTTTTTTCAAACAACTGTTGTTCGTTTGAGAAACATTGTAAAAACCCGTTCATAGGTTTGAAACTGAATTAAAAATTAATCGTTTCAATACTTCGAATATTATCCAAGACAAAAAAAATTATCTGCATAATTCCCAACACTGGCTAAGAACAACTGTATTAAAATATAAAAAAAAAGACACAAAGACAAGGTTGCCAAATGTGCAAAAATCAGGTCTTGAGTTTTTAAATACCATTATGATATTATTATTTTAAGTAAACATAAAATGTAGGCAAATGAAAGACAAACAAAAAGGAATGTGCCCAAAAAACTCATTTTAAATGTAAAACAAACGACTTATTAAAACTAAATGAACTAAAAGGGAAACAATTAAATATCTTTTAATTGTTGTATAGTTTAATTATAAAGATTACTAACGATTTCGCTAGGGACGAATCATACTTTATAATGCCAGCGTTGTTTATGTTTATAAAATTCCTTTTCAAGTATACATTTATTTAAATAATTTTCATTTTTTAACAAACCATAGAATAACAAATTAAAACATAGTTAGGGCTCGTGCATTTGCACTAAACTCTTTCAGTAATGTATATGAGAACATAATCGTTTTAACGAATAAATAAAAATAATTTGCATAAAGTAAAAACAAAATAAATATTTATTATAACTGAAAGTGACCAAATCACTTTCGAATGAACGCTTCTACATTGGACATCACTTTTATACATTCTTACTGTACTTAATTAGGGATGTACCGGTTTGGACCTACTATCCACAGATTTGTATCACGGCGTTTGTTTGAAAGTGATTTCATCACTTTCAGTTGATCTGTGATCTCCACTTGTCCATTATATTCCGTCTCCTCTATGCCCTGACCCTGACTATATCCACTGTACTGGCTATTCTTTGTTATGGCCCTCCAAATTATTCAGATGAGCTTCCGGTTGTCTACTTACTTGCGTTATTAATAATTCAATTTAGCTCGTTGGTTGTTTTAAAAACGCCTCCAAACGTATAAAGTCCGGCTTATGTATAAAAATCTAATCTATAAGATGTACACGGATTCTGAGACTAGTTTTAATTTTTAGCAAGTGAAATAAAATTTAATACCTACTCTATTTGCGATACATTTCAGAGAAGCAATAAATTAAAGTAGTATCTAAGTAGTTTTACATTCTTACTGTGCTTGGTTTGGAATGTACCGGTTTGTACTGAGCTCGGTTTGGACTTGCTGTCCACAGATTTGTATCGAGGCGTTTGTTTAGGCAGTTGGTGAAATGTTTATCTCTGTTACGACCTATTTGTTATGTGAGAATATCATTGGAAACACTAAACAAATGGACAATATGATGAAAAAAAAAAACCTTGAACTCTAATTCGTATGCGCCGCCGTACGATAATAGTCCTCTACATGTATTTTTTTAGCTCGATTAATTATCCTACGTTTGTCGCATTATCGACGATTCCAAAAACGTTGTCAGATACTATTGCTCGGACGATTTTAATTATTATAATTAAGGGCTTTAACGACGTCGGTTGTGCTGATAAAATGATTACAAATTAAGCACAGATTAGATAAAACCAGACGGTGCACTCCATATTAAAGCAATGTAATTACTGAAAATGTAAACAAACCACCCTCTTCGATTCCAGGGTGAAAGAAAGTCGACGTAGCTTCGACGTTTTGCTTAAACATATTACATAAACGATAAATAAATTTTTTCCGGTTTGGTAAAACAGTTATCAGGCTCGTAAAAGAACACAGACAGCAATTGGTTCCTGTTTTAATAGCGTTTGCGTTGGGTCGTTAAAAACCTAAAAAACCAACAAGTCTTAAGTGAATTACACAGTCCGTTAAAAACGCCAATAAATCATTGACCGGCCGTAAAGCGAACGATACTATGCTCGCCAATTGTATGCATATCACTTCTAGTGGCTTTTGTAGTTGTAGGAAATTTTAGTAGAAAACATGTTTGGTATTTGACCTCCGTCGACCAAACTACAGTGTACAACAAAAACAAAAAAATTGAATTTAAAATCATGTTTTGAAGTGAAATTTAACGCTTTAAAAAATATGTTATTGATAAGACTATTTGCATTACTTTCAATATTCAAATCATATCTAAACAATAATATTGTGTTTCACGAAATAGCCTAACGCTTGTTGCCTGTTGTAAAATCTAAAGCAAGTAATACACAATTAAAAAAATATATTACCTTTGTAAAGTGAACATGACACGTACCAAAAAGTTACCTGCGCCAACAACTACTTAAACTCTACCCTTTTTTGGCCCAACTAAAAAAGGTTGTCCTACACAGGCCGAATTGGTCTATCCAAGTAGTAAAATAGTCATTTCAGGTAGAATATTATTTTCTTTTTTACACACACTCCCAAATGTACTACACTACTTCCAAAACGGTGTCCATCCGTTTTCAAGTTTCGAGTACTTATATTTGAACAATATTTAGACGGTTGTTTGGTTTTTTATTGCAAGAAAAAGGCCTCTACTACTGGTATTGTTTATATTATATAGGTACATAATATTGTAATTTCACAATTTTTGTTATTCAAAGTTGAAGTTCTTAAATGTTGTTGAGACAGCTTGACTTGAGATCACTTGGAATTTGTTTAGGTCAGGTCAGCTTTTGGCATGCATCATGTTTGTGGGCGATTCTGTGGACGCTGGACCTCACTTAAATACTCTCTCACTGTGCTGCTTTATACAGTGCACCGCGGTTTGGGTAGTACAGACCGGTATAAACTAAGCACGGTTTGAACTTACCGTCCACATATTCGCATTGAAGGGTTTATTTGAAAGTAATTTCATCACTTTCAGTTATAATAAATCCTGTAGACCTTTGACCTCCCCTAGGCCACTATATTCCGTACCCTCTTGGCCCTGACTCCTCTGTTCTGGCTTTTTTGTTGTATTTTTTAATTATACTAATCTTTATTTATATGAGCACGATTATGTATTTTTTTTTTTTTTTTGAAGGGGAATGGGATAATTAAAAAAAATATATGTATAATGTTAACTGTATTGTATCAGATTTTTTTTTTTTGACACGTTGAAATTTTTTTTTATAACCAATTCAAATTTCTAAACGATTAATAGAAAAATTGTTTTGAAAAAAAGAGGCAGAATTTTTTTTTCTAGGCCAGTCTCGAGGGCCAACTCGTACAAGGCATTTGATTACCCGGCATGTTTGCCTCGACATTAAAAACAATCAATTAAATATAAATTTCTTTTTTTTTTTTTATTTAAAATTATATTTTAATTAAATGTACTTTATTAACAGCCTTTCATTGACACGGTTTTCGCAATCGACGTGGAATTCAATATGAAACAATATTATCGTACCTACATTATGTGTGAACAAATTGACTCTTATGCATTTGGTTTTGCTACCCCATCGAGTAAACAGTAGCTGTCGATACTGTTTGTTTCGTTAAAGAAAAAATTACAATTAATAATCAAATGTTAAATTTGTAGTTGTGTTATGTCTGGTTATGCGAATGCTAACGACTCGGGTTAACTCTATTAAATCCAGCAATGTTTTTTTCAAATAACTAAAAATATCAAGAAATTTTGTTTCTTTTGAATCTTCTGGAATGTTCTGTAAAAAAAACGCGGTTGTTGTGGCCAATGCAGAGCAAATACAAAAAACCGCGTAACACTATTAACGTGATAATATTGAATTTTATGATATGGAAATTTCAAGTCAAACTACAGCTGCAATAATATCGCCATCGCAGCACAACGATTCAACGCCATAAATTCCAAATGGTTTATCCGATTTATAATTTGCACTGTTCGTTATAATTAAATAAATCACTATTACCCGTTGGTCGACCTCATATTGTGATAATAATGATTCCACGATGGCCATGATAGTTATTATTTACCTGTAGGTACTTCAATAGATGGCTAATTAATGCATTAATAAGTATTCGCCCAACAACTGGCGTTTTTTTTTTCTTCAATAAATTCTTAGCCCGTTCTGTATTGAAAACCAAAATAATAATCATCCACTGGAAAAAAATCTCATAAAAAAAACACTCAATAAACCAAGTGTGTTAGTGTAAACTATAACAAAGTTCTGTTGAAACTACATTAGGCAATTTACTAATAATTTAGCAAAATTCAGTGGAGGCTAAAGAATATATTTTAATAAATTAATGGTTTGTGTCTTTTTCTTAAATTGCATTCAATCCGTAAAAAGTACAACGTTTTGTAGTATTTTTAATTTGGAAATTTTCTAAAATATGTTGCAAATGAAGTAGGTGTTACATTTTATTTCATTTGTTAAAAATTAAAACTAGTCCCACAATCAATGTATATTTTAAAGATTTGTATACATAAAGTATATTGGAAAACCTGACCTTACACGTTTAGGTGGGTTTTTAAAATAACCAACCAATCCGAAAGTAATCTGAACAAGAATCAGATTCAGATGTTAATCCCATAATATTTTTGAATAGGTCATTTTGAAAACGAGAAAATTATTTAATAAAAATTTCACAGAAACTACAAAAAACCATTTACTTGATAAATTATTGTTATAAATAGTTTTTGACTTTTCACCGGCATTGGAGAGTCATAACAAAAAAAAGCCAACACAGTGGGGTCCGGGCATAGAGAGGACGGAGCATAGTGGATAAGGGGAGGTCATAGGTCTATAGGAATTATTATACTTGAAAGTCAAAAATAAATGCTTCGGTGCGAATCTGTGAATAGTAAGTTCAAACCAAGCTCAGTTTACACCAGTCCGTACTAACCATGTCACTCACATAAAGCAACTTGTGTACAGGGAGATTCATTTTACACAAGATGCTTTACCTATTCTTCGAAAAATAGTACTTTTTTAAAACATATTTTTATTTTATACAATATTACGATTGTCCCAATCGACTATCCAACATTAAAGTGGACTATGTTCAACTCAAAGACTGTATAAAATATGCATAGACACCAGTTATCAACTTAAAATAAATATAAGTCAAAACCTGTAGTCACGGTATTTTTTTTATCGAGGAAACCGGATACATAAAATACCAAGATTATAAAAAAACTTTTAATGGTATACAATCACTGAAACATGGTGCAAGATGGGACAACTGGATTCCTTTATAGCCAGTGATAATTGTATAAATATAACACCTTTGGAATATTTTACGGAAGTAAGTAACATTTTTAATAAGAAAACGGTGATTTTTCCATTGACTAATTTTGCAACACTTCTACACTATTTCAGGGCAAAAATACTCGATGAACACCTTTCCATCATATGTGCACACTTCTTTAGTTTAGTTTTGCGCACTATTATTATAATAGCAATTGATAAATTATTCAATTATTGTATTGGTTCAATTGGAAATTATTATTAGTCTCTGAGGGGCGTTATGGGACTTTCCCATTTTGTAGTTTGTAAATAATTATTAAATCATCTGTTTGCTATAATTAAACAAATTAGGAACATGTGAGTTAAGATATTTATTGAAAAATCCTACACCATAGTCCATACGCTTGGCTCGTCTCACCCCTAGGTTTCATTATTTGTATAGTTTTGCGGTTGAGGCGTATTTTTAATTTATACAAAAGTGATTTTATCACTCATTTTCCATACAATTTTTTTTTTCTTTCAGATTTTACTGGGACTTGTGCATGCTGCTGCTGTTGGTCGCCAATCTGATCATACTTCCGGTGGGAATTTCGTTTTTCAACGACGACTTCGACACCAGGTGGATAATATTCAACTGTTTGTCGGACACGATTTTTTTAGTGGACATAGTCGTTAATTTCAGAACAGGTAACCGCGTTGACCTTTACGCGTAATATCAATTAATAATATTTATAGTCACGCGCGACCATACGGGCCATTCGTAATGGCTTTATTTATACACATAACGACCACGGCTGTCCATTCATCGTTGTTGAATATATTAAAAGTAATAACGTCACGGGCCGCATTACTATTGCTAGAGCGGCTAAGGTGTCACACTGTACTGTACAGGGTGAGCCGACTGATGTGGGACACTCGTTTTTTTCCCTCGGTAGCCCATAAAATTCATACTTGCGTTAACGCCGATAACCGGACACAATGAAATGTTTTGAGATAATGATAGACAAGCAGTCCTTATCTACCCGTTCGAAACACAGTGACGGCGACAGTGTTATCGACACCGGGGTCGATGTATTAATGTTTAATAAGAAATTGCTGTGCTACTGTTGTGAAAACCGAACGAATATTGATTTTGAATTATGATTTTTTTACAAAGTCACGGCAAACGGACAGATTGATGAAAACGAAAAAACTCAAACATTTCTAAAACGCTACCATATTTTTTATATTTGCTTAAAACAACAAGCATAGACAGTCGTTTGAAAAACGACAAGTCCATACTCCTTTTATGCATAAGGGATGAACAAATATAAAAGGTTCCAAGTATTTAAATGTATAGCACAAAATACACTTACAAGTAAGGGAAAAAATAATTTTCAAAATGTTCATATTTTCCGAGAAAATTATTAGCGTCTCGTATCAGACGGATCATCCTGTACAACGGTAACCTTGAAAAAGGTGAGTTTCAAAATTTGGCCTATTTCGAGTTTAGAACATTGGATAGAAAAAAATTATTTTTTTTTTTTTTTACCAAAATGACAAAGTTGGACGTCGTTTTATGCGATTTGCATATTTAAATAAATTCAAGAATAGAAAAAAAAAAACGAATTTTCGCACACTTGGGAACATTAGACATTAGACATGAACCTCGACTTAGTGTTTTTTCCAATATAGTTTTGGCCATTGCAATGTTAATATACCGTGTTGAATTTTCAATGTCATTATCATATCTTTATAATGATTTTCAATTCGATTATAATGGTTTTGAATCAAAGAATTCATTCGTTCTTTTCATTTGTATTTTTTCAATCTGTTATCTTACTGTAAAGTAAAATTGTCTACAAAACCGCAAATATACCCTCTTGTAAAGAGGGAGGGGCGGTTTCCCGTACTTAGGAGTCTGAAGATTCTGAATACGGTCCTGAACCAGATGCCTACACGAAAGGTACTTTTTGAGGCAGCAAAATCACTTCAAAACGGTGAGAATGACAAGCTGGTCGAATTATTGATGTTTGTCTTATATTTTTTACCATTTCAGTAATTTACACATGTAATACTATCCAACGCCAACGTTTATAGGTACGCTTTTTATATACAAATTATTATTATGCTTAGCTGTTTTGTAAAACCGACAGTGTATAGGGATAAGGCTTACATGTATCATGCAAATGTTCCTACACAAGTTTGAAAACAACAATTCTACTGTATTTAAAAAAAATCCGAATGTTTTGTGCTTTTAGGTTGAAAAATAAGGTGTAGGTTTTTTGGGTGTTTATAGTATTACTATCTTAAACCATTGAAACGATAGAATTTATAGAACAAAGATAAATTCGACCGGCTTGTCAAAGTAACTGTCTTAAAGTAATCATTTTCATGCGGCCATGTCGAACGAAACGGTAAAATTTAAAGTTGATATTTTTCTGGGTCGCCTTTATATATTTATTGACATAGCTGGTTTATTATTATTTATATATTTATATATTGAACATAATATTTATTTTGTACCGTACCGTAACGTGGAGTTTATACTGTTACCTTTTAAGTTATAGATTTTGAAATCCCTCTTGAATCTAATGTTGACCTTTTAGAATTTTCATTGTATATGACTTTTTCTTCATTATATAAAAAATAACAATATAACTAAGATGTTCACGGTTAAGTCACGATATACAGAATAACGAAAAAATAATGGATTTTTTTCTCAATTTTAATTAATAAGATAATTCAAATTAATTGTTTTTGGGGGTCGCTCATTTTTTATCAGTTTTACATTTTACCCTTTGTTTTTCTCACAGGGAAAGGATGGGGATCAATTTGATTCCTAGGTATACATATATATAAATGTAAGAAAGTGGTCGAATTTTGTAAATAATTTTAAAGTTTTATAATGTACTCATATAATAGACCGCCTACAAAATTTTAAGTAACTAAAACCAAAAATAGATTTTAAAATATAATTTTTAAATTTTTTGAAATGTTGCTTTATAAACAAAAATATTTTTACTAAATATTAGTTATTTTCTATACAAGTTACATACTCATTATGAGCCTATCATATATAAACCTATCATCAGTAAAGTTTTCAACTCTTGAGTTATACATTTGTGCCATACAAGTGTCTCAAAAACTTTAACCAATCTAAACCATTACAAATAAGACGGATATTATTGAGTACATGATACTCAAAATAAAAAAAATTAACACAACGGTAGTTTTTTAAATTATATAATATTTTTTACTGAACAACTGGTATCAAACAATATTTTTTTATAATACACCATTGTAATAGTTTAAAATTATGTGAATATAATATTGAATGAAAACTAATCAAAGCGAAATGATCAGGCTGTTTTACTTTTGTATTCAGCTAAAAAATTAACACAGTTATTTTCGCTTATGAATGCTTGTAACTTTTTTTGAATATCTGACCACAAACATACTGTACACGAACGATCGTTTCCTAAAGGAATGCTTGTAATATGTTCGTTGAAATAAAATGCTACTTTATAATCAACATCATCAGTGTCCTCGTAAAGAACAACCATAACATTTGCAGCCCATGGACTGAACAACGAAGTTCTCCACTTAAGGTCCGCCATACCGTGGTAGTTGGATGCCGTTAATGCATCGTCGCCGGCAGCTAGGCCTAACATGATATAGAAACTCAATACGTTAGTACTGTGTCCAAAGTAGAAATGACCGTCCGGTCCTTCTCCATTGATTTTATTTCTGAAATCATATTAATGTCACCACGTGATCGACAAATTTAAATATTCTATATTAGGGTGGCCTGTAATATTTTTTTGCACTTTAATCTCGTATACTTTAGGTTCCAAAAAAAAAAAAAAAATAAATCGCATACTCTATAAGAGCACCACCGTAACATACATAATGTTGAAAATACATTACTTAAAGCTTTCTTCGAGACGTATGGCCATCGGACAAGCGAGTTTTGCGTTAAAAGGATCTCCGTAACCATGAAAATAGTATCGGAAAATTTCAAGGGCGTACTCAAAAATCTAAAACCATTTTAAAACAATCAATTGCCAGCAGTTCGTGAAAATCACCGGTCCATTATATTTGCTTACTTCAAGATCATCTGGGCCAAATAGTTTATACCAAGGGGACACCTTACTGTCGTCAATAGCCAATTCAAAGGTAGCCACCTCGTACATGACGTTTACAATTTCTAAAACAAATGTAATAGTATCAAACCATTCGAATGGTATTGCTTTTGGCTATTAGATGGATTACCGTAGTTAATATCTTTGAAATCTATGCCCATCCTATCCGCAACTCTTTGCACGACACCATTCATATGTTCGCCTTCCCTGAATTCTTTCATTTGATTTAAATAATATGTTTTCATTTTTTCATTTCCCCGCTTTAGTTCTTCAATCTGTATACAATTTGTAAAAGATTTACCCACATTGATAGTAAAGGGAACAGCGCACACTTAAAACTTACCATTAAAAGACTATCCTTAGGACCACAAACAGGAATACTGGTGATAGTGTCATCATTAAAAAGGTTTTGTAAGAGTGTTTGACCCGAAAGGTCACACCGTGGATCCGGCACTGTCAAAACCTAAGGTGTTCATTACAAATTTAAAATATTGGTATAATTTTTTTACAGGGTTGTTTAAAATTTCACGTTACAGTAATATTTTCTATGAAATAAAATGATTTAGCTAAAACCGTTTCAAACAAAATCATAAGCTAATATCAATAGGTGACTTTTTTAAAGTAAAGGATTATAATACATACCCGATGACTAACGAGCGGTAAAACTAGTTTTAGATAATCACTTGCTGCTATTATGAATATAATATTTTACAAAAAATTAAATATAATTTTATTTTTTTAGATTAGGGTTTTATTAAATCATATTTTGTATAGCTAGCATAATTATTTTACCGTAACGTGAAACTTGGACAACTTTTTATGTCATATGTTTTTGTTAATCAGGGAGCAATGCGATATACCTCATAATATTCGGAGTTGTACTTCCGTTCGAATAGATTCGGAAAAGCTTCACGAATCCTTATTGCCAGATATTTTATTTCATCATGGCCTTTTTGTGTTATACTTTTATCGCCAGTGGTGTCAATGACTGTTTCCCAATTTTTTATGGCTTCCATATCTTCTGGCTCTAACGTAGCACGTTCGGTAAATTTGTTTTGATATTTTAATATTTTCGGGATCGCGTTTAAATTAAAATTAATCGTTGGACCTCTCGTTCCATGCCTCCCCAACATAAAAATTTGACGTGGCGTAAGACCTACAAAATAGTATTAGTTTAATTTGTATTACCTTCCAAAAAAAAAAAATATAAATGTATATATTACCTCCCTAACACCGTTAAACTTATTATTTAAATATTTTTTATCTGAACTCCAAATCTCAATCAAAATTATATCGACCTTTTAAAATTTAAATGCCAGAGACTCCAAGGGGCTATAGCCTCATAACTTTTATTTAACTTATATATTATATGCATCCGATCAACCATAAAACAAAAAAACTATACAAGCCTATTTCACTGAAAATAATTGCTATCATAACATTTAACAAAAAGCATAAAACAATTCTAATGGACTACAGCAACATGTTAACTTACTAGATAAATGGTAAGAATCCTGCAGCAATAAAGTTAATTAATCTAAATGCACTCGCACTACATTTTCTCTCCATTTAAATACCTGTCTTCCAGTAAAAATAATCGGAATATACCAATCACGACCCTTTGTAAATTCTTAAGAATAACACTTGACACGTCTTAACGTTTAACCTGCATACGATAAATTGAAGCACTTATACTTCAAATGAGCTGATAAAGTACATCTTACCTTCTGGTACTTCAATCTTCGGCGCTGAAACTAACTCGTATGAAGTTTTAGTACTGAAAAACCCATACGGGATAGCTTTAACCGTTACCAGAAAAAAGGTTAGTATACACAGGAACTTCAACATTGTATCGGTTGCTGTATTCTCTGTAAAAAAATGTATAATCGAAATAATAACTGAAATATATATATACAGGGTGTAATGTAAAGTTGTACCGATCTTCAAACGAGACAATCAAGATGCTCTATGGGTACAATAAATGGTATTAATTTCAAATTTATTTAAAATAGAACTCGTATCTCATTAAAAAATTGTCTTACGAAAATTTCCGGATTTCAGATTTGAAATCAGGAGAAAAAATCTTGTTTAATTGATATGTAACATGATTTTTGGTATCTGACCATACTTGCGTCCGCGGAGTGGCCACTGAGTGGTCGGCATGTGACCAAAACCAACATATAGCATGTGACACATAATTTTAGGTTAGAATTTTATTCTTAATTCAGTGGTTTCCTTAGAATTTTTTTATATTAAAAGATGTGTCACATGCCATATGTTGGTTTTAGTCACACGCCGGCCACTCGGTGGCCACCTTGTAGACGTATGTGTGGCCAGATACCAAAAAATCATACTACATATCAATTCCACAAGATTTTTTCTCACGATTTAAAATCTAAAATAATTTTTTTCATAAGACAATTTTTTAATGAGATACGAGTTTTATTTTAAATAATTTTTAAATTAAAAAAAAAAATGAATACCATTTATTTGTACATTCATTTGAAGCCCATAGAGCATCTCGACTGACTCATAGAAGCTCAATAGAACTTTACATTACACCTTGTATTTATATAAAAATGTATACACGGGGATATATATTTCAACGTATCCATTAGGCCTGATATTTGGTCTGTCTAATACGGTCTTGTAATCGTATTATGAATATTTATATAATATTATCCAATAAATTATTTAGATATTAGGCTAATATAGAACACGAATAACTGGCAGTTTACACACCATTTATATATTCCTAGTAGCTGGATAATAATATGTTAGTACCATCGTATATTTAAAATTTAACATGCAATAAGTTTAGATTCATACAACCAATTATGTAAGTGTGTGAGGATTGACTTATTAAAAACAGTCTTTGACCAGTGTTAGATTGCTCTCTATGTGTACGGTGTGTATGTAGTATATATATCTATCAAATGGAATTTATGTCAACTAGAGCAAATTTCAAGTCAGTCGGTGCACTACTTGTTAAGTGTTCTCAATGTTTTTTTGTTAGTGTTTAAACACATGTATATTTTACTAAATTTGAAAACAATATAAACCATTTCGGTTTCGATCAAAACAATTCTGTAGAAAATATGAGAATATGAATATAATTTTTTATTTGTATTTGTAAAAAAAATCCATCCGCAATTATGCAGTGTGATGAGATTAATGAGTGGCACAGTAAAGTCTACACCAATGCAATGGATACCTGTATTACCCAACATAGCACCACCAGATTTACGAAGGAATAAACAAATTTATAGGAACCATTAAAATGGCCTAGAACAAGAAGTGTTCATTGTTATGGAAAATATTAGAATATTGCCTGTATTAACCAACGCAGTACTACCAGATTAACGATTTAAAGAAAAACGTAGTTAATATAATTTATAAATTGATAATGCAGTAAGCATTGTAATAGTAAAGCCAATATATTTGTATGAGTTTTTTCCGAGGACATCCGTAAAAGATATAAATATTACCTTAAAATAATAATATTTTTATAAGTTTTAAATTTTAGCGAAATATCTTTCGTGGAGCTTTGCATGGAAGAGTCAAAAATGTTTTTATTTGTGATGAAAGAAAAATATTATAAGTGTTAATTTTGTTTTTGAAAAATTCTTCGTGGAGCTTCGCAATGGCAAAGCCGAAAGTGTTTTTATTCGTGATGAAAGAAATATATTTCCTAAACATTTTGTTAGTGTTAATTTTTTTTTTTGAAAAATTCTTCGTGGAGCTTCGCAATGGCAAAGCCGAAAGGATTTTTATTTGATATGAATAATAAATACTGGCTATTTAATGAGAGATTTTGCATTGAGAAATCGATTTTGAAGACTTTTGGGTACTTATTTGACAAACGAATTGCGGCAATGCAGCTGTTTCAAGGGCTGCGACGATTATAGGATTTAGACATTTTAATGTTGTGGTTTGGTTTGACCACTTTTTTGATAAATTGTGGGTTCATCTCTGCGGCGATGTGACTGTTCAAAGGTCACGACAGAGTTACGAATTTTGCAACGGCGATTTGGCTGGCTGAAAACCATACGACAACGATAGCTCTAAGAAAAACATTTTTTTTAACACTACGTCTGGTTGTAGTGTTTTAGAATTTCTACTGCGGCAATGTGGCTGTTCAAAGACCACGACAGTATTGGTAATGTTTTGGGTGTTATGGACAAAATTACTAGATGTGTGGTCGGATGTTATACAATATATAATTCATAATTATTATGGTCATTTCTCTCTCTGATCTCTAATTATTAAAAAAAAAAAAAGAATTGTTTTTATTTTTTATTTACTTGAATATGGTTCTTTTTTTTTCTTTTTTTTCGAAGATAGGTGAAAAATGACGAAATTAGATTAGGATTTTGGTAATTATTAATTGTTAATTTTTTACGTGGTAAGAGCTTAAGTTGGCCACCATTTGTAACAGAAAGTAAAAACTAAATATGAGAATGGTGGTAGGGAAAATGTGAAAAGTGACGTTTAGGATAAATAAATGTAATGATAACTTACCAATGGATTATTTAACTCTACGTCCGTTAAACAATAAAATATAAAACCATTTAATTTTAACGATATTGTAATGAGAATGTAAAAATATGCTTACTTAATAATATATCGTACGAGTGTACTTCTTCAAATGTACTTAGTGTAAAACTAAATGGGGTTTTCGGTTTAGATATAAACTTAATCGTCGAAAGTAGAAATGTACCATCGATTTTGTATTTGTATTGTCAGTGTTTGTCTTTTAAAAATATGTTTTTTAAAATGTACTTGCGTCATATACTGAACAACGGCCCAAAACATAAAATATACCTAATGTGGTGCAATTTCTCAACTTTATTCGTATTTTATGTCGAAGTACAAACATTTTCCTAAACCCTTCATTACATTATCACTATAAGCAATTTAGTTAGGATTTATAATTTATAATATAAATAATTTTTACATTTAAAATTTAGATAGGAACTTAACCGTCGAAAGTAGAAATGAACCATCGATTTCGTGTTTGTATTGTCAGTGTTTGTTTTTTTGAAAATATGTTTTTTTAAATGTACGTGCGTCTTTTACTACTGTACAATGACGTAAAATATCATTTTTTTTTTTATATTTTATAGATTTTTAACGACCGCGAGGGCAGAGAGTACAGTTAATATCGTAATGTAATATAACATAATGCACAATAATAGTGAATATAATAATAAAAAAGTTATAGAATAAGAGTATTGAAATAAATTATAGACAATAAATATATTAAAATTTTGTTAAAAAAAAACATTCAACAATCTTCTGAGCTTGAGTCTATAATTAAAAAACAAATCGAAATCTGATAAGAATTCATTACAAAAACTTAAAATCCTTCTGATGGAAATATGTACAACAAAATTACGATTACTAGGTGCTAAATATAATAAGATGTGTTGTTTAGTACTGACTGGCGGGGCTCTAAAACCGATATCTTGCAAAAGCTAAGGGTGCCTAACCGATCCGCTTAGAAGCTTATGTAAGAATATGCAGTCGTTATAGTTACGTTTTTTACTTAGAAGGGATATTCTACATTGGCTTTCAATATTTGTAGTGGGCAGCCCACAATTGTTTAATTTGTAAAAAACTATTCTTATAAATCTTATAAATATAAATCATTGAATTTTCTTAATTTTATCAACTAAGCCAGTTTGCCGTGGGTCCCAAAATGTACTTTATGTGGTCTTGTTGCTCAACTTCATGCATATTTCATGCTTAAATACTAATCAATTTTACCTTAAGTGGTTTGCGTATGAGTGATATCATGTTTGGGAATTCAAACGGCAACCCCAATATTTTTCGAGGTATTCTGTTAGATTTTTATTTTTTTTTCAAAAATGGTGGTAAAAATTTGAATTTTCGGTCAATCGTTTTTATTATATTATTGCACAAAATTTAACGGTTTGGCGCTTTTTGTCACGACAGTGTCAGAAAAAATTTCAGGCCACATACATGTTACATGTTATCAACCATAAATTATCGTTATGGGATGGCCAATGGCCGAGAGCTGACTGTACATAATAATAATAATAATTATTATTATTATTATTATTATTATTATTTAGACGATATTTTTTTTGACAATTCTTTCTATCATTTTTTATAGTACCTTTGGCTATTTGAAAACTAATTTACTTAGAAATACTTATAGATATTTTGAACCATTAATTAAAATAATCGCTAATAAAAAATTAATTAATTTGTAAACAAAAATGTAAGCAATAACCATGGCTACAAATGAGTTACAACTATTATTATAGTAATATCATATGATTACTTTGCTGATTATAATAATTACATTATTATAATGTTATAACTTAACGTTAATCGGATTACAAGTATCTCAAAACTTTAACCAATCTATACCGTTTGAAATGAGACGGATATTATTATGTACACGCAACTCTAAATAAAATGAATCAATACAACAGTGGTTTTTTTAAATTAAATAATAACTTTTACTGAAGAACTTAAATCAAACAATATTGTTTATAATACACCATTGCAATAACCTAAGACTATGCGAATATAATATTGAACGGCAACTGATCAAAGCAAAACGGTCTCTTTTTGTTTTTCAGTGTATGCGGCCAAATTTTCAGCTATAAAATGAACACAGTCATTGTCTCTTATGTATGCTTGTAACTTCTTTTGAATATCTAGCCACGGACATACTGTACAAGACGAACCGTCTTCTAAAGGTATGCTTGTAATATGTTCGTTGAAATAAAACGCTACTTTATAATCATCGTTAGCGTTTTTGAAAAGCACAGCCATAAAGTTTGCAGCCCATGGACATAATTTAGAAGCTATCCATTTGCGATTTTTCATTTCAATGAAGTTCGATGCCGTGAGTGGACTGTCGTCTTTGCCCACACCAAATATAAGGTACAAGTTCACCATGTTACTCCTGTGTGCATAGTGAAATACACCACTGGGTCCTTCTTTTCTGTTAATTTTTTCTCTGAAATTATAATATATACAATAGATAAAACAAGAAATAAACCATTTCACAGTAAAAAAGTACTAAAGGGAAGTCCAGTATTCACATAGAAATGTATTTACAGTGATTCTATCTTTTTGAGATGATATAATGATTCCTATAGAACTGTAACCTCCCCAGTCCCCACTTTGCCCCGGCCCAACTATGCAGGCTTCTTTATTTGAATAATGTTACTTGAAATTGTTGTGGTTAGAAGCCAAAAGCTGATGTGTGCAAAATGAATAGTTTAAGGAGAGCAATTTAAACACTTTAGACCACTATACAAAATATAACACTTATCATACGAATCACCGTTTTGTACTACAAGTTATACTTATTTATATTTCATGGACCATACAAAAATAAAGTTTTAGTAACACATCATATTTATTCTATGAACTATGTTCTTCCGTGAAACATTTGGTTTTAACAAATTTTCGAATATCTTATTTGATATGTAATCTACAAATACCATATGTTGAATCAAGAAAATGTACACCTTCAACTGAGCAATACTTGCAATAAACCTCAAAACTGCATTTTTTACACATATCATATTTTGGCTCTCAACCGCAAAATTGTTCGAGTATAATGTTGTTCAGATAAATTTTGCCAAACTGGTTGTATCACCAGTATTTATTTGATTTATCTATGTTCGAAATTTGTTAAAATAATAATAAAATAATAATAAAATCATTAATTCATAATACTCCAAGGTCTGCAGAAGTCTTAAAGCCATTGGACATGCGACTTTTAGGTTATGCGGGTTTCCGTATCCAAAGCGAGAGTCCCAATACAGTTCATCAAAATATTCTATAATCTGCGATCATTTAAAAATTGTTAAAAATGTCAAATCTATATACAATGAAATCCCACACGGCAGTGCTTACTTCTAAGTCTTCTTGACAGAATACACTACACCAAGGGGGGATCGATCCGTCATCAAATGCTATTTCGTAGCGACATACTTCATACATCATCAATACTTCACCTAATAGATACACATATTAGTTACAAGTCCATATTGTTTATTACTTGACTTACGTAAAGTAATATCATCTGATCCCATTTTAACATTTACTCTTTCAACAACCTTTTTCATAGAATCGCCCTTTTTGAATTTTTGACTTTCATACTCAACTCCTTCAGCAAGAGGCTTCGCTGGTATGATATTCTTAATCTAAATCAACATTAATATTCATGTAAAAGCAATGTAAATATCTATATTTCAATATAGTTACCGTTAAAAAGAAGTCATCGTTATTACATTTAGGAACGTCAGTAATGGTTGTATCATCGTAAACCGTTTGTAGAAATATTGTTCCAGATTCCCTACAACGTTCATCTTCCATTGTCAATGCCTAAAATTTTAAACCCATATAATGTACTGGTGTTCAACTATATTGTTAATTATTGTTATATGGGTGTTCAATGTACCGCATAGTTATTTGACTGTTCGAATAAATCTGGAAATGCTTCCCGAACTCTCAGTGCCAATTCCTTTATTTCAACACGACCCTTTGGGATCAATTCTTTATCGTTTGGCTTGAATTCAATACTTGGTTGCCAATTCATAATAGCTTGAATATCTATTTGGGTCATTTTAGCTTTTTTGGTGATTTTTCCTTTTAAATCATAAAGCTTGGGTAACTGGTTATCGTAAAAATACTTTGTTGTAGATGTCGTAGCATGTCTGCTTAACGTAAATATCTGAATTGGTTTATAGTCTACAAAACAAAAATAACGTCTTTTATTTTTAACAGAGGTTCGTTAAGTTAATAACAAGTGTGGTTTAATAAGCTTCTAAATCGTTGCTTAAGGAAACTAAAAATGAGAAAAACTCTTTTATGATAATATCCATTTGTAGCTGTGGGAGATAGATTGGAAAGTTGATATTGAAATATCTTTTCTACATTAAATGGTATCCCCAAAGTATGTATGAAAATTAGGCAATAAGAATGGTAAGATTATAAGTAATCATACCATTAAGATACTAGATAATCTTACCTCGTAGGCTAGGCGGTACAAAGATTTCTTTTGCGGAAACAAATTTGTATGCGGTTTTTGTGCCAAAATACACGTATGGTTTTGTATCTTTATAGTTTCTTACGGTATTAGTAGCTACCAAATCGACACAGTCATTGTCGGTTATATAAGCTGTTAACTTGTCTTCAATATCCGACCACGCACATACAGTACAAAACGAACCGTCTCTTAGCGTTATAGAAGTTAGTTTTTCGTTTAAATAAAATGATACTCTGTAATCATTTTCAGCGCCCTCGTAAAGCACAACCATAACATTAGCAGCCCATGGACCGAACAACGAAGTTCTCCACTTTAAGTCCTTCATACCCTTGTAGTTGGACTGCTTAAATGGAATGTCACCGTCACCTATGCCTAACATGACATACAAACTCAATATGTTAGTACTGTGTCCATGGTAAAATACAGCATCCGGTCCTTCTCCATTGATTTTATTTCTGAAATCATATTAATGTCACCACGTCATCGACAAATTTAGATATTATAATACAAGGTGATCCACTTTGTATTACCAACTAAATTCTAAAAAGGTAAAATTTTCACTTTGATTAAAATAACGAATTCAATTTTGTAAAATAAGTTCAACCGTCTAAAAACTGATATCATCAGCATTCATCACTTTGAAAAATGTATGTATACAGTTGAAATTATCTGGAATTATTGCTTAAGGACTTTCAAAAAAATAGTGTGAATTTATTTTACTCAATTAAAATATGGAAGGTTTCAACACGAGAATTATTCTCCAAGAATAAACTATATTAACACAAATACTTCGACAAGTTTCAATATTATATATTAGGATGGTCTTTTTTTATTTCATTATATAATAGCTCTTCAAAACTTTCAAAAACTAAAGCAGATCTATTTTACTCATTTAAAACGTTAGAAAAAACAATAAAAGCACCACCATTACTTATATTATAGTGTTCATAATTCATATTACCTAAGTCTTTCTTCGAGACGTATGGCCATCGGACAAGCGAGCTTTTTGTTAAAAGGATCACCATAACCATTAAAATAGAATCGAAAAATGTCATCGGCGTACTCGAAAACCTAAAACCATTTCAAAACTATCAAATTCCAACTGCTCATGAAAACCACTAGTTATTATATATTTGCTTACTTCAAGATCATCTTGGCAAAATATTTTATACCAAGGTGATATCGCACTGTCACCAATAGTCAATTCGAAGGTAGCCACCTCGTACATGATGTTTATGATCTCTAAAACAAACATAATAGTATAAAACCATTAAAACGATGTTGCTTTAGGCTATTATTTAGCATACCATAGTCGAGTTCTGTGGAATCTATGCCCATTTTATCCGCAACCCTTTGCACGACACCATCCATGTATTTGCCTGTCCTAAATTCTTTTATTAAACTATCTGTTTTTACCCGTATCTCTTTGCATCTCGTATCGAGCTTCTTCAGACCTTCAACCTGTTAACCAATCGCAAAATATTTACCCACATTTATAGTAAAGGAAACAGCGCAAACTTCAAACATACTTGTAGAAGGATATCCGTAGGGTCACATACAGGAATTTTTGGGATAGTTTCATCTTTAAAAATGTTTTCTATAAATGTTTGACCCGAAAGTTCACACCGTGAATCCGGCGCAGATAAAATCTAAGATGATCAAAAATATTTTTAAATATTTGTACAATTATTTTACAGGGTGGTATCATTTTCGCGTTACAGTAATTTTTACTATTAAATGGTAAGTTATAGCTAAAAAAAGTTTCAAATAAAATCCTTATTTTACTTAACGTTCGAAATTTACATTTACTAACCAAACTAAAATATATATATATATATATATATATATATATATATATTATATTTCAAAATCTAATACTAAGAGACGTGTTTTTAAAGTAATTATAATATATTTACCTGATAATTAATGACTTTTTAAAAACTAGTTTTAGATAAATACTTCCTGCTATTATGAATATTATATTTTACGAAAAATTCAATATAATATTTTGATGTTATACTAGATTAGGGTTTTATTAAAACATTTTTATAGCTGGTAAAATTATTTTACCGTAACATGAAACTCGGACAACTTTTTTGTTAATCAAGGAACAACGCGATATACCTCATAATTGTCGGAGTTGTACTGCCGTTGAAATAGATTTGAAAAAGCTTCACGAATTCTTATTGCCAGATCTTTTATTTCATCGTGCCCTTTTTGTGTTATACTTTTATCGCCAGTGGTGTCAATGATCGTCACCCAATTATTTATGGCTTTGATATCTTTTGGATTTAACGTAGCACGTTCGGTAAATTTGTTTTGATATTTTACCAGTTTTGGCATCTTATCGTTGGAAAAGCTGAACCTTGGACCTCTAGTTCCATGCCTCCCCAACATAAAGATTTGACGTGGCGTAAAACCTACAAAATAGGACTAGTGTAATTTTAAATGGTATGAAACCTGTAGAACTAAAGTTACACCATTTAAATCCACTTAAATCTCACACCACATTCTCTGTCCGTTAAAACACCTGTTATTCAGAAGCACTAAACGGAATGTACCAACCACAACATTGTATATTTCTTGGGAATAACACTTGACTAAACGGGATCCCATGTTATTTCGTATTGCCCCACTAAACCTTTTACTCTAAACTACATTCCTTAAAGACCGGCAAGGTACGATCGCGAAGGTTTGGATATTCTTTTTTAATAGTGATAAAACATTATTACTTTTTTCAGACCAGTCTCGCAAAATTGTGAAAAAAATGTTTTGGTCTGTAGGTATATTCACAAAAATCTACAAATTTCCAACCTCCGCAAAAAAACCAATCCCCAAAGTCTTCCTAGTCATCCAAGACGAAATTGGTGCAGAGATCTCTGCAATTACTTAACTAAATTCATAATATAGTCATTCCACTGAGTACGAATTGTTTAAACTGAAACATAATGTGTGTATCAAAAATAAATTTAAACTATATATATTGTATTTAAATTCAGACACAATTTCGTAACAATGTTGGTTTTGTGGAAGCTATTGGTTGTGTGTGTTTTTCTAAAAATGGGCTGGAAAAATTCGAATATGGCCATTATGGTTTCTAGTTAATATTTATTACTGTTTGAAATGTGAATTATTTACTTAAAATGAACGCTCAATGTTTTGTCAGTGAATATGACGAGGCCGCTATAAATAACCGCTAGGCCCGGCTAGACGGGTAGCATCATATTTAAATCAGTATAATGGGCACAGATACAATAAAACCTCTTTACTCTTATACTTTAAATAAGAAAAAAAAAGTCAAGTACTCAAAAGGACCTGATAAAAATATACTTCTTACCCTTTGGTTTTTCAATCTCCGGTGCTGCAACTAAATTGTATGGAGTTTTTGACCCAAAAAACCCGTATGGAATAGACTTTTCATCGTTGGCTTTAACCGTTACTAGAAATAAAGCTACTGTACACAGAAACTTCAACATTGTAGTGATTACTAAATCTGTGTAAAACATATTTTATTTAAAATATTAGATATATACATACATACAAGGTGTTACTTATTTTTACGCATCTATTAGGCTTTATATTTGGTCCGACTAATGCGGTATTGATTCTTGCGTGGAATCATGTTATTAATATTTACATATTGAATAGACTATTTTGTTATTCGGCTTTATACAACACTTAAAACTGGAAGTTTATACTATACCATTAATATATTTACTATAGTTAGTGGATAATAATATGCTAGCCCTGTACCAGCTTAGATTTACAATTTAACATAAAAAAGTTTAGAGATTCATACAACCAAGCATGTAATTCTGAGGGGATTGACTTATTTAACACAGTGTTAGTCCCGTGTTAGATCACTATATATTTATCAAATGGAATTTTTTCAACTAAAAAATCTAAGGCGAGTTGGTGTACTACGTATTTAGTTTTATTCGGTGTTTTTGTCTTAGTGTTGGTGTTTGAACACATGTATATTCTAATAAATTAAAAAACGAACAACAACCTTTCGGTTTTGATAAAAACAATTCTAAATTTTAAATGTAAAAATATGCTTACTTATAGTATATTAATTACTAGTAGTTTAGACATAGTCAAATATATTTTTAAAAATCGTTTAATTATTAGGTTATTGTAAAAATTTGAAAATAATATTTTTAAAATTAAATATGTAAATTTGTGCAGATTTTGGGTGTAGATTCAATTCGGACGAAGCCAAAAAATGTTTTTTAAACCGATATCATTTTTAAGAGTTTGTATTTGTAAAAAGTTTGGGCATAGATTTGATTTAGACATTGTTAAAGTATGTTTTAAATTTACATAGCTATTAAGTATTTATGTTTGTGACAAATTTGGATATTTTGAGAGCTTTCTAATAATTAAGGCAAATGAATTTTTAAAAGTCTTACGTCTTAATTTTTAGCAAGAACATTTTCGAGGAGGTACGCAAAAGACAAAATTATTATCTTAAAATAATGATTGTTTTATAAGTTTTAATTTTTAATGAAAAATGTTTTGTGGAGCTTCGCAATGGCAGAGCCAAAAGTGTTGCTATTTGTAATGAATAATAAATACTGGCTATAAATTCAGAAATTTTGTGATGACAAATCGATTTTGATGACTTATTTGACAGATGAATGGAGGCAACGCAGCAATTTCAAGGGCTGCGACAATTGTAGGACTTTTAGAAATTTTATTGTTGTGTTATAGTTTGACCACTACAATGTTTTAAAAAAATTGGACACATCTCTGCGGTGATGTAGCTGGCTGAAAACTATATGACAACGATAGCTTTAAGAAAAACATTTATTATTAACACTACGTCTGGTTGTAGTGTTTTAGATTTTCTACTGCGGCAATGTGGCTGTTCGAAGACCACGACAGTATTGATAATGATTTGGGTGTGATGGACGAAATTAGTAGATGTGAGGTCGTATGTCTTGTAATACATGTTTTATAATAATGGTAATTTCTCATTTTCACCTCTAATTATTTGAAAATAGTTGTTATTTTTTTATTTATGTACTTGAATGTATGGCGTCTTTTTTTTTTTTTGTTAAAGATTAGGAAATTAGATTAATATTTTGGTAATTGTTTTTTATTACTATTTTTTTTTTTTTTAATAATAAAAAGATGTTAAATGTTTTTAATTATTTATTTCACGGTGTGGGAACACCATTAAGTTAGGCACCATTTGTAACAGAAAGAAAAAACTAAACCAGTGAAGGGTGGCAGGGAAAGATCATATCTTTTCAAGTGGTGTCTTGGATAAAACGTAATGATAACTTACCAATGAATTCTTTAATTTCTACGTTCGTAAAACAAAAACATATAAAAGAATTTAACATCAGCGATATTGTAAATAAAATGTAAAAAAATATATGTTTTTTTAGTAATGTATTATACTAGTGTACTTTTTAAAATACAGTGTACGAATAAATCGTTTTTTCGGTTTAGATAGAAACTTAATCGTCAAAAGTAAAACTGAACCGTCGATTTCGTATTTGTATTGTCAATGTTTGTTTTATAAAAATGTGTTTTTAAAATGCATGTACGTCTTTTACTGAATATTAACGTGAAATATAAAAGGTATATACTTTATTTGGTGGCTTTTTTTCTTCTTCTTTATTCGATATACAGGGTGATTCAGCTGGTGTAAGACACTCATTCTCTCAGAAAATATAAGTATTCTGAGAATTGTTTTGTCATATAATCGGTAGGTACATATTTTTCTACATTTTAAAATGTTTAGAATATTTGTATCATCAACCCTTATATGTAAAACAAGTCATCGCATTTGGGGTTTTAAATGGGAATGTATGTTTTTAACTTCATAAATATGTAGACAAAATTGTTTAAAAAATTTAGCGTTTGAATTTGTAAATTTCACATATCTGTTCGTTTGCTACGACTTTGTGAAGATTTGAATTTAAAAACACTATTTGGGTTCTTTAAAAAAGTAGCACTTCTATTTTTCGTTAAATAATAATACTGATCCCTATCGATAATACTGTCACCGATAGTAGGACAAAAATAAAATTCGCTCAAATTTTTTTAAAATATTTTTTGCACAACGGATTCTTTATCTACTTGCTCGGAAACGAAGGTCAAAGACACCTTGCACAACCGTCATTCGTTCCCATATCTTATCAGTAGACTGTACGTTACCTAAACTCCTATTTGCGGTATGAATTATGATTATAGTATATCTATATAATATTATCACATTATCATTGTAATATTGTTGTAATCGCCAATCAGTATTCTGTACATAACAAGACGACACACATAAAGTTAAAACTTATTGGTTATTGCTCATCTGATTTTCATTTAATGAACTGTTCTAATTGATGTCCATAATATGGCAAACGATATTCTATTTTTTTTTTTTACCTACTTATAACTTAACGGCACACGTATATGAATATTGTTCTTCTCAATTCTCACACACAATGTATAACATGGACTTAGACAGTTAAGAGTGTGTCGCACAAATTACATATTATAGTTGCAGTATGCATTGGTTATTTAGTTAGTTGCATTTATAACGATTTATTTCCTATTAAATTATCCAAGTAGAATATTGTCATACACGGTGAACTACCCAAAATATTTACAATTAGAACGCTAATAATATTCACCATCGATAGGTATACCTAACTATCAAGTGATACCGTATTACATCATACATTAATATATTATACCAACACTCAATAGGATGTATACTATATCACTTAGATTACACGGGAAAAATGCACCTAGTACCGCTGCTAAAAGTTATTAAAATATAGAATTAACGGTCAAGTCGCACACAAGGGCCCATAGGTATACAAATGAGCCGTATATTTTTCAAGAAATAAATCCAAATTATAGTGTGAAGTGGGTTAACACTAGAAAATCATTTTGAAATTATTTCACTGTAGTTTATTTGATAGCAGTTACTTACCAAATTTCTGAAGCACCTTTACATAATTCTTGTATTAATATCAATAGATTAGTTGGTGTTTACCTAATAAAAAAAAAAAAAAAAACTCAAACAACAAAAAGCCAACATTTCTTCGACCCTCTTTTTCGGTTGTCGTGGGCATTTGGTTTTTTGTTTTTATGTCTTAATGTTTATCGACGTTAAACAAAAATGAGGATGACGTTGACGTGGATGCGTGGCCAGGCTGGTCTGAACGAGTATATAAAAGATAGTCTAAAGATTTGGTCCGCGCGAAGATTGCATTACAAAATGAATGTTTAAACATACAATATATTATATTAATGTTACAGGTATACTTCAACCGGACAGTTCCGAACAGGTGACTTTAGACCCCAAAGTGATCGCGAAAAACTACTTAAAGTCGTGGTTTTTTCTGGACTTGGTTAGCTCGTTGCCGTTGGATTACTTGTTCCTAGTGTTTAACCAGGTAATGCTGAGCAAATTGCTATCTCGATTAACGATAAGTTACTATGGTTGACAAAAATTGTGACAATCGTTTTAGATTCGTGTAATCGTTAATCGACAAAGTAATTTTATGGTGTACTCGTGTTTACAATTTAATCGTTTAATAGTTACCACGATTACAATACACGTGTAACAAAACATTACATTTGCATTAATTAGCCACAACTCTTACTATTCTTATTATTTAAAATGTCTAACGTTTATTAAATACACGAGGTTGTCTCAAATATAAAGAGGTTCAGCTTAAAATATTTTGATATAAATCTTATGGATTTGCTTATTTTACCAACTTTAGAGGCATTAAATTAAGAGTGTATTGAAATGTTTATCGCACTACGAGTACATGGAATAATAATTTGACCTCAGTTATGTTTCCCAGGGAAATTTACAATTTTAAATTAAGTTTGTAAGCAGACTATGCGTTGGTTGGACTTTTTAGTACAAATCATTTATAAATATTTAGATGTTTAAATAATAATAATAGGTAATAAGACGATTAACGTTAGACGATTGTCTATATGAAAACACTAAACATAGTTACCAATAACCTAAAAAAATATTTATAAAACTTACTCATTAGTTAATACATTTTTTCAAAATTTAATCCTCAAGTATAATAACAATTGTTCCGAACACTTAATAAAGTAATATGATAATAAAGTACGGAGTATGGAAATGAAGTCATGTTTATTAGACTACTCTTTAATTTCTAGCTCAGCTCCGAGTACTTGAGATCGACATTGGATTTGATTAACATGGGAAGTTTTAACTTGTCTTAATTTTGGGGATCGGTTGAGGATGGTTATCGATACAGTCTAACTTGTGTATGTTTATTGTGTATGTTGTTACCACCGAAAACAGAACGTGGGCGAAGGCATTCAAATTCTACACGCCGGTCGCGCCCTCCGCATCCTGAGGTTGGCCAAACTGCTCAGCTTGGTAAGACTGCTCCGGCTTTCCCGGCTGGTGCGGTACGTGAACCAGTGGGAAGAAGTCTACGTAAGTGTACATCACGCTATAAAAATAATAATAATATAGTGTAATATTATTATTATACTAGCACGATAATGCTTTTGACCGGAAAGATAGAAAAAAAAAAAAAAATGCATGTCAATTGACTAATCATAGTGTGCGCGATGCCGAATGGCCTTGCTCGATTAACGCAGCTGGTAATAATAGTAATAATAATAATTGTTGTTATTATTATTATTATTATTGTAACAATATCGAATAAGACGTTTGCCGGTCGCAATTAACTCGGTCCGTTTATTATGTCACGTCGGTCGTCGTTTGGACGGCATTACAATCAAGCCGTTTAAATTAAACTTGTTTGAAAAAATAAAACAGAAGAGAGAAACGATTAATTAGTGCGTTCTGTCAATTGGTGCGCGTTACGATCGAACATGTGCTATGACGACAGTTCATACCGTTTGTGTTGCAAAACCTTTGGCAAATAAAAATAATAATATAATAACGACTCGGTTCATGCATAAAACGTTAAGTGAACGTTTTACCGTAAACTAAAATAATCCAAGACGGAATACAATATGTTTTAGTTATCGTTTCCAACTCGTACCCTACTGATTTTTGTGATTAGTGACATATTAGTGATTATATTTTTTGTACTCGGTAAACATGGGTACAAAAATAATTATCTAGTAGGACTTTTGCATGGCCAGTGTGGACTTGACGTCGTACGGGATGATCGTTTTATCGTGAATCACTCAACACATCATAGGGTTTAATAAGATAATTTTTTTTTCTTAATGTTTTTATACAAAGTGGTCTCAATTTAAAAAGTCGGTAGTTGAATAATTAGTTTGGGAGGTGGGGAGGAACACACAAGTGTGTGAAAAATTGTGATCACATAGTATGAAAACTCAATGAAAAATAAAGAGTTATTATTGTTGTTTATAAAATCCAACGCGATATTGAGTGGGTTAGTAATTATCAACAAAGAAAATTTGTTGAAAATGTTCATTGCAATCGTCAAGAATAATTCTCAACCATTTATTTATTTAGTGACGTTTTGAAACATTGGTCGTACAATATTTTTATCTAGAAATATTAAAAATATTCAGTAGCTAGAAATACTTTGCTTCCATCTCGTTTATGGGAACAAGGCGACGTTTCGACTCGACTTTTGAACTTAAAACACTTAGATTAGGTTTCAATTCGCAAGTTTATCACACGGGACCAATAACAACCCATCGGGTACTTACATTTGTTTTTTTGTTATTCGATTTTCAATGGTCAGGCACACATTGGTAGTGTCTTAAAATGAATTTGTCCACGTTGTTTTACAGCGCACGTTACTAACGCTTCGGCTTGTTTCCGTTGATTGTTTTTGTTTGTAGATACTAAGAGTGGTGCAACCCGATGCGTCCACGGGTCATCGAGGTCATTGCGACGGTCCGTCCATGGTCAAGGTAGGTAGTTGGTCAAGTTGCTAACAGAAAAACAAAAAAAGTTTACATCAATAACAAAGAGCCAACAACAATGGTTTACAAAACTGAAAAAAAAACTGTACAGCAGATGCCACTCTTGCTCTTCTTGCGTAAATTTGCGGGCTTTCCGAATTTTTCATTTGTTTTTTTCTTTTAACATGGATATGATTTTGGGCAGGAGGTCAACCAAAAGTACCAGAGTCCTTAGCTTGTATATTAAAACATATCCATGTTCCTATGTACTTCCGGGCAGCGAAGGTCTTGCTCACTTTTTCCCCCGAAATTAGTCTCACATTTTGGAATCGTACAAGCTATCAAATCCAGGAAAATTTAATTACAAGCAAACTTTCTTCACAACGTTTTCGATCGGTTCAGTAGTTTTGGTACGATCCGCCGAAATAAGATAAAAAAAAGACATGTATTTCTGTATGCCTAATTTTTAGTTTTCGTCATGGGTTTGCACTTTTACAAAGAAAACGAGTGTTGCCATCGAAGAAATTCTATGAATAAATTCAACTTCTCCTCTGTTTTTTCCCATTCCATTATTTTGAAATAGAATCTAAACATTTTTCCAACATGTTTTAATACGTCTCTGAAGATGCAACATGACTGAATAAAATCACCATTAAATAAACGTTCCAGTGCAAATCTGTAGGTAGTAATTCAACCAGTTCAGTCCAATCCAATCCCACAATGATGCGCACTTAAAAAAATGTTCAAAACCTAATATCACCACTCTAAATAGGTGTCCATAAAAATATTAACATCACTGATCCCATATTAGTAATTAATAAAATAAAGAAATCATTTTTTCTAATGCCTGTTCACCGTTGATTCATCGACACATAGCAACCTTTTTTTTTTATAAAAAAATATATATATCCTTATTGTTTGATAAAATCTATTTACAATCTATACAATAATTTGCACGATAAGTAAATCGGTTAGCTGCAAAGAAAAAAAAGCAGACAGTGAATGAGTGGGGAATCTCACAGTTGAGACACCTAATAATAAGATAAAATAACATACATTTTAGTAGTTCTTGAGAAGATCTCGGGGCCAGTTTCTTTTAAGTCGCCTTACAGGATGGTCAGGGTGTGTTTTTGATGCGAGATAGAAGAACAGTTTATTTTCGTGTGACTCAAGTCTGGAATGGAATCGCTGGTAAAAGTTTTCTGCAGTTTCAGCGATTGTGACTATCTCAAAGGTCGGAGTGAAGTAAAACATTACATAGCAACTTAGAAATTTAAACGGTCAAAGTGCAATAGTAATTATCCCCAAAACAACTGTTTCGTTATTTCCATAAATACTATGCATTTGTTCCTTAGACAGCAGTACATATTTTTGCCATGAGCTATTTACAATATTTACATCTACTTTAATACATAGTGCGAAAAACAAATTAACTGCCTAATAAGATTCCTACATAATATTACTGAACTAATAGTTATCACACATCACTGTCTGACCTTTAAATTGCCTACACTTAACTCCTTAATAAACGGGGACATAGCGTCCTATTAACCTTGTGGATGATAATCACATTGCTTGTGTGTGGTTTTTTTTTTTTTTTTTTTAATTGTTTTTAATTTTCTTATAAACATTTTGTTTTACGGCGGCCGTCTTTGTTTTGTAAACGAACCGGCTAATATCTTTACCGTCGACCGTACAAACGCGACAATGCGATGTGAATAAATTCAAGATACAATAACATTAGTGTTAAGTACTGCTTGCAGCGAGATGTACATAATATGAAAACTCCGGGCGTGTCATCCGTTTGAAATTTAAAACAGCCAGCATGAATGAAACAATTATTATTACCTTTTTTGTGTCATTATTTGGTACACGCACGTTTGCTTATAATATGTTGTTTGCATCTCATTAAGCGGTTGCCCGATTGAGACGGACGTGTGCACTTAGGTCGTGTAAACTACTTTCATACTATATTCGTACTTAATTTATACTTGCTTATAAAGTTATAAGTATTTATTATAATTTTTGAAAGATTTGTGACAATATGTAACTTTATTTTTGGTAATTCATTTTTAGAAGTCTATAGTGTAAAATGTATTTTAAATGTTCATATCAGATATATTTATTATTTTTGACAGACAGTGAATGGAAATTTAAATGAAGATTTTTAAAGCTGAAAAACTCTTATTTTGATATTTCAAGATAAAAGTTGTTTTTATAAAATTACATAGCTACTATCTAATAACATAAAAAACAACTATACAACTATTATTCATTAGTTAACATATGTTTTAAATTTAATCCTATAGTATAATGACAATATTTATTCTTACGAATCCCTAATACTAGGCTAATTTCTAGATAATAAAGTATGGAGCATGGAAATTATCATTTATATTAGAATCCTTTTTTAACAAATTTTCTGCGGCTTGCCCTTTTAATTGGTAAGAGCCTGTTCACGAATACTCAGTACAGAATATATTCTATTACTTAGTATACTAAGTTAATTGAATACATGAAAAAGGAAAAATCTATGAATACACGTTTTTATTAAAAAAAAACTCAAAAAATTAAAACACTATGTATTGCCTATGGAATTATGTTTATACCTATAAAGCCATTTTTAATCGACCACAGATTTGTATCGAAGCGTTTTTTTGGAAGTGATTTTTATCCTTTTCAGTTATAATCATTCCTGTTAACCTATGACTTCTCCATCCCCACTATACCCCAAGCCCACTGTACTCTTTTTTTTTAAATTTTAAATAAAATATTACGCGAATGGTGCCCAAATCTGCTGGATTGACACTTGTCAGCCACGCTACACTATTAAGACAATTTGACGGGAAAATACAACACAAATAACATAATATAATATATTTTATTCTATTTTTATTCACCCATCTGCTGTACACACTCCGACGAACTCTGGTCGAAACGTACTTATATTGGTTTTTTTTTATGCTTGAACGGCCTTTGATTTGATTTCGCCTAACCGTGTGTTATTTATACTTACCATAATTACTATAATATTGGTTTATACAATACCATAACATTATAATAACTATACCTATTAAAATATATTGGAATATGTTATGTTTGCCGCCGTTTGTTTCAAAACACCGTTTCGGTTTTATACAGTTCTTGAACATGGCCAGTGTTTTCATGAGAATTTTCAACTTAATTTGCATGATGCTGCTGATCGGTCACTGGTCCGGATGTCTTCAGTTTCTGGTGCCCAACCTCCAGGGTTTCCCGGCAAATTCGTGGGTCGCCATCAACGAGTTGCAGGTAAATGTCAACGTTTTATATTAACATGGATAATATTATGTTATTGGGCTAGGGGTCTGTCTGGAATTGGCGTTACAAATGCTGATAAGAAACAGCTGGCTAAGTGATCAGTGATAGGAGACCAACGGTAAGAGACAAGTAAAAAATGTAGGGAACGGTAGGATACTGTGAACAGATGGAGGATAGGGGAGAAGATTGTAAATAAAGATAGGGGGGGGGTTCGATTTTGCCGATAAGAGAGAGGAGGGTAAGGGAGGGGAGGGAGAACAAATCTGTAGACTGTACTCCAATCAGTTTTGGTCGAAAAATTTGCCATCTGACAACCATTATCTCCACAAACTCAATTACAAATCTGTCGCTTTATTCAGACAATATTATATTATTTCAACTTTCTTCCTGAAGACAAATACATTTTTATAAATTTTAAAGTGGAAATTGTGAACGTTTTTTTAACTTTAGGCCGTTTCGACCTCGCTTTGCCTGCAAACGAAAACCAACCGTTTATTGTTGTGTACCCAAAACAATGTACGGCTGTTGTTCGAACCATGTGGTTCACTATTCGTCGGCCGCACAAGTACATGATATTATAATATAGTTACACCATGAGTGGTCTTTGTAAACAATTCTCATCGAAATCCGACACCTAAATGCTGAAAACATGTACACGTTTACATAAGAAAAAAAAATCGACAACAACCGCTCACCAGACTTGGTGACATTTGAAAAATACGTTTTAAACGCCTTTCATTGTACCGTTCGGCGGTTTGTGGTTAATGGATATACAGGGTGTACCGTTAATCTATGTCATTTTTGATCAACACAATATTTTTAAAAATGTTATGGTACATTGATTTGTTTTTTAATATTACTGATTTACATAACAATTCGATAAAAACTCACCTCTTTACATTATTTCAAATAATAATGGCCTGATTTGCTTATTTTTAAATCTGTACAATAAGTAAAAAAAAAAATGAATTAATTGGGTAAATTGTAATTTAACAGTGAGTGATATAGAAAATCTCACAATAAAGATATATTTAATATCATGATTAACCTTTATTATTTATAAAAAACAAGCTATACAAATTATATATTTTGAGCTTCCTCTGTGGGATTCACTTTAATAGTTTTCAAATAAATCCGATAACTTTTTTTTTTTTAACTTGTTTTTATGTCATTTTATTTTGGGTTGGTATGGTTGGACAGCGTTTGTGAAAAGGTAACAATCTAATATTAACTACTTTGCAGAAGACTTCCGGTAAAACAGTTTCAAAGTGGTTAGTAAAAAAAAAATAATTTCTAAATGTATTCAAATATTTCACATGCATTTCAATAAGGTCATAGACTACAATCTATTACAGTTTGAATGACTAGACGATCCTTGGGTACTCGTAGCAACAGTAATAATAAAAGGGATCGCATGCGGTTGGTTTTTAAGGAGTTTTGTATAGGCAATATTTAGGAAAAAAGTGGTTTTAATAAATTTTGATCATGCCAATTAATTTAACGGTTAATTTGTATAAGCTTCATGGTATTATTTTCAATTTAAATTATTTTGTCTATAAGTAAAAATCATTTTAGTTATTATAACATACATTTTTTGTTCCATCGCACAGGCTGAACTAGTGATCCGATAAGTAATCTGAAAACAAATTTGAATTTGCCATGAAGTTTACTTATAATCGGTTAGGGTACTTTTTTGATATCTTATTATAACTATGTATAAAACACGTTTGAAAATTATATAAAATTTCAAATTTTAAAATCAAATTTGGAAAGGGTTAAAATTAAAAATTAAAAAAAGTACCCTGACCAATTAAAAGTAAACTTCATGGGAAATTCAAAACTGTTTTTAGATTGCTTATCGAATCACTGGTTCGGTCTGTGCAATGGAATAAAAATGATGTGTTTCGACTGAAAAAACCGACGACCGCATGCAATCCCCTTAACTTCATACAAATAAAATAATTTAACCGTTTAACCAACAAAAAAATAATTTCATTGAGCGTCCATCTCGATGTTTTCCATCTAACAAATTTTCAGTCATCAGTGCTCTGAAAACGAATTGTTCATACAAGATACAAAACTGTGATTTTTTTTTAATTTTAATTTTTACCACAATTAGATTTCAATGAAATCGTAATACTAAAATAGATTGTAAAATTACTATAGTTACCAAAATATGCAAACACTCATGCTATATTTTGAAAATGCCTTTTTCAAGATTAACACAATGGCAAAAATAAATGTAGAAACACATTATTCATAAAAAAAAATCACTACTTGTACAACTTGCACACTTTGTATTGGCTCGATAATAAGTCTTTTTCTTATAAGAATAGCTGTTATTGTACGGTTTCTAGCATACTATCTCGTATTGAATGTTACATTTATTCTAGTATACAAGAATTAAAACCAAAACCTTTTCACACCACAATGTACTATCGGTACATTAGAAAATATACTATGCATAAATATTTATTAATACTATTATGTACTCATAGAAGAGCTATAAACAGCCGTCAACAGCAAGTATAAATCATAAAAAGATCTATACACCAATTACCACTTATCTTTGGTTTTTTTATTTCTTTTCACAAATGTTATTACCTTAGACATTTTGTTTTGTTTTAATAGGGCGCCGATTGGTCCGAACAGTACTCGTGGTCGTTGTTCAAGGCGATGTCGCACATGTTGTGCATCGGATACGGTCTGTTTCCGCCGCAATCGTTGACCGACATGTGGCTGACCATGTTGTCCATGATAAGCGGGGCCACCTGTTACGCTCTATTTTTGGGGCACGCCACTAATCTCATACAGAGTTTGGACTCTTCCCGGCGACAGTACCGCGAAAAGGTAAAGCCGTCGAGGCCAATAATGATAAATGCTTAGGAAAAACAAATTTAACTATGGAACATCTCATGAGAGATTTCCAGGCGTCATGTTACAGCTCAAAGAAAACTATTTTAAATTATAAAAATGTTGAATAGTTTTTAAGTTAAAATTTTTCAAATGAAAAATTAAGGTTTCCGATATTTATGAAATACTAAAAAAAAAAAAAATGCACGAGAAAGTACTTCTAGAATGAAATTTTAGGGATTTTTCGTGTGAATGGACTACCGTCCATTGGAAGTGGGGGGGGGGGGTAGTAGGTAACTTTTTCCCCTTTTAGACAGTCTTATTTGTATTCGATGTATGACATTAACCTCTGTCGTGCCCGCAGGTCAAACAAGTAGAAGAGTACATGTCGTACAGGCGTTTGCCATTGGACATGCGCAAGAGGATTACCGAGTTCTTCGAGCACAGGTACCAGGGTAAGTTTTTCGACGAGAAATGGATACTGCAAGAGATTTCGGACACACTCCGGGAGGTAAGCATGCAATCGTATTATGCAATCTCTAATAACACTCGGAAATCGTAGTGAAGTCCCCAATAATTAGAGTCATCCTGCAGGATGAAAAATTTCTCGAGGATAGAGGTCCTATGATATCGTTCCTAGAGGAGCACAATGCTCTTTAGTTTCCCTTCTCCCAACAGTATTGGTCATCTCATACTTAAACAGCAGTTCCGTTCGGGATCCTACGTTGAAATCCTTAAAGACTTCCGGCTTTATTACAGTACTTATAAAAAAAACCTACTTACACTAACATGCTTGTAATATAATTGTTTTTGTTTTGTTATCGTTTAGGACGTCCGGAATCACACTTGCCGGCGCCTGGTGAAGTCTTTGCCGCTGTTGCAGAACGCCGATCCTAACTTTCTCACCGAGCTCGTCGACTGCCTGGAGTTCGAAATGTTTCAGCCGGGTAAGCTTAATTTTTTTTACCGCTCCTTCTAGGTTTTAAATAATATGACCTTTCTTCGGACAACTATTGCGGTCCTGGACTCTCTTTCCCAATCCGTCACTTCCAAGGTTGTCAAATCCCATTTTGTTTCATCCATCAGTAGTTGTTTCGGTATTGGCTTCTTCTCCGTCTTTTTGCACTTATTTTTTTATCATTGAAATTTCAATAATTTCAAATGATTTGTCACTTCCTTTATATTCATGTTCATACATACACGCCAGGGATTTTACTCGTCGCCAAAATCCGGCCTACAGTTCGTTCTTTTATTTAGACTATGTATTTTGGTAGCACAATAGTACTAAGTTAATAGTATTACATTTTTTGTTTTTTTTTTTTATAATTGATATATAACAAAACTGAAACTTTGAAGAAATTCTTGAACTGAAGTTTCACTCATCAAATCTGTTTGCTCTGTTATGCGATTCCCTGTTCGAAACTAGATTAACGAGTTGTTATACTCTTGAGTCTCATTGCAACATTAAACTTTTCCCTCAGCTTTACACAACCGCACTCCATCCTATGTTGCACATCGTCAATTGTGTTGAATACCTCGATGGACGTTATTATCTTTCCGAGTGGAGGATAGTGGTACGAGAAGATGGTGTTTTTATTAGTGCTACAGTTGTTTTCCACGCCGCTATATGTCCCGACAGGACTACAGTCTGGCGCCAGATACCGTGAAAACAACCTTAACGGCGTTTTTCTGTTGACAGGAGACACTATCATGCGAGAAGGTACTGTAGCGACCAAGATGTATTTCGTGCAAGAGGGCGTCGTCGAGGTGGTCATAGCCGAGGGCCAGCAAGTGGTGGCGACGTTGAGCGACGGCAGTTACTTCGGCGAGACCTGCCTGTGGGCTCCGGGATCCCGACGACCCGTCACTGTCCGGGCGGAGACCTACTGCACGTTGTTCTCGTTGCCCTCGTCAGCGTTCAGCCAAACCCTGGACAAGTATCCCGAGTTCAAAAAGCAGGTCACAGTGGTGCTGACGGACCGCGCCATCCGCATGGCCGAGCTGGGCCAGTGTCTGGCCGAAGGAGACGCTAAGCTTTAGACGGATGTTGATTTTATTTATTATTATTTACATTTTTTTTTTTTTACACTACTTAATATGAAAGTATTGGCGCAGTCGACAACTCCGCCGAGGTTCGTAAATTGATTAGATACCGGCACGTGTGTGACTATATTTTGTATTTTTGAATGTCGTACTATTCATTCGAACACGACTTCGTGAAGTTTATTTATAAATATATATGTGTATATATATATATTAAATAAAATAACGCTTAAATTTGTAATAAACGAAAGATAGCGAGTATGTATGATGCCATTTGTCTAATTTCTATGTGACAAAACAAAAATACTAAACCGGATTTGTCCTGTTATTTGGTCTGTCTAATGCGGTTTTGGTACCGGGATAAAAGCTTATTTAAATGTTTAGTTATTAAGACTAATAAGTAAAGATCCGTGCTACCTAAAGGTCCAATAAAACTACAGAATTGTGAGGGGAATGGCTCAATAAACGCAATCTTTGACCAAATTTGAAAATTAGTAACAAGTCAACCAATTTCCTCTGAGATATCCTGAACTATTCCGCCTAATACGTTAGGTTTTATTGCCTCGGTCGACGTACTAAAATCGAATCGACACGGGACAAGTAAATCAATTCAAAGCGGCTAGTCTAACGGGCTGATAAAATTTGATCTGTGTCTTAAGAATTCTATCATTTTAATAATTTAAGTAATACTGTTTAAAATGTTAAAAGTACGTTTTTAGTACATTTTTGTTTGAGTAGACAAAAATATACTTAACATTTTGACTAGCCAATTGGAAAATTGGTAGTAATGTAAAATATATTGATAAAATTATAAATAAATAAAAACAAATCAATGTGCCAAAAATTACATAAGTAAATAACAATTATTTAATTGTATAATTTTACAAAAAATTGTTTTTAAACAAGATTAAAAATTAATAAAAAAAAAAAATTGTAAAATAAATTAATATTTGTAATTTGTATGCTTCTTATAAAGTTTAACCGACCAATAAGGTTTACTTTACTGGTTTAGTCGCAGTGCACTTCCCAAAATTAGTTCGCCACCTCCTTGACTGTCAAGATATTTATTACCCATTAACTGTTCAATAAGTTTTTCTTTTTTATTCAAATTGCAGTTTACTTCCCAAAATTCGTTCTCGATTTGTTTGTACATAAAAACGTTGCCGTTTTTGTCCTTTATGACACAAATACTATTTTCAACATTAGCAGTTTCTGTATAATTACTTAAGTACCTCGCCTGTATTACAATTCCAATTAAATGACATTTCTGTTTTTGTGTATAATTCACATCGTTTTGAACTATAAAATATATATTTTTTTAAAAACAAATTGTCAAATGTACTAGGTACTAGTCACTAGTTTTCTTTATTGTGCAAGACACTAATCTAATCTAAGATATATTTGAAATGGGGGGAACGAAATATAGATAAATTATCTATCCTTATGGTATCCTACTCAATTACTAAAATTACAATTTTAAACATATTGTTGCCTTTTTAAAAAATGTTGTGGAACGGCGTTTATAGAGTAATCCACCTTTACCAGCATGAATGGACTAGATAAACTACATGGAATAATTTGGTAGCACTCACCGGTACAAACTCACACTATATATTCATATATTATGTTACTTAAGCTTTAGGGACTTATTATAAGGTTTATTGTTAAAAATGAAATCGTTTATAATTTTTTTTAATTATTAGTTTCTATTAGTTATCTTGTGACAGGACTGCCGTTAAAAAAATTTCACAAAAAGTGAATTCATCAGTTACTGTGATACGAATGAATCTGTGGTAAGTTTATCTGTAGGAATTTTTGAAAAAGCTGTAATTTTATAAATACATTATTTTCATAAATATGTATAAATATTATGGCTAAAAAAGCACAGTTCTTTTATATAACCTAATACTTACGTGCCAAATCGTTGACGAACAGGCCTCTTATAGCTTCTTTAATTATTACTCTCCTACTCAATCCAAGTTGTGAACAAGTTTGATCTGTAAAAATAAAATAACAAGTAAACGCATTTCTAAAAAATTTAGCTTTGATAAGTAGCTCAGAAAATAATGTTTTTACAATGAGGTGATTTTTGTTTATTCGGTTTAGGATAATTCCTAAACCACTAACACGATTACTATATGAAGCAAGTCAATAAATCAGAAATCCTAAAGATACTATAATTGCCAAAACATAGTTTTATCCTTTTCCTTTAAAATGCGAAAAATCCACAATCCTATTCTTAAAATGACGGTGCGTTATAACTTATATTAAATAACCATATAAGATAGCCAGATTGCTTTCACACTTGTTTGAGATATCCTTCGATATAGTATTAGTCACTGATGTACAGTGAAATTTAATAAAATTATTAGTAACTTTTTTACAAACAATATAACATTAAGCATATTATTATTATCTTTACAATGATTTTACCGATATTTTTAGACTATTATTTTATTTAAATTAAAAAAAAATATTCGAATAATTCCCAACTCTAAGAATAAACCTTACTTGTAACATATAACAAAGCAGTGTCAAAGCAACCATTAAATTTAATTATTATTTATTTTAGAGGCAATGTTGGTGATTTTTGTATTGTTAAACAATTATGCAGTTATGACAAATTTTGGTATACATTTGACTATAGTACATCAAGTTTATATTTTTTCAGGAAGGGGCTATACCCCGTTAAAATTTAAAAGAGTTATCCGAATTTAAAGAGTAGTTTAGGACTATCGAACAAATGCGTAATTACCTTTCTTTTCTAGAGGCATACTAAGACCTATAACAAAAATAAAAAATATCATATATAATAATATAAAAATCAGTTTTTATATCTTACTTAGGACTCTTGTCACACTCAAAATTAGAATTCTTATTTCAATTAATCAATAAATTATATTAAATTAGCTTTGAATTATTATTAGTAGCCATGCTTTAACTAACGGCATAAATCATTTGTGACTTTATAACTTTGAACTTGTATCGAATATTTATAACTTTTTTTTGAACTAATTAATTATCAATTTTGAAAATTGTTCTCATAAAATATATATTTACTGTTAAATTTACCTGTCGCCTTGATTATTTCAGTTTGCAGCCTTTTCTGGTATAATCTAGAATCTAAAATTAATAGCAAATTAAATTTTGATCTACACGATTTCTCGGGATTAAAATCAATATGTAAGTGTAAGATTTTTCTCGGTTTATACTTAATTGGTATTTGTAAATATTATAAATAAATACCTTTGAGTTTTTCGAATGGAACATATTCTAAAATTAAAACGAAAACTTAACGAATATCACACAACTATGTGACAATATAAGGCCATAAAATGCTAAATAAAACGCTTACCGGGTATTGCCAACATGTAGTTCATTTTCTCTGAAATTAAAATGACATAAATTAATTATTGACATGAAAAAATAGAAAAAATATAATAATTAGATGAGATGGGACAAAAAAAAAATAGTTAAAATAAATGTTGCATAGTTGCACTGGAGGTCCAAATAAGTTTTATAGGAACTCATATTTGACTTCATAGACTCCTTGCCTTTAAAAATCAAATGTCTCTTCTAAGGTACACCCTAATTTAGACCTCAGATGAGTTTTACTAATCGGCCGTTATCAAGAACTTAACTGGTAAAAACGTTAGTACAACATGTTTTAAGATATGAGAGATTCGGCAGGCAGTACAAGAATCGTCTGGCAAAGAAAAAAATTGTTGAGGGACTAGAAAAACTGTCTTACCGCAGGCAGTCTTGGTGCAGCCAGATGCTAAACTGGACATAATTATGTAAACTATTGTTGACCTGTGAGATATTGTGGTAGGCTGCGTTAACGATGGAGAAGGGACTGGAAACACAGTTGATGGGCACTGGAAACCTGTTTAGTTATAAGGTCGTAAGGAAGAATAAACCGAACAATAAGCAGCCGAGCGGGCAGAAGCCACAAATGCCGAAGACAAACAGAGGGTGAAACTCAGCCAGTTTGGTGGAGGCCAATCCGGAGGACTACCTCGTGCTGGCCAGAAAGTTGAAGTCTGATGCGAATCAACAGGTAATCAGCAATATGGCGTTAGGTATGAGACGGGCCGAGAAAGATGATATGCTCATCGAGTAGAGAAGGCAGAAATTGCAAAGACCTCAGGGGATGGTATAAATGTCAGAGCGTTAATCCAAAATGAGAAAGTGCCATGCCGATGGGGGAAGCAGCTCACAGATAAAGGATACGTGGATAATATATGGATAGGTATGTGATTAGAGATGAGAGATTAGATGTCCAGAAGGGATAGAGAATATGAGGGAAGGCAGGAGTGGGCTAGAGGGAACAGGGAAGTATATTACAGGAAACCCCTTCCTTTAACCTTTATCGAATAATAAACATCCCCTATCACTCCACTTACTGCCAAAATGATTGATGCGATGCGAAAGGTATGTTTTAAATTAAATTGATAGGTTTATAGGTATTTGACATGGATGTACCTTATATATATCGTCTTCCAGCCTCCAAGTACCATAACACATCTTTATGATCTAATGACTTTTCTTCGAGGAAAACATTAATGATTTTTTTTTTTAAATAGTTATCTACTTTAGGAGAAAGAAGCCGAAATGAACATTCTGAAAAATGTAATTTAGTAGTTTCTGATCTTCCTGCGAAACGGTGATGTAATAACTTTTGGCAGTTTTATTTTGAGACCCCTACTGAACTCTCCGTACTCCAGTGCTACTAGATGAATTGTTGATATGATTTTTATATCACTTTCAAAGATATTTTTCTACTGTCAGGCTTAGTCTTTATTTTATTCTATTATAATATAGACATTACCGAACGTATATTTATTTCCTCGAACAATGCTCTTAATTATATTGTGAAGTTCATCTAGAATAAATAAATAATTTTTGCGCTACAAAAAAATGAAAATAAAATCATTATCAAAGTACAGGGTGATTCATTGAGGGTAAGATTTTCTCTTAAAATAATTTTGTAGTTTTTCTTTTAGAAATAATTTTTTTCATGATATCTTACAATATTATACAATAACTAACTGTTTACCACTTATAGTATTTTTCAAATGTCTCGATTTTAAACACTTAAAAGGTAACGTAAATGTTCAATTAACTTGTAAAGAATAATTTGGTAACTACTTTGACTGACCGTTAACCAGTTTTGGATAATTGCTTTTAAAGTTATAAGAGTTTAAAATTAAAAACGAGAGGTGAAGTGTACTCGAGTAATATGCGCAGATAAAAATTATACTTGACTTACCCCTCCTTTCGTCCTAAATTTTCTACTTCGAAACTTTAAAAATAACTCTCCAAAATTTGTTAACGGCCAGCCAAAATTTATAATATTATATTTTTATAAGTAAATTGAACATTTACGTTATCGTTTAAGTTTCAAAAGTTAATAGAGCTCATGAAAAATATAAGAAAGTAAAACATTTGAATATTGTTAAATAACATAAGCTAATGATTTCCAAAAAGAAATACTACAAAATTACAAGAATTTTAAGAGAAAAAAATTACTGTCTCGTCTTTAATAAATCGCTTAATTAACAATATATATTATATATATAATATATAAATAGTTATATTATTTTTAAATTATTTGATTTTTCATAAACCAAATAGTTGCGCAGTGTTTGAAATACTGGTACTATAAAATTCTCCCACTATCAATCAATAAAAATTATCAAGAACTCAAATTTTAAAATTAGAAATTATCTGGCAATTGGGCAACCATCAGAAAACAATTATTTACCAGTGTATTAATTTTAAGTAAATCTTACTATAGAATGTGTTAGGAACACTTAATTGATAAGCATTTTCGATAAGTGTGTCTGTAATAAATAATAAAAATGAGTTAAATTAAATAATATTTTTATAAACAATAATATTTGAAAACTTAAAAACTATTTTTTAGGGAAAATAAAGTTGACTGACTTGTAATTCCAACTTCTTTTATATATGTAACTGTAAAAAAAAGTTATTTTAAATTTATTTTTAACTACACTTTTGTAGGTACGTGTAGCAGAAATAATTACTCAAATCAACAGCCGAAACATTTACAAAGGCATATGCTATTAAAACCCAGTATAATTTCATTTTTATCTGCAAATAATAACAAATTGCAATTTTTTTTTTTATAAAACATGACGCTATTAGACGTTAATAGACGTTTTAAAACATAGTTGTGGAGAAAATTAAAGAGAATGCCCGCGACTTTAATACATATGGCGGGATAAAACTCGACTAGGGGTCACTGGATTTAGTTGGTTAAAAATAAAAAGAAAGACAAAAAAAAACTTAAAAGTTAAAATAAGAAAAGAAAAAATAACCGCATCGAATAGACTGTGTGAAAAAAATCACTATTGCCAAAGTACAAAACCATTAAACACAAAATTCAAACTTAAATAACTAAGGTTAGTATAATATGAACATGGTAAAAAGAACAAAACAATTGTATTACCCCCAACAAAAACCTAACCGTGAAAAAATTTTAAGTTCCAGACCTCATTCAAGAAATGTCAGCTTATCAATGTAGTGATATCTACATTGTAGCCCAGTGTGCTCTTTCTTTAGTCTATAGCCTCACTTCACTCCCCTTTCACTAACAACACTGCTCTTTTGCTTTTTATTACTTTATCCGACCAGTGTAGACCCGTGTACAAGTATACATTTTTTAATTGGAATTTATGCAAACTAAAGAAAATTTAACGTCAAATGGTACACTATGTAGTTAATGTTATTTGATATTTTTGTGTTAATTTTTAAACACAAATTTTCTACTAAATTTGAAAAAAATAAATAACACTTAGTAGTGGTAATAATTGATGATCAAAGTCTTAGTCAATTATGTTCATCGACTTTGTAGTGTAATAACAAAAGTTAGTAAATCGCTTTATTTAATTTGATCTCGGTATCAGTAACGTGATTTGTCTAAACTAATAAAATATTATTTAAAATATACATGTCAAAATTAAACGATAATTTACCTAGCGATTTTTTCCCACGTCGGTATAACAATAAAATGTAATATAATTTGACTTTCACGATAATGGAATGGAAATTTAAATGTATACTTTGTTTAGAATATATTGCACGAGTGTACTTCTAAAAAATCAGCGTGAAAATAAATAGTTTTTTCGATTTGAATAGAAACATAACCGTTTAAAATAAAAATAAAAATTGATTTTGTATTGTTCTTTATTTGGAAATATGTTTTTGAAATGTAAGTATTTTACTAATAATTAACGTAAAATACCAAAGCCACGCATACTTCATGTGGTACCATTTAAACAAGATAATATTAAACATCGTTAGTTATATGTACTACTGTGTACAAAAGTCTAGACTACAAAATAAATTACAATGACCCCGCATTCTATCCATCGGGTTAATACAAGTGTGGTTTTGCCGGTGGAATGAAATGTGAAAAGGACAACGTACATCACGATTAAGCATAGGTGCTTTGAGCCTTATTCTCATAAGTAACTCAGGACCAACAAAGAATCCATGTAATAGTTCAGAAATACACGCAGTATTATTAAATAGTCTCCCAATGGGCAGAGAATTAAAATGGTATATCATTGGATCATCAATCTGGGAATGTTTAGGTATTAAAAATATACATAAAAACTGAAATTAAAAAAAACATAATTTAAAAAAAAAAATTGGTATGTTTTGAAAATTCATCTATTGTTCATAGTAATAGAGATATTAAAGTAGAAAGTGTTGCTCTTGCAGAACAACACTCAAGTGGTGTTAGTAATATACATATATTATATATATATATATATATATATATATATATATATATATATACCAATAAAAAACAATACACTAACAAGCATTACGTTTAAAATCATAAGCGAAATTGTTTATTATGAAATATATTTAATTGTTTGACAATAAGAATTTTAGCTCAGAATGTAATAAATAATACAATGTATATTTTGATTTGATTATTAAAACAAAAACTGTTGGCTGTAAAAGATTTCATTATGCTTATGCTTCCTATTCTAAATTAATGTTTTAACTGATCAAGAAGTTTTTCTTTTGCTAAATCGACTTGATCACAGTCTACTTCCCAAAATTCGTTCTCGATCTCTTTGTACTTTTTAACATTGCCCTCGCTATCCTTTATGACACAAAAACCATTTTCAAAATTAGCAGTTTCCGTATATTTTGATATGTACTTTGATTGTACTGCCAATCCAATTAAAATACATTTCTGATCATTTGTATAATTTACATCGTTTCCGCCTATAAAACATTTATATACTTTTTAAACAAATTATCAAATTAGCTAGTAGTTACTAGTTTTCTTTATTGTGCAAGACACTATTGTAATCTATGGTAGATCTTGAACGGGGCATAACTTACAGTCAACCCAATAACCCTATATGTATCCATTTAAATACTACAATTACATTTTTCAGCATGTTTTTGTTGAAAAATATGAACAAAATCTAAATTAAAAAACATAAGGAGTATTATGAATGTTACCAATAAGCGTTAGGTGTTAGGAGAAGTTTCAAATATATAATACTATGTATGGATGAGATCTTTAATTTTATTATATTAGGAAAAAAATATTTGACAGTTGCTGTGATACAAATGAATTTGGGAATGCCAATAAATCAATGATAATTACTGAAAAAGTTATGACTTATAAAATACATTATTTTAGTTATTATTTGTAAACATTATGGGTAAAAAAGCAAAACTATTATAACCGTATAATGTGAATACTTACGTAACAAATCGAGGGCGAACAGACCTCTTATGGCTTTTGTAGTTGCTGTTCTTCTATAAGCTTCAGGTCTTGTAGAAGTTTCCCCTTTAAAAAATAATAAGTAACCGCATTTATAACCAAGAACATACAATAAATACAACATTTTGCACATTACTATCTTTACAATGCTTTTGTTGCGATATTTTTGGACTATTCTTGTATTTTAAAAAAAACCTTCAAATAATTCCCAGGTCTAAGATTGAGTCGTCTTAGTAAAAAAAAAAAAAACAAAGCGGTGTCAAAGCAGTCATTAAATTTATTAAGAGATAATTTTACTGGTGGCAATTTTTGTTATGATAAGAATTTATGTAGGTATGACCTATCTACAATTATTGGTATTTATTTGACTGTAGTATATCAAGTTTAAGATCTCTTAAAAATAGGAAGCATACATAAATAATGATAAAGAAATCAATCAAAACAATTCAGCGGGGTTCACTTATTCGAGTCTAAAGGGTTGTATTACAACTATCAAAAATAAAGGCGTAGTTACTTCTTTTTGACGGAAACCTACAATAACCTGTAAAAAAATAAAAAAATACCATAGTATAATATTATAATTAATAAATACCAGTTTTAATATCTTGTAATAGTCACACTTAAACTGAGGTTACTTAAGCCCACTAATAAACGCAAACTATTTTATAAACCTTAGATTATTTCTAGTAGCCATGTTTTAATTAACGGCATAAATCATTTGTGACTTTATGGCTTTGAACTTGTATCAAATGTATAATTTTTTTTTTTTATATATTTAATAAATAATTTTGAAAATTGTTCGCCTAAATAAATTTACTATCAAATTCACCTGTGATATCGATTATTTCATTTCGCATTGTTCCCTGGTATCGCATGATTTCTAAAATTAAAAAAAAAATGTAATTTAGACGTAAACAATTTATTGTGATAGAAATAAATATGTAAGTGTAAAATTTTGCTCGGTATATACTAAATTGGTATTTGTAAATATTATAAATATGAAATACATAAAAGTGGATTACTTTGAAGGTTAGGATTATCTTCTGCATAGTCTAAAATTAAACCGTATACTTAATGAATATCATACATCTTTGTGAAAATCAATGAAAATAAAATGTTGAGAAAACGCTTACCCGGTGTTGCCAACATATAGTTCATTTCCTCTGAAATTAAGATTATATAAATTAGTTGGTCATTGACTTGGTAATAAGTAGAATAACATATGATTATTAGATACGGTTTGGAGAGCTAAAATAAATGTTGCTTTTCCGATGACAGTGATTTGGCCCTAAGAAAGACCGGAACAGGGCAATATAAACAGAGGACTAATTAAGAAATAGAGATATGCTAGAAGATACTGATATAATTGCAACACTACAAAGTAAAAGGCTTGGTAGTTTAAAAAAGACCCCTACTAAACTTCCTTCAACAACTTCAAATGATACAAGATGAATTGTTGATAGAAATTTTATATCACTTTCAGTAATACATTTTTATACTGTCAAGCTTCATCTTTATTTTATTTTATTACAATATAGCCATTACCGAACGTATATTTATTTCCTCGAACAATGTTCTTAATTGCAATGTCGAATCCATCTAGAATAAACAATTAATCGTTTGAGCTACAAAATTACAAATAAATGTTTTAATGTTATTTCAGGATACCATAAAATTACTAATTTTCAATTATCTTTATATGAAATGGTTATTAAATACGTATGTTCTAATTAAATTTCAAAAGTTCAAAGTTGATATCTAAAGCTCTTGAAAATTTTTTTAAAAAAAAACATAAATTCGAGTATTGTTTAATACTGTAAAATGACATAAACTAAGGTATTTCCAAAAATTGTCGTATTTCTTTTTGGACGAATTTTAAACGAAAATGAGTGTCTTATCATCATTAATAAATATCTAGATTAAGAATATACATGTATTATTTGAAAATTAACCCAACGAAAATAATTCGTTACCTCCGTATTATGGCCGCTAAGTAAAAAGAACTTATAACGCTTAGGAGCTAAGTAAACACCATAATGTAAAAATGTTTTTAATTATAATAATGATTTCTTATTGTGCTGGTAATCCATTAATTCACCTCGATGCGTTTATTCAAAAGTGCCCCGACCTTAATGTACTAGCTTTTTTTTAATTTATAAATAACTAGTTGCGTTGCCTTGGCTTTGCCCAGAGAGGGGTGGCGGCTCAGCAATATGTTCTATGTCAGCTGATTAGCGCCATCTATTACAAACACTCTCACTGAACTTTGTGATATTTACCCACGTAGTTCCATCTATTGGAATAAACTTTTATTACAATTTTCCAATTTTTCTTCCCGTAAAAACCTTGTTCACACTATTATGAACCTTAAATAAAAAAATTAACTAAATCCGTCCAGCCGTTCTTAAACGATGTGCTTACCAAAAACAGCAATTAATTTTTATGTATATAGATTTGATAATTGGGCAACCATGAAAAAACAATTCTCTACCAGTGTATTAATTTTAAGTGTATCTTACTATAGAATGTTTTGGAAATTCTCTTTTTACAAGCACATTCGATGAAAGCGTCTGTACGAAATTATAAAAATGAATTCAATTAAATAATATTTGAAACTTAAAAATTATTTTTAAAGGAAAATAAAGTTTACTGACTTGTTCGCTCAACATATTGAATATATTTGTCTGTAAAGAAAAGTTAGGTTAGTTTTATTCTTAACTACACTTATATAGATAGATTAATAAATTTAATAATTACTGTAATCTGCCAAAACGTTTAGAAAAGCGCATGCTATTAAAACCCAGCAAAATATCATTTTTATCTGGAAGTAATAACAAATTTAAAGCTGTTATTGTAAATCACATACGTCAATTGATTATTTTTTAAACCAAAAAACTTTTGTCAAGCATTTTTCGTCTTAATGCAAATTTAAAATAAACTCAAATGAAGGTTGCAGAGCACTTACCAACAAATTCAGCCCATCAAAGTACTGATATCTACTTTGTGGCCAAATCTGCACTTAAGTAAGTAAGGTTATGTAGTAAAAAAACAGTAAAGTTGGCCACATAGTAGATAACACTACTTTAGTAGGATGACTTTTTTGGAAGGGGGTTTGGAACATGGCCTTTTTTTCACGGTTAGGTTTTTGCTGGATACACCATTCTATTTTACTGTCTCAGGATTGTAAGGCATCGTTTTGACTTTTTACACCAATGCGATTATGTATGTATGCCGATTGGATGAATATTCATGCGCGTCACTTCACGCATTTAGAACTACCCTCCCTAAATTGGCAATAATTTAAAGAAAATTTCATATTTTTTTCTTTATTTAGACTATAAGACCTACCTTTGTGACATATTTCACGTTTTTTTTTTATAAGAGAAGTACCTTATAACTTTGATGATGATTGATTGAGTCAATTAGTTAGCAATTAACAAAAATGCAAAGTTTGATGCTCTCCTCTTTTGAAAATGCTTATAATTAAGGGTTCATTTTTTTGACAGTGTCTCAAACTATTTAAGCTTAATCTATGTTTTAAATTTAAAAATCCCATCTTAGAAACGCGAGAGTGGGAAAAACCGGGCGAGTTGATTCATGTAAAGATATACTGGCGTTGCTGAAACTTGGCTTGTTGCACTGCCGTGCGCTTTGATTCGAGCAATCTAATAACCGAAAGTGATGGTATATTTTTCATGTAAGGACTTCTTTGCAAAACGGCTGATCGTAAAATTTGATATGCATCAATTAATGTATTGGCAGTAAATTTGTTTATGTTGGTGCTGTTTAAGTTGTTCGGGTTTCTCGATAGAACAAGTTTGGCCCCTATTTTTTCTGAATTTCTAAAAGAAAAGAATAACGTACCTATTTTATTAAATTAATTAAGAAGGTAAAAGTTAAACGAAGAATTCGACTGGCCAAAGAAACGTTTTTAAGAAAAGATATATTACAATGATTGTTATATCATAAATAAGTAACAAATACGTTAAACTTATTACCATTTTATGAAAAATAAACAAAAGTTAACAAAAAAAAATAGGAGTCAACTACAGACTTGTATATAATAAAATTGGCTAACATAAGATATACACAAAAAAAAATAATTAGAAAAATAAATTAAAATATATTGTAAGTCTACTTACAATCTTAGAAGTTATTTGGGATCACTCAATTAAACTATTAAATTAGCAGAACTCAAAGATCAATTTGATATGCTTGTTAGAGCAGCTGTTTTTTAGTGTGATTTTCTTGCGACTTGTGTATAAGCTTCTATATTTATCAAAACAGTCAAATCTAAATATATTTTGCATTCTGTCATTATTTATTTGTATAACTGGTTAATATTTTTGAATTATTATTTTATATTTTGTCTAAACTTTAAAAATAACTAATGACATTATAATTTACATAAGATATTTTAGCCACAATTCATTTTCTGCAGCATTTTATTTGTCAATAATAAAAAGTAACCTATATTAAATCTGAATTAACGTTTAGCATTTTTTTTTTTAGTAAAACCTATAAGGAAAATGTAAAATAAATCAGTATAAAAAAATTCTATTTTCTTTTCCTGACTATAACTTATGTTATAGGATTTAATATTGTGATTTATTTCCAGCGCATGTTCTGCTATAGTCAATTTCTGATCTTCTTGGTTTTTAATATTTCTTATATGCTCTTTAAAACTTTCTTCTAGTTTGGCCGAAATAGAATTTTTCACGGTCTTCACAATTCCTTTCGTAAATAACTGATTTCTCTTGTTTGGTTAATTAATTGTTTGGTTTCCTAATAAGTCTTGTAGCTGTTGTTTTTTGACGGGATATCTATATATCATATTTTTTGAAAACATATGACAATTTATTTGAAATTCCCGGCATGTATACGATGGCTGATCGTTTTGTTTGTTATCACTTTGATGTTTTATGCCCATTTGTGTTTTTCAATAAGTTTAAAAATGAGATAATTTTAATATCCGTTAAATGTTACTATTTCAAATATTGTATTCACTTCACTTTTAAAGTATTATTTACCCACAGGAATGTTGATAATTTTAAAAACCATTTACACTATTTACATTACCTGAGGTTACTCCCACTTGGATGTCTTGACTAGTTCGCCAACGTTGTGGAACACATGCACGTTCCATCTTCAGGGCTGTGGTTCGATGTTGCTCGTACCGCGCTCTCCTGCATACTGACCGATTCGCTTCGGTGGGCGTAGGTTATATACCATACCCCCACCGCATTCTCCGCTTCCTCATGCCGCTGCCAGCTGATTTCTACGGCCACGCCCCTTCGTCTTGGCCGGCTACCGCATGACTGGTTTCCGCTATCAATTATTTCTTGCTGCCAGCTGTTTTCTACGGCCACGCCGCTTCGCCTTGGCCGGCTACCGCATGACTGATTTTCTATTCCGTTATCAATAGTTTCTTGCTGTATTTCCGGCTCTCTTCGTCTCGTTTGGTCTACGGTTTCCTTTGGTCCTCTTTTTAATCGATGTATCACCGGTTTCCACGTTTTGCTCACTTTCCGACCATCTTCTCGATTGATGTTTGTAGCGCAATATTCGACTTCTATGGCTTCCCTCACCATGCGTTCCGAGTAGTGGAATTCTCGAGACAGTAACCTCAAGTCATGTAAATAGTGTAAATATAACAGCCCACTCAAGTTTCAATAATTTTTTAAAAACCATGTTATTAAAAGCTGCCATTTTATGTTGCCAGGAATGGTATGAGTTTTTTGGAAATTATCAAAAGGTGTCTATAAAGTTCATACTTCAACTAACAGTTTACTCTTTTGACGCGTAAATATAAAAAAAAGTTTTCAATGTTTTTCCGTTACTCGTGTGAGTTTAATTGCAGAATATTGTGTGTTAAAACTACCCAAAAAGTTAGTTATGTTGAATTCTTCTCCTATTATTGTTAAAACATCATCAACGTATCTTATCCATTTCTTCGGAAACTAAGGAAAACTATTTTTGCGCTTACTTAAAAATGGCTCATAAATACTTCGGCTAAAAATGATGATAAAGGAATGCTGTTCCATTTATTTGTTCAAAACAATTTTATTGAAATTAAAAAACGTTTGGAGTCATATACAGTCTGGTTTAGCTGATTAATTCTGATATCACGTCTTTGTCTATTCTTATTTAAATTCACCGTTCTTTTAAATATTTCAATGTATCTTGTATATCACTATTTACTGGAACTTCTGGTCGATTTTTATTCATTTAATTGTCGTAATATCTAAAAAAATGTTTTACATATTTCATTAAAAATGTAGTTATAAGCAAATTAAATGGCAAAATACAACAAAAAATATTTAATTTTGCTCAGCTCAAGTAAATATAAAAATAACATTTGAAAAATTGTTTCTGTGAAATAACTTGGTGTTTATCATGAATATTTTGCATTAGTAGGTAAGAAAGAGAATTGTTGTGTGGGTTTTAATTTATTTTCTATAACTTAATGAGTGAGTGTTTTGGAAAAGGCTTTGAAATTATTTCTTTAATTTAGGTATTGAAATGTGTACTTGCTGACTGACAGCGCTAACTATAAATTGTGTTAATAGATCTAGTTGTTTCAATGTTAAAATTGGTACAGAAAAACAAAATGCCTAAGATCGTGTACATAAGTGTTGGATTAAAATCAATAAAAAATGTGGGTCATAAGTACAAAAAAAACGCCAGAAAAAAAAAAAAAATTTTATTATCAACAACAGCTCATGCATAACCGCCTATTGACTTAAATCGTTATTGTTTTCGAACAACACGTATAGAATGGCTAACACCAAATAAAAACATAATACCATACAATCCGTTGCAATAAAACAAAGTGTTTATTTAGTAGGTCTATTAAGATAAATCCAAAATCTAAATGGCGAGATAAAGACAATAAACCATTTACGCAGTAACCGACTAAAATGAAAAAAAAACACTTGTTCTAACCGAGTAAAAAACCGAATTCTTCACAGAAAACTTAATACAATAATTGTCGCCATACATAATGTTCTTTACAAAAAGGCAAGCTTGAATACCTTAAAAAAGAAACTTTAAAGTGAATAAAGAATTGAAAAATTTTAATCTAATTTTAGTAATATCTTAAAAAGTGTAAAAAGTAAATTTTGCTACAAAAATGGTTTCAATGAAATTGTGGAAATTTATTTTTCGTATAACGATCGTATGCCTTACCATATTTAGTGCATTGGGACTTCCACAAAAAGAATATTGTGTTTGTAAACTGTTAAAAACACTAACGGAAATATCATACACACCTCTTCTTAATAGCAGTCACAATTTGCACATGAAATTCAATGACCTGAAATGCGGGTTCATTTACAGTACCCATTTTCACATGCATTGGACACGAAACATGTATTCAGAGAAGAATCGACTTATAATTAAACAATTTCCAAGCATTGAAATTTCATTCGAGAAAGAATCAGTCAAGATGATTAACCTATTGTTTTATAAAAAAGGTATCCAAATGAATGAGCTATGGCTGATATACAAGTATGCGATAAAAATAATATCATTCTACGCAGATTTTGTTGAAAAAGGTATTGAAGATCAAAATAAGTTAGATAGCAATCTCAAGATGCACGATTTCATATTTGAAGAACTAGAAATTTATTTAATGGAAAACTGCGATGACAATTATTATTTTTATTCCAACTGTGATTATTGTGAGTATTACAAAAACGGCATAGATATTCTAGGTGATTATCAAACAAAATACGATTTCAGCTACGCAAAAAATGCAATAAATATTAATAAAAAAATGTTAAACGAATTAATAGACGTTAGCTCGATGGTAGAAAACAACTTCGCTATTTCTCGTAAATTTGTTCATGAGTTTTACGGAGTATCACAATTAGTATTTTTCATTTTGCGAACTCAACGTCCATTTGATAACTTTTGGAGCGCAAATCTAAAGCCAGAAAAATTAGATTATGTGTTATCAAAAGTAAAAAGTGTGCAACCAATGGCGCCAGGATTATCGGGAATAACAGAAACCGGGAAATTACAGCAAATGGTAATCGATTTGCTAAAAATAATCATGCTGGAAAAAATAAGAGACAAAATAAGTTTCATCATATCAACAAAATGTAACAAACAGGTACGAAATAAGGAAAGAGATATTAATTCGATGATACAACTCATTATAGCAGGTGTAACAGATTTTGAAGAAGCACTAACTTTATATGACGACCATTTCTTTGCATACATAAAAAATTCTTTGAATTACGACTATTTAGTAAACCCAAAAAATCAGTATGTTTTGATTGAAAATATTAATTATGAGATTAAAACTATGTCAGCAACTTGGGGATATCCTATAGAATTATCTGAAATGAAAAAAGTTGTAATAACACCAACGGCGGAATTTGGATTATCACCTTTTTTCGTTTATCGATTGGATAATGTATTTGGAACGCCTAGAAATTTTGGTTATATTCATTCGTTCAGCAAAATGATTAATGATATAACCTCCAAAATAAGCACATCAAAAAACCGTAAAAAGAGAAGTAACTACACTCTGGAATTCAAATTTGATGATTTTTGATGAAAACAATTTTAAAATGTGTTATTGTACTCGTTAGCATGATGTAAAATCCAAAAGCAAATCATAAATAGTTTTACTCTTAACTAGTTAATATGGTTCAGTTAATAATGTAATAAAACATATCTAAAACATTAAACAAATATTATGATAACTATTATGTGTTGAAATTTTGAACCTATGATGTATGCAGTAAAATATGTTTAATTTAATACTCAAATTATAACATAATAGGATTTCTATAATCTTAACACCAATAACAAAACATTTAGGGCTATCGTAGTAAAAAAATAGATAGATGTAATTATATCACGTTATTTTTGGAAAAAAACGTATATCGTCTGATGTTATCTCGTCGGATGACATGTATTACCAATGTCCAATAATAATGAAAGTGAGACTTTATCTGTTAAGACTTTAAATTGAATAAAAAGGAAAAAATAGGTAATTTGTAAAAAAAAATATTTCTACTCTTAAAAACAAAAAAGGTGTTTTTAAAAAAAATTAATATAATACTACAAATATTGTTATTTTCTAGAGTAAATACTACAAAATTAATTCCTAATAAAAAATAAAGTACTACAAAACAAAAAACTTTATTATTATTTTTGTTTTTCAACATAATTATTGACAAATAATGTCAAGATAACTCAGACGTGGCAACAGTAGAACATTCCATCGCTATGAATTGACAAATTTAAGTATTTTA